ATGGTGGCAGCTGGCACAGAGGCTTTCCCACAGGCCCTGGTGTGTATCCCCAGACACTCAAGAAGGCTCTATTGGAGAAGAGCTCGAAGCTATAGCGTATCATATACTACTAACCAAAAACAAATTGTGATTGTAAACCAATTTTTTGAAATTATTTCCACTTTTTTTCTGGCATTTTTTCGGTTTATATAAGCAGTGACCTATATATTCATTTTGCAAAAAAATAATACTTTATTAGTCTAAAATAACTTCATTTTTTGATGATTTGATGATTTGATGATTTGTTTTCTTGCTTAGTTTGTCTTTTTTTTCAACTTTTGTTCAATCAACAGAATAAAGACTTATATTATCAGAAATTGTTCTTTTAAATTCAAATTCTGGAATCCTAAAATTTTCAACTAGAACATCTTTTTCTAATGATAAATATTTTAAATTTGGTAATTTTTCAAAATATTCAATAATTAACTCTTCATTGTAATTATCATAATCTTCTTCATTTTCTTTTGTATTTTTAATAAATTTTTTAAATAGCAAATTTATGCTTAAATCTAAAATCTTTAATGATTTTAGATTTTCAAAATCATCAATTTTGATTTGATCAATTTGATTATTTGAGAGATTTAATGTCATTAGATTAGTCAAATTCTCTGAAAATGGTTTATTTATTTTTGTAATCTTGTTTGAAGATAAATTCAAGTTTTTCAATTTTTTTAAATTAATTATACCATTAAAATCATTTATTGAGCAATTTGAGATTAATAAATTTTCTAAATTTTTCAAATTTTCTAAATTTTCGATTTTTGTTAAATTATAGTTTTTACTTAAATTTAATCTGTTTAAATTCAGTAAATTCATTAAATTTTCAATATTTTTAATAGAGTTGCCGGATAAATCCAATTTTATTAGATTTTGTTTATTCACTGATAAATTTTCGATTTTTTTAATAAAAATATTTGAACTCAAGTCTAAATTTTTTAAATTTTTTAAAATATCAATATTTTGAATTTTATCTAATTTATTATAGGATAAATTTAGTTTTTGCAAATTTACCAAGTTATCTAGGCCTTCAATTTTTGAGATTAAATTGAAAGATAAATTTAATAATTCAAGTGATTTCAAATGATTTAAATTTTCAATTTTAGATAAAGAATTATTAGAAATATTTAATATTTTTAGACTAGTTAATTGGTTTAAATTTTCGATTTTCTTAATTTTATAATTTGAAGAAATATTTAAGGACTCAAGTTTTGTGAAATTATTTAAATGGTTTAAATTTGTAATTCTATTGAATGAAACATTCAATTCTTTTAAATTAACTAAATCTTCTAAATTTTTTAAATCAAAAATTCTATTATTAGATAAATTTAAAATTGATAAAAATTTGAAATTTTTAAAATATTCGAGTTTGATGATTTTATTATTTGAAAGATTTAAGGATTTGATATAATTGTTATCATTAGAAATTAAATGGAAATTAAATAAGCTTGATATATTATTGTTTGATAAATTTAAAGTTGATAAATATTTTAAATTTTTCAATAAATTGAGACAATTTGGAGGATAGATTAAATTATTATAAGCAAGATTTAGAGACGTAATATTGTTTGAATTGTTATTTGATAACTTGATTAAAATTAATTTTAACAAACTGAAAAAATTCAATTCATTTAAAATAATTTTGCTATTGAAACTTCGCAGATAATCTGGATCGTTTTGTGGTGATGAATTGAAATTTACCGAAGAGTTTAGATTTGAATATAACCTTGAATAAGATGAAATGAAGTGATCAGAATTTGATTGATTATTAAAACTAAGTTTATTAATCCTTTTGAATTTTGAATTTTTAAAAATTTTAATATTTAAAGAATTTGATAGATTTTGAAAGTTAAGAAATTTAATTTTTTTGTTTGTATTTAAGGAATTTTGAGTTTGAGAAAGTAATAAAACAGAATCAAACAATAAAATATCATTAATACTGATCTTTATATAACCATAATAGTTGAAATATTGATTAAAATTATATTCAAATTTATAGTCATTAAACTTTTGAGTGGGAGATACATATGAAGATGCTTTCTGATTAGTATTGTATTGATCAGAATTATCGGTATCAGAATGACTAGAATGGTTAGAATTATTGAGATTATCAGAATTATCAGAATGATTGGGAGTATTTAGATTATCGGAAGCATTATTGTAATTGCTTTCATTAATTTTGTCACCAATTTTATCGCTTTTGTCATTTCTTTTAACCTTATCCAACTTATTAGTTTTATCAAAGTTTTGGTTTTTAAAAGTATTATGGCAGACACTCTTGGGTATATGGCAATTAATCTCTAAATTTCGAAATAAGTAATGATAGGCAATAGCTCTTAAGGAAGGAACAAAAGTAAACAAGAAGAGCTTGTCGAGGGGAAGCAGGTCAAACACAGCTTCAATTATATGAAGAGGAAACTGTAATAGCTGAAGCATTTTTGTGTTTGGCTGGCATAATATGGGATGGAAGATAAGAAGCTGGAAGCGTAGGGTGAAGAACAATTAAAAGCAGAGAAATGGAGCTGGCTAACAGACTTGGGTGTCTTTATACCAGAATATATGTCAGCATTGAGTGGACATTAACTGGACATTGTTTCTACGTTGAGTCTGCCATTGTTTGTGATATGATCCAACCTTCCACCGGCACCAGACATAAAGGCAATAAAGGGCAGAGAGAAGACATAAAGACAGGGTTTGTTTTGGAGAGTGCTTTTTTCGTCGCTGGAAACTGCACCGGAGATAATTTCTGGCAGAGGTCAACACCAGCCCCCGGTACTCACCCGGAAGCGGATTTTGAACCGCAGCTTTGACTGCCAAGTGCATACTTTGCTTGGTCCTGCAGTGTACCAAAATAGGCATGTTGGTCAGAGCACCAGCAGTGTGGATGGGGCCCAGGAGCATGGAGAAAAATTGTGTTGCTGAAAATAGTTATTTGGAGATTAAAGATTAAAGATTAAAGATGATAGATAACTAAAGACATAGTAAAGAAAAGACTATAAGACCAGAACAATAGACACAGAAAAAAAAATACATAAATAAAAAAGGGTATAATGAAAACGGCACAATGAAAACGGCATGTTTTTCGGCAAAAGAAATTAGGCATTGTAATTGTTATCAAGACTTTCTTTTGGAGTTATTTGGGGTGGATTGGGAGCGTTGTTGTGTTTGTTAAGATATGATTTTTTCAATGAGCGTTTTCTCAATGGTTCATTTGGTTCCAAGCTGAAGTAGAAAATCCAGATAAAGTCTGTCATTGCAGATAACATGGCACCAACACCAAGAGCTACGCAATAACCAAAAAAACTGGGATGAATAAAGGCATCGGTAATAATGACATTTAAAAGGAATGAAATCACCAAGCTTGAATTTAGGAATGTGGCAAATCTTCTGGGGTAAATAAAATCGTTAAATTGGAAAACGATAACCAAAACCAAAACAAATAATTGAAAGAACACTGCAAACCAAGCTAATCCCATGAAAGTGCCAAACTTGTTTTGGGTATATGCAGTGCTAACAAAAAATATGAACCAACTAATAGCAGCCCAAACTATGGTGAATAAATAAACAGCGTCATCAAGTAAATTCGATACTCCCATTGTGATATTACTTGATATTGGTTTTTAGTAAAAATTATTTGAATTAAGTAATAATGTACTTTTAGACGATTTGAAAATTGTTAAAAAATTTGAAATTATTTGAAAGTCTTATTGAAGATCTTGGATGGCAGAAATTGAAAATAAAACTCGAAAGAAAAACCCAGGTATTTATGCTATTTGATCCAGCTCAACAGAGTATTCAATTGGTATCAAATCCCAAACTGAAATCAATAAAGGCGTAGGAATGTTAAAAAATGGTGATTCATCTTTATGAATAAGAATCAAAATAGGGTGATATAATAGTTAGTAAAGTCTAGCATGACCAAAAAGACATTGTTTTGGATTAAAACACTTTGAATGCTTCTGCCAGTTTTTCATCACAGCCACTTTAAAGTCAATTATGTTGTGGTAATCACCCAAATCATTGTCACTTTTGTAGCATTTTTTGAATCGTCGTGTGTTTGTTTGACTTTGTTTTAAGCTTGGGTTCATGTAATCTTATTGTTTGCAAATTTCTTATTCATAATCGTATTGTATTTGGGCTTTCTTTTTTCCTGTATTTAAGAATTTTTTTAAGGATCTTTCTTTAAACTTTTTGGAAATGAAAAACCACTCGCAAACCTTGAGCACGCTTGGTATCATTATACATGCTCTTGCACTTTCTAAAGCAGTGTATTTGTTATTGGAAGAGACTGTAACATAGCTGCCTTTAAAGTTATAAGACCCTTTTTCTTTTCTTACTATCCTTCTTGCTTTCTGATTGTTTTATATATCAATACTTATTTATTAGTTTTTAGCCAAACACTTGATTGACTTTATATATTAGTCTCGAGACGCCGAAAAAAATCCCTATAAATAGTATAATTACATTCATTATTATTAAAATTAAAAGATTCATCAACATTCTTGGTGTAAAAATCTTCCAAACCATCAAATGTCTTTTAAAATGACTTGCCATTATCATCGAAATTAATGTTAAAAATGTTTGAATCATTAGTAAAGTTAACCAATTTTCAATTATTTTTGATATCAACGAAATAGGCTTTGTTTCCTTCATTGGTGTTAGTTTCCAAAATTTAATCAATGCTATCGAGATGGATACCAAAATAAAACTTCCAAAATTATTAAGTATCAATGTAAAATGTGTAAATGGAAAGCGTATAGATTTTGATAGCATAAAAGCATACTCCCATTGAATTGAAGATATAGTTGCTTGATGTCCAGTTGAATAGAAATATGATAAGCCCAACAAATTTAACAATATTATAGATATCATATTGTCTTTCAAATTTAATATATCTATTATCTCTAAAACAGTTAAAATTTGTATCACCAATAATAAGATCAAAATTCCTCCTAATGGTTTATTCACTAAAAGTATCATAATAAGAAAATTTAAAATCAACAAGAAATATGTAGATCCAAATAAATTATTATACCCGAGTAAAATCTTTTTCGAGTTCTTTCCATTAATATCATTAGAATCTGCATTGCTACTGACTAATTTAATACATAAGGGACCCTTCAACCATGCAATTGAACCCAAAACCATACTTATAAAAAATATTATTCTTGCAATCCATATTTTAAATTCTTTTATTATGTTAACTGATATTTTGAAAAAATTCACATTTACATCTTGATTAACTTCCAAATATTCCAAAAACCAATATACTAAAACCAAATAACTCAATCTGATAAAGAACTTTTGAAACCAAAGTTTAAATGAGGCTGATTGATAATTGTCAATAAAATACTTTTTGATTGCTATTTTAAAATATAAAATTACAACAAGTAATAATAGTAATGTTTTTATCGATAAAAATTCAATTGGTGAGTCTCCACAATTTTTAATTAATGTTTTTTTCATTAATTTTGAATTGAAGTTTATTTGTTCTTCTCTGCAAACTTTCACTGTAGATGATAGTCTTTGAACAATTATAAAAGAAATTGAATGATAGAATGCTAAATTATAATTAATTTTTTTTCTTTTATAAGAGTTTATATCATCATCTTCATTGAAATGCTTTCTTGCTAGTTTCATCTTGGGACTAATCTTATCCTTTTCATCCTTTTCATTTGTTATATCTTTTTCATTTTTCTCATTTATTTCATCTCTTTCATCGTTTAAATTTATAACATCTTTTACATTGTTCAATTCAGAATTAGACCCATTTCCTGAGATTAAGACTTCTACTTCTTCTTTATTGAGTTTATTTTCATTTAAAAACTCAATATATCTGTTATACTTATAATTTAACCTAACTTTTTTTTTAATAATTGAAATTAACAATAAAACTCCATATGTTATAAGCAAGATATTAACAATTTTATTTTCCCATATTATTAAACTGTTGGAGGTATAAACAAAACCCAAAATAATTAATGAAGCTATGTTTGTAAAACTCCAATCAGAATCATTATCTTTTGCAAAATTTTTAATTTGAAACTTTAACCAAGAAAGAGAGTATCTATCAAATATAGTTATCAAATAGCCCATAAATATACCAAATCCAATACTAAAAATGAAACAATCTAAAAGAGACTCAAAAATTGTTGTTGGTTTTAAAATCAAAAAAACAGACAAAAAAATTATTACCATTAAAAAAATCATTAAAATAATTGAGGAAAGAAATTCATCATTAAGTTGAGATATAACAACTGAAGGAATTAATTTTGAAATTATTACTAATACAATAAGAGAAGAAAAAAAAAGTAAAATACCGATAATTTGATAAGTCATGTTAAATTGAGCCCATTTTTCTTGACATTTATTTAAAGAATTCGATTGATAATTTTTAATATCCAAGATGAGTTTTTTTATTTGTTCAGAAAAATAATTTGTTGCAATTTCGTCTTCAGAAGCTGTTTGATTTAAAGAAATTTTATAAAAACTATCATTAATTTGATGATATTTTTTAAGAATAGCTTGAAATTGATTATTGATTTCAATATCATTTTTTAAATCGGGATTTGACAATCGATAGTTATGAATTTGGTTAATTGATATAAATTGATTTTTCATTAGATTTATGATATTCAATAAATTTAGTTGAAAATTAGATAGTTCGGGATGATTAAAAGAATTAAAATGGTTTAAAAATAATTCATCAATTGGTAATCCCAAATTGTTGTAAGGAATTGGTAAATTTAATAATAAGGATAAGGTTGAAACAAGATCAACTTGGTTAACAGATCTATAGTTTTCACCATTATTAGTGATATCATAAATATTTTTATTAATTTTATTTTGGTTAAGATTTATTAATAAATCATTTGAAGTATGGTTTAAAATAGGTGTCTTTGAATAAAAAAATAAAGTAGATTCTAATTCCTCGATTGAATCACCACCATGATTACCGTTAACATCCATTCCATGATCACCCATAACAATTAATAAAGTATCATTTGATAAATTTTGGATCAATTTTTTAAGAATACTGTCCATTTGATTTAATTTTGGAATCATTTCATAATTTGATGGTCCATATCTATGACCGACATGATCAACACCAAGAAAATGTGAAATTAAGATATCCCAGTTTTTTGAATTGTTATATAAATGTTGTTTTTTTGAATTTGAAAATGGTAAAGAAGTAGATGTGTTTAGATTTATATAGTCAAATGAGTTTTCAGAGGAATTCAATAAAGGAAATAAGTGCATTATAACACCATTGTCAACAGAATGTAAATCCCAAACATTTAAACTTTCATATGGATATGATATATTTTGATTTAAATATTTGTTAAATAGAGAGACCCAAGTATCGTCACCTAAAAAGGAAATTGATTTGTTATTATTAAATAGCTGGTAGATTAGGTTATCTTCATTGATATCATTCCCATTAAAATTAGATCCAGCTTCTTTAAAAGTTGGTAATGAACCGGTTGTTAAACCCTTTAATCTTTGTAAAGTTGTTGTTGGAGGATCAGCAATAAATTTTAAAAGTAAAGAATTTTGAGGATTAGAACTAAAAGTTTGGTATAGAGTTGGAAAATTATTATGGTAAAATTGTGAGGTTTGAATTGATGGAGAAATTGAACTATTGGAAGGAATAACAAAATCAAATCTCAATGCATCAATTATCACAATTATTGATTTTTCAAATGAAGGTTTTTGAGAGTGTTGATTTAATGACACATTGAATAAACTTGAGTCATTATTAAAAAGGTAATTTGAAATTTGATTGTTTTCCAAAACATTATCAATATTAGACAAAGAATTTGCGTAATTATTTGATGATGTTTTTTGCAATAAAAACCCCTTTAAAAAAAAAAATAATGCAATGATTTGTAAACAAAATAACAAGAACAAATTGAAACAATACAGTATATTGACATATTTGAATTTTTTCAATCTTAAATCCTGCTTGAATTGTTGGTGCAGTCTAATCCATTTTTGGCGCTGAATTTTTTTCTTTAAAGCCTCCATTCTCTCTAGATGATCGTTCTGAATAGCCATCTGGTCAAAAAAACGATCATACTGATCTGAATCGCTGGAGGAGTGGTTATGGATATCATTGTTGGGAGTGTTATCTATTTGATCTTGAAATGTACTCATTCTAAAAATTGACACCAAAGATATACCATTTAAAGAATTGACCTGTAGAAGAAACCACAGACAAAAAGTCAGACAAACAAAGAAAACCCTGAGAAGCCCAAAAAAGATAATCGATGATATCCAAGCCAATATATACACAAGTTAGCTCTCTTCAATCACTTTTCTCTTTCAGATCTGTTTTATCTTTACAGATTTTTGATGAAGCTAAAAAAACACCCGTTTTCACATGACTGGATGCAACAATGTGTTGGAAATGCGCATTATGCAGATATAGACAACCACTGCTATGGATGCTGTTTTGTGACCAGTCTGATGGCGCGTGTTCCAGATTCGGCAGACAGGTCACAAAGAGGTATAACCTCAACAATTTTACGTGTTTCAACCATTTCTATTGGCTACAAGAGTGTATAAAGTGTATAAAATTAGAGCCTTCTTATAGTCTTCTGCGCGACTTGAATTTCTGCTGTCTGGGACCCTTACTGATTTTGCCTTTGCCCACAAATCTTTTGTTGTTCACCTTTGTCTTTTTTTCCACACTGGCATCCATATCTTCATCTCCAAGATCATTGCTCTTTCTGTTTTCCTTCTTGTACTTGAATCTGTTTCTTTGACCTCTCACAGGACCGGACTTTATGGCATCAACATAAGCGTCGATTCCATTGGGCAATGTTTGCTCTTTATCTTTGAAAGGATCATCGTCCTCACCGTCTTCATTGATCAATAATTTACCTTCCTTGGTTTTGAATTTGTCCTTTGGTGTTCTCTTACTATTATTTGAATTCTGATTGAATTTTGGTTTAGTAGACGAGATATGGGATAATGTCTGTTTATCCAATAAATTAAGAGGCTCGTCTTTGGATTCAAAGATATATTGCTGATTTCTATTTTTTTTACTTTTTCTACTTTTTCTACTAATTTCTTCTTCTTCATCTTCATCTTCATCATCTGACATATATTCGTCAGAATCTTCGGAATCATATATCGCTTTTTCATATCCTGACATTAACTCGCCTTTTCTATTGTTGTTATTTCCATTATTATTACTTTCTGCATTAACTTCTCCATTTTCTTTGATATTCTGTTGTTTTCTTTTAGCCCTGGCTCTACTTTTTTTAATATTAACTATTAATTTTTTATCTTCTTCTGGAATATTAGCTTCAATTACTTCATAACCAAATTTTCTTATTAATCTTTCAACAATGTGTTTGACTTTGGATTTAATATGTCCTGCATGCTGATGAGACCACTGCATCAAGTTTTTCAATAACTCTTCTAAATTATTCTCAATAATTTCTTTTGGTAATGAAACCACTTCTATTTTAACAAATCCAATAGCACTCTTAATAATCTCTTTACTTTTTGATGTCAAAAACAATTCAATAGTTTGTGCCAATTCAACTAATAAATGTTGAGGTATATTATCTTGAAATTCATAAACTAAACATGAGATACTTGTTATTGTCGCACTTATCATATGTTGCGAATTTGCTGCTAAACCAGCAGATACTATGTTAAAAAATAGTTCCAATGATGCTTCAACATCTGGTTGATCTTGTGAAAATCCTGGAACTTTGGAATTTTGGACAGTTCCACCTTCAGACATCTTTTTACCCATTTTAATTAAAATTGAGTATGATAATTCCCTTGATTTTTCATTAACATCCTTTGTCGATAAAATTGTATCTGATACGATTGATGGAATGAAAAACAAATCTTTTTTAGGTAATAAATCTAATACAACATTAATTGCAGCTAATCTGGAAGGTTTGGCTGAAATTATAACTGAATCAATAGATTCAATTAGAACCCTTTCAATATCACTGATATAATGCAAAAGAGCTAATTTACCAGTTTCACTTTCACTTAACTTTGTGATAATTCTATATGCTCTTTTTTGAATTAATGAATCATTAAAGTTTATTGTATTGACAAAAATTGTAAATAATGGGTTATAAGCAGATTCTGGCACATATTTGACCATTGAAACAACGAGATCTAATAGACTAACACTGGTTCTTGATGTTTCATTATTACTTGAAAGTTTTTGTTGATTCTCTAATAATTTAGTTTCTTCATTTAATGCGTTTTGCAATAAATTACAAGTATTATCAAATATACTTGCTAATTCATCAGTCGATATAATTTGTAAAAACAAATCTATAGTTTCAATGACATAACTTCTACTTTGAGAAGCAGTCTGAGTATAAACATTGAATAAAACGGATAGAAAATTATTGGCCATTATAGATAAAAATTGAATATTTTCTTTTGCATTTGAAACTGGAAAATGTTGTTGAATTAATGATTTACTACTAATTTCAGTTTTGGAGTAGTTTAAATTACTATTAAGTAATAACTTCAATGCATTACAAATGGTTAATCTTAATTCAGGGTTTGAGTATAGTAATGAGGATAAATGTTGAGCAATGTCTTTTGTAAAGCTTTCTTTTAAATCAGTGGGTAAATCACAAAATTTTGGTAATAAAGACCAAATTTGATCTATAATAGTTTCAAAAACTTTAATATTTAAAGAAGATTTATTCATGGTTGAAATTTTATTTTTGAAAAATTCAGTCATAGGCAAAATTTCTTTAATATAATAATTTAACTTTGAATTGAAAACGTTATCTCTTAATAAAGGTAGTAACCAAGCTCTGCCTGGTTTATCGGGTGAGGAATTTGTTAAATTTAAAGGCAAGATTGATAAGACAACATCAGGACCCAATTCATAAATAGCAGTTGCAATTACGTTTTCAGTTTCTGTATTGTAATCGAAATTTGATTGTTCTTTTGTTCTCCAATCACCGACAATTTTTAAAGGGTTTAAAAAATCTGGGTTAGATCTAAATTTAAAGCCTGATAATAGTGCTTGAAAAATTTGTAAAACTTCTTTGGTACAATGGTTATATTTAACGGATAACAAGTTATTTAATAAATCGGATAAATATGATATAAAATCGTCAACTTGTTCATAAATTTGAATTGAGTCTAAATCGTTTTTACTTGGTAGTAATAGCAAATCTTCGGTTAAACAATTTGAGAGGATTGCAATGATACCATTTGAAGCGCTTATATAGATGGCAGGCAATTGAGAATTTAAGTAATTTGACAAGATTTTAATAAAGTTTGCAATTAATTTAATTAAATTTAATGGATCAGACAGTTTTGAATAAGTGGATATACCATCGACCAAAACCTTGACCCAAGCACCAGTTAAATGAGTATCGTTTAGTGAAGGTTTTAAATCAATTATAATTTTTAAAATATTTTCAAGAAATTGTGAATCATTTTTAGAAGATTGAATTTGAAATAAGGTGGTGAGAACATTTAAAGAAGTGGAAACTAGATATTTATCTGAATTCCTTGCAATTTCTAATAAAATGTTACATAAAGGTTGAGTTTTTGAAACCGACCAGGCATTTGCAGTTGTAATTGATGAAGTCAATTGAAGTAAATGGATCAATTCAGTGGCGTTATTGGTTGTAGTGCTGTTGCCATTATTAATATTTTGTTTATTGTTATTCGTAATGGAAGCTTTAAGATCTTTGTAGTTTTGAAATTCATCGAGTATAAAATTGGTGGCTGTTAAAGAGGCATAATGTGCTTTTGGAGGGTCTACTTGAGTCAACAAGTTTTCAGTGAAGTTCTTTGGATGAGGATTTGATAAAATCTTATGGACAGCATCAGAGGCTCTTCTTCTGACTTTTGGTCTATCGTCTAAACCGAGATTTAATAGAGCCAACAAACTCTTTTTAACAGAGGAATTGGTTTTCCAAGAATTTAAATCCTGAGCTAAGATTAAAGTCTCTAAGCAACCGATTGAGGATTTCAAAATAGGAGCTTCATTTCCAGAGTTAATTAAAACGTGGATTAGCTTTTGGAATATATCATTGAATTTGAGTTTTAGTAAATTTTTTGGTGTGAAAGGTAGTATCAAATCCAAAAAATAACTGGAAGCAATGGCCAAATCCTGATCAATTACTTGGTCATCTTTGAAGGCCTGCAATAGTAGAGCTAAGAAACTAACAAAGTAAGCGACAGGGTTCCTTGAGTTTTTCTGTTCATCAATGTTGTCTTCAACGACTGATAAAATCAAAGCTAGCTTTCTTTGATTTTCCTGGGAGGAGGATTGATTTGCTCGTATTCTGTCCAATTTAATTTGCAAATCAAGCTCGTTTTCTAGTTTGTCATTTTCGATTTCCAGAGCCATAGAGATCATAGTGGCATGGATCGCTTGGGATTGAGATTGCTGGTATATTTATGATCTGTTTCCAGAAAATCCAATTACAAACAACTTTCTTTAAAAAATATCACATCAACAAAAAAAACGAAAAAAAAATTTTTCAGTGAAAAGTCCACCAAAGAGGATCTAATCCAAAGACCCAGAACTGCAAACATTCACGGGTGCTTATATAATTGACTTGAGTGTCATGATTTATAATGGATTAGTCATTCGGCGCGTCTTCGACGGAGGCGGGGAGGATTTTCGCTGGGGTTTGCGAGATAACCTTTAGGTGGTTCAGAAAATGTCTTCAAATATTATTTGGGAATTCCACGCAGGCTCTCAGCAAACAAATAATTATCTAAAACAAACTCAAAGCGAGGAGCAAAATAACGAGTCCAGTGAAAACTCCTCTTTTGGGGTGTTTTTGCAGAAAGCAAAAGCAGATCACGACCCACGATACAATACAGTTTCCAGGGGTCAATAGCGTGACACTGTTGGTGCAATGCTGTTTAGTTGATATATGGCACGACCTGGTTTTCATGGAGTTTTCATAGTGAATTGCTGTGTTTTTGCTGTCTTTGCAGTGTCGTTGGAGCGTCTTTGTAGTGTTTGGGCTGTTTGGGTTGCTGTTTTGGTTATGTAACCATCAAATTACCAAATAAGGTATTGGATTTAACATTATTTAAAAACGATTTCATTTTAGATAATTCTAATTTCTTTAAATTTAATTTTTAATTTTTAATTTATGATTTTTGTTTTTTTGTTTTTTGTTTTTTTTAGATTCAAAAACTAAATTAAATTAAAGTAAATTATTATTACATACATAAGTTTTGCTTTTTATTTAATATAAATAATTAACAAGACAATTAAGATTAAAATTAACCAACTTAACCATCTTTGACACCTTTTAATCTGGCAGATAATTCATCTAAGTCAAACTTATTAATTTTGTTTAAGCTTTATTTTATATCAAACATTAAGTTTCAAGATCCAGCTTCAGTCAATATCCAAGATGATAAAAACGAAAAATAACCATCAAAATACATCAAAAGCAGTTGTAAACTGCTGATTCTACAAAGCTGATTAGACCTTTAACTAGCGCTCAGAATAAAACGATAAACTGTTGATTAAATTTGACGAGAGTAGAGAACAGGAAAAACAATGAAAATGAAGAGGAAGATGGGAGACTATTAAGAATGAGAATAAAAACTATGTACTGAAAAGAAAGTTTTTTTTTTATTGTTTTTCTGGTTTTTTCGGTCTTTTTATGATAAAACCAAAAATTACTGTTCAACTATAAATGTAGTAATAACATAAAACAAGAATGATAGTAAACAATAGTTGAAAATTAGAAAATTAACTGAGGTCATAAAACTGTAATCATTAATAATTGATCTAAAAAGGAACGATTGAAAACCAAAAATATCTGATTTTTCAAACATTATTCAAATATTTTGATGGTTTTCTTGAAAGGATTTTTTGTTTGTTTTCAATGCATATATTTTTTCCATTTTTTTTTAATTTTGACTGAAAATTATTCAAGTGTCTTATTAATTTTGGAAGTAAACAAACGACCCAAGATTAAAGGAAAAAAAAGTTATAAAAAAGGATATCAAAAACAAAAATAAAAAAAGAATAATTTTATATAATAAAAAAAAGAAAAAAAATTGAACAATTGAAACTAGAAACCAGTAATACTAAAAATTAAATTACATATAAAATTAAAACAAGATTAAGAGAAAAAGTATAAGTTTAAAAAATTGAGTAAAGTAGAGTAGAAACAAAAGCTTGAAAATAAAGTTGGTAAAAAATGAGTGAGAAAAAAAGGTTTAATCTTTAAAAGATCAAAAAAAAAAAAAATAGATTAATGAGGAGGATATAAAACATTTGAATAGTTTGGGTTCATAAATTGTTGATTTGAACCATCATCTAAAGAAATACTTGGATTAGAATTACCATTTGGAGAACCAGAAGAATTAGCAGAATTTGATTGGTTTGGATTGTTAACTACATTTTGCTGTTGTTGTGGTTGTTGTTGAGGTTGTTGTTGTTGAGGTTGAATCTGTTGAGATGGATAGTATCTATTTTGAAATTGGGGTTGAGAATATTGAGTTGGCTTATTATAGTAGGGAGAGTTTTGTTGAGTTTGTTGTTGTTGAGCTTGTTGAGCTTGTTGTTGAGTTGTATAATAACCAGCAGCGTTAGTTGGTAAGGAGTAGAAATTAGGAGGGTTTGAGGCGGTTGTGCCAGATTTCATTGATAAAGGAGAATCGACTTTATTATATTCTTGTTTAATTTGGTTTGAATTTTGAGTTTGGATAGCAGGAGAACCAAAGTTATTAAAATTATTTTGATTATTTTGATTTGAGTTTGTGCTATCATTTGAAGCAGATTGAGATTGTTGTTGTTGCTGTTGCTGTTGTTGTTGTTGAGGGTTTTGACCATAATATCTGGCGCTATTTAGATATTGTTGAGGGGGGAATTGGTTTGCATATAATGGCATAATGGATTGAGGGTTTTGGGACTGAGCTGAAGAATCAGCAGATTGTTGCTGTTGCAGTTGAACCAGAGCTTGCTGTTGAGCTTGTTGCTGTTGTTGAGGAGGTAACGGCATATGATGGGGCAAAGGAGGAGGTAAGGAGAAAGAAGCGTTGTGAAAGCTGGCGGCAGTGACCATGTTTGTTGGGTTTTGATAAGGCAAGACTTGTTGAGGGATCATGTTGTATTGAGCAGCATTGATGGCGTTTGCAGCGTTAATGGAGACTGGATTGTTTGGGTTGTTGTTTGGGTTTGCTAAACCCATTGATAGAGATGCTGGGTTATTGTGATCCAAGTAATAAAATGCTTCATCTTCAATTGGAATCTTACCACCAAGAGAAGATTCTTTGACAGCATTCCACAATTCAGGAGATAGTTGCAAGACCTTTAATTTTGGATCATCAGAAGGTCTTGTTAATTTACCAGCGGTGACGTCTTCAGCAGAGTAATAGGAAACCAAATGTATTGTTTCTGAAGTTGATGGAGCAGTTTCAGGTCTACCTTGATAAGGTACTGGAGAAGGGTGGGAGATGGTTAGAGATAGAGTTTTTTTGATTAGACCATGTTCTTTAAAAGCATAAGATGCAACCAAGGATCCGACTAGAGATCTGTTGGGGACTTCAGGTGGATTTGATGAGGACCAAGAATTGGCTGGAGGGTTGTTGTTGATGTTACTAGAAGAAGTGGATGCAGCGGTGGATGGTGAGCTGTTGTTATTTGGGTTGTTTGTGTGTGTGTTTTGGTTATTATTTTGGTTATTATTTTGACTATTGTTATTGGCGGATGTGTTATTGTTGGTATTTGAGTTGTTGATTTGAGGGGAAGAGTTGACAGAAGATTTTCTTCTCTTTTTTTTATCAATTTTTTTAGAATCTTTGTCAGTTAAGGCTTGACGATCTAGTTCTCTATAAATTAAGAAACGCCCTAAGATTCTTGAGGGAGACCAAGCAACACCGTCAGTCCATCTTTTTATGCCACTTCTTTCTTCGATGAATATGAAGACGTTGCCAGATTGGATTAAAGAAGATCTTTCACGATCGTGAGGTCTTCTTGGGACAGTGCTCAAGTTGCCATTGAGAGTAGCCTGGATGATGAGTAAAGCATCTTTAGTTGAGCCAACGTAGCCAATATAGGTTGGAGAAATTCTTGTTGCGGACATTATTAGGAATTAGTATTGAGATATGGATAATGTACAAAAACAAAATAAAATAGGATATAGAAAATAGAGATGATTGATTCACAAAGCTTTTTTTTAGCAAGAAGATAAAGATAAAGATAAAGATAAAAAGAAACAGGAAAAGTTGAATAAAACCCAAAAATAGAGAGATATTAGGTGGTAATTCTATATTTGGATAAATAGAATTAGAATTCAAAGTGAGATGGAGGTAGATTTGATTAATTGATAATTGTGATTATTTATATGATTTAAATTAGAAGACTAATTGGAAAAGAGAAAGACATAAAATTTAAAGCTAAAAGAGCAACAATTAAAAGATTTAAGGAAAAAAACCAAAAAAAAGGAAAAAAAAGAAAAATAGCAGATTATGATATATGAGGTGATATATGGAGAGGAAATATCTAATAATTAATAATCAAATATTATAATCAAGTAATTGAATAAGGTGAGTTGAGAGAGTAGAATGTGGATGATTAAAGAGCAAGTCAAAAAAAAGTAAAAGTAAAAGTAAAAGTAAAAGAGAACTAAGGAAGTGGTGGAAGGGGAAAAAGAAGATCAAAATAAAATTAGGAGAAAATAAAATTCAAATAAAATTCAGATTAAAATAAAATAAAATAAAATAAAATTAAAAGATTAAAATCAAAAAAAAAAGGATTAAAAGCTGCTTATAAGTGAAAAGAATTGGAAAAGAATTGAAGCAAAAGAAAGAAAAAAAGTCAGGAAACTTTGAGTTTAGAAAAAAAAAGTTCAAAACTGTTTTCGTTATTAAAAAATACTGTAGAAATATTTGATTTGGCTAAAAAATAAACGCTAAAGACTAAATGAGCCCAGCCCAAAATTGTCGCTTTCACGAATTGACTCACTTGCTGCGCGCACGCCTGCCTCAAAACGCAGCGGAGCGCCGACAGCATTGCAGCGTGCTTGTTCCAGCGCAAGCCCACGATTTGGCTAAGGCGGCCAGGTGGTTGGAGTAAGCACGCTGAAGAGGAACCGGTCCAGAAAGCAGTGCGGATCTGTAGAGGAGCAGACGGTATGGTTGCGCACGAATGCACAAGGAGTCGCTCCGCCAACGGGATACCGTTTGAGAGAGGGGCAGGAGGGGGCGGAGGAAAATAGCGCAGACGAAACGCAGCGGAGTGTCCCATTTGTGGAGTGTCCCTTTTTTTGAGGCGCCAGCGTATCCGAGCGGTGGGCGAGCGGTGTCTTGCCAATTGCTGTTTCTGTGTGGATGGTGGATCAAATAAGACGAGAGTTGGTATTGCGCAGAACGAAGAAAGCAAGCATTAGCTGTTGCCGGACAGAACCTAGTGGAAGTCCGTGGAAGTTTGTGGTTGAGTCCAGTGAGAGCATGACATACTTTCTCGACCCAGAGGCAGATCGTAGGCAGACACAGCGAGCAGCGTGCAACAAGCGTGCAAACAGCGATTGGGAATAATGCTGTGATATCGGAAGATTGTTGTCTTGTTTTTGTGTTTATCTCCATTCATTAAGAGAATCAGTCCATAATTTGTATTATCAGTCAGATATTGTTTGAAAAGTTGGTCTTGATGGTTATACTTATTTGCGTGTTCTCAGAATATTGCTGGAGCATTGCATGCTGAGCAGGTAACCATAAACTTGTGAGCTTGAACTTGCAAACTTGCAAACTTGTTGAGTTTCCATTCTTCAGTTTGTATTTCCATTTCCAACAATTGCAACAGTGCACAGCTTCAAGAAATGAGCATCTGCCAATCAGAAAGCCCAATGCCTAAACCGTCTGCTAAATGGCCAATCAACTAAATAGCAAATTAATTGTATATACACTGAATGAGCAAAGAGCAAAGAATACATACAACATATATAATATATATATAATATACACAATATATATAATCATATGGGTTACGGTTTCAAGTGTTCTTTTGGATACTTTTTGGAGTTAGTTTTATTGTTCAAAATACACTTTTCGTATTGTTTTTCAATTTCCAATTCTTATTCTTATTTTTATTCTTATTCTTAATTTATAATTTAATTTCCTGTACAACTTCTGTGTTTTAAATAAATGTTATTTCAATTGTCCAATTTAATGTATGTATAATTAATTTCTTAATCTTTAATTTAAATAGTTTATCTTTAAAACAAAAAAAAACTCTTTTTATCTTTGCATATTCGATTTTAAACTAATTATTATTATTATTATTATTATGAATATAATAAATTTGATTACTTAATTACATTAGATTAGATTAGATTATTATTTCACTTAATACAATCAATTTTAATTTAAAAAAACAACAGAATAAAACAAAATAAAAAACAAAAATTTATTAACTGATAATCTTTATTACTTTAAATTTCTCAATTTAGAATTTAAAATTTTTCTGTTAAGATTAGAAATTGCGATTGAATTTCAACGTCCTAACGTTTTTATGTAAACTATTTACTGTATTTTCAAATTTAATATGATTCCACTTTAATTTTAATTAATGAATAAACTGATTCTAATTTGATTGAATTTGATTGAATTTGATTGAATTTAATGTAATTTTCGCTCGTACTGTATTATATTGGATGTTCAGATTTACACCAAATTCCACTATCATTCTCTAATATTAATTATTTACATTACTTGACCATTTCACTATACCACACTCAACCAATAATCTCATGTCTTGAAACTGCAACTCTCCTTCTAGACTTGGCACGTGCGCTAACTGCCATTTTGACTTCTTTTTCTTTTCTTCCCTCTTTTCCTTTTTTTCCTTCTTTAAGTATTTCCACTCCACTGATTCTCCTATTCAAATAGTCATCTATTATAGTTACATTATGATTGCATTACGATTGCATTACAATTGCATTATGATTATATTGTGATTTTCCTAAGGTAATAAAAGACATCATTTCAACTGCGATTCTAACTACATGTTTTAGATCATATTCTTTATTCCTTCCACTCAACTTTGGCCTGTTTCTTGTCCCTTGTTAAAATTGCTTATGGATTTGTAATTTCGGTAATTTCTTAAACGGGTTGGTCTCTGGCGCATATCGCTACCCAATTGGGTTATATTATTCCATCTGATGAGAGCTAATTTTTAGACTTTTCAACTTTAATGCCGTTTGTTTAATGCAAAATGATGTTTTCTTTGGGTTTATCTTGCTGGTTATTTTTTTACAACTTTTGGCAAATCATTCATATGATTTTCTGCGTTTTTGTGTTTCATCAAAATTAAAATTCTTGTCTGGCTTAATTTTCTTGTCACTGACAACGCGTTTACGTCTTTTATTTTTTAACAACAAAACAGCAAAAGAAGAGAGTCCACAAACACAAAAACAGGAATACAACAACAGCTTTGCAACAACTTCTCTTCTCCCTTCATCATCACCTCATAATCTTGCACATGTAATGTCTCCCTATTCGCACCAACAACCAAATAAATAAAAAGAAATAGCTCATTTCAACAGAATACGAAAAGTTGATATATAAACTGATTATTAATATTATCCCAATCACCTCCAAATAGTTATTATTATCCTTTATATCATCCGTCTCAATAAACAAGCAGATAATCAATAATATAATCTTGATATTCTCGTTCAACCTGTGTTTCGTTAGCTTTTCAACTGTTATTATCGTTGATACTATGCCCAATAGAATGAGCTTACTAACAATACTTCCATCTCCATCTCCATCTCTATTTCTACTTCTATTTCTATTTCTATCTCTTTTCTTTTCCTTTTTTCTTTTTCTTTTTACTCTCATACTCTCTCTCTCCATTCCCTCTTTTTGACTAAAATCATCTTTGGCTCCCAAAAACCGTAACGTTTCCTGTAAATTCATCTCGAATCTTGTATATCACTTATAACTAACGATTCAGCTAAATAAAATGTTTATCTGAGTAACCAACTCAATAATGAACAACAGAACAACAATGGATATATATACAATGGATATATATACAATCGCACCCACACTCTCTTCTTACCACCTCACAGTTACTCCTTACTCTGCTCTTTTACTCTCAAGCTCCATAACTTTAATCCCAACATCACATCTAACGTATCCCACTTCCAACATCCAAACCATACGTCATCTATCACCTCAACATCATACCACCACTCTACATCACTCCCTTTCTCTTTGATCACGTGTATTCACATTTCCCAATTTCTTGATAATCTTTTCAATGGTCTCCAATTCATCGCTAGCAATCTCATCAGAACTTATATTCTTATCAACAATACCTTCTATCCATCTTTTTTTTTTTTCCTTTACCATGTCTTCATCCAATAACAATATCTCTTCAAACAACAACTCCTTTAACAATCTTGCTAATAAAAGACAACTTTCTTCAAACTTAATAAATATCGACAATAAAAGATTGAGACTAGATATAAATAATCCGCAGCTTCATCAATCCCAAATCAATCGCTCAAACAGTTTAACGCCCATCAATCCTTCAATCCAAACAAATAATAACAATCCCAATTACAATAACAATGTCTTTCAAAGACCATTGCCTCCTCACCACATGCCTTCAATGCTATCTTCCTCCACTTCTTCAATAATAAACCAGTCAAAATTACTCAACCAAAATATCATAAATAACAACAGCGATCAACTAAATGATGTCCTATCTGTTGCTGGTGTTGATATCAAAAAAGAAGAAGAATTGCTAGCATCAATCACAAACAAAAAAAAATTATTAAAAAGAAAATTCAAATACAAAGATGGCGAATTGCTAAACATCACAAATCTAACCACCTTTTTAAAAAAAATTTTAAATGAAAATGATATTACTCACACCTTTGACAATAATATGAATAATCATATAAATAATCACATGAACATGAACAACCATATCAATATGAACAATATGAACAATATGAACAATATGAACAATATGAACAATATGAACAACATGAACATGACAATGAATAGCATCAATATCTCCAACAGTATCAAAAATACTAAAATCTTAAACCTATTATCCTTATCCTGTGAAGAATTCTTGAAAAATATAATAACCGATGCTATAGTCTTAAATCGTCATAGAAGAAGAAATATCCAGTACCAATCAAACAATTCCTCCTCCAATTCTTTAAATACAAACATAATCACAAGCAAAAAATACATCATAAACAACAACATCAACGACAATGACCCCACCAATAAAAATGAAATCGCCATTGCTCTAAGAAATCTAGCAATCAAACAAAAAGAACTCGAGGAAAAAAGAAAAAGAAAAAGAATCAAATTAGGTATCGATTTACCTAATGGTGAAGTTCAAAAAGCTGGCGTTGAAGAAACTTTGCATCGTGCAACTAATCTAACCGCTGCAAAAAGATTTGGTGGCGGAAGAAATAAAAAATACAGCTGGTTGAAAGCAGGCTCAAATACTCCTGGTATCTCAAAGTCTTCTTCAACAATGGGCTTTGGCACGATTAACGACAACAACGTAAGATTTCGTGCTGTTAGAGAAGAGAAAAATATCTCAGTTCGAGACTTGTTAGGCGCTCTTGAAAACAAAAGAATGGGCGTTAAAGCCACCATTTTTAAGGCTTATTCAAAACTAAAGGACTAAGATTTTTTTTTTTTTTTACTCAATTTCCATGTAAAATAAGAAAATATAATAATAAATTATTTCTATGTAGATCCCTCCTTCCTCCCCCTTTTCTTTGCTCTCTAAAACGAGGTCTACGACCACCAGACCCCCCTTCCTTCTCCCATAGTTTTCCATTGATTTTCTCGTTTCCCTTTTTTTTATTGTCTCGATGTTGGGTCAAATTGAAACAATTGATGAGAAAATGCTTCTTTGGGTCGTTTAATTGGGTGAAATTTATTGATTTTGAGACTCATTGAAAAATTTTCTATCATTATGGGTTTATATTGAATTTATATTGTATATTTAATACTTGCCAATTCCTATCATTTGTCACCATTTTTTTATTGTATTTTAATCAAATAATTTTCTTTTTTCTTTTTCTTTTTTCTTTTCTTTTCCTTTTTTTATTTGTTTTTTCTCTTTTTTTAATTAATTAAATAGTAAAACAAGATAAAAAAAAAAGATGATCAAACTCTCATTTTTATCTGATAAAATTGATATCTTAGCAGACTCAATTGGTTTGCCTGTTGGTTTATTAAAACTAGCTATTTGCTTATTCGCTTCGTTCCCATTTTGTGCTGTTTTAAAGAGATTACCAGATAATAATAAGAAACTAAGATGCTACTATATCATTTCAGTATCCTTTTTTTATATTTTCGGTATCTTAAACATCTATTCTGGTTTTCAAACTCTCTTTATCAGCTCGTTGATCACCTATCTTTGTTCAAGATATCTCAAGTCCAACTTAATGCCATGGACTAATTTTGTTTTGATTATGGGCCATTTGATGTACAGCCATATTTATGCGCAATTTTTCATTGATCCCAATGCTGATTATAACGAAAATGTTGGGGTGGATATCACCGGCGCTCAGATGGTTTTGGTGATGAAATTGACTGCGTTTGCGTGGAATATCCAAGATGGATTGATTCTCTCGAATCCTGTTACAGCGCCAAACTGTGATCTAACAGAAATCCAGAAATCCAAGGCTATTTACAAACATCCATCGATACTAGAGTATTGGGCGTACTGCTTCTTTTTCCCCAGTTTATTGACAGGACCAGCGTTTGACTATATTGATTATGAAAACTGGTTGACGAATAACCTATTTTCTGAGATTCCTGCTGACAAGAGACCAGGCAAAAAGAGAAAAAGAATGATACCTAAAAGTGGTAGAGTCTCGCTTTGGAAAGCTATCCAAGGTGTATTATGGATTTTATTGTGGTTCAAGTTAACGACTATCTTTTCCAATAAGTATTTGTTTGAAAGGAGCTTTTTGAGCAAAAATTTCTTCTACAAGATCTTTTATCTCTGGGTGTTATCGTTTACGTATAGATTGAAATACTATGGAGCATGGTCAATTGCTGAGGCAAGTTGTATATTGTGTGGGATTGGATTCAATGGGATCAAAATCAATGCTGACAAGAGTATTTCATTCAGATGGGATAAAGTGCAAAACATTGATCCAATTGGGTTTGAAACTGCACAGAACGTTCATATTGGGCTCGAAGCATGGAACCAAAACACCAACAAATGGTTAAAGAACTACGTTTATTTGCGAATCAAAAGAAAAAACAGAAGAGCAGGATTCAAGTCGACGTTATTTACATTTTTAACATCAGCAATGTGGCATGGAACAAGACCTGGGTACTATTTGACATTTGCCTGTGGAGCCTTTTTGCAAACTTGTGGCAGATACTATAGAAGATATTTCAGACCAATATTTATCGAAAGCGATGGCAAGACTTTCAAGGCGACTAAAATTTACTATGACATTTTGTGTTTTCTTTTTACTCAATTGGCATTTGGATATTTGGTTCAGCCCTTTGTTATCTTGGATTTCAACCAATCGTTGTACGCTTGGAGGACCTGTTACTATTATATACACGTTATTATCTTGGGAACGTTCTTGGTCTTCAGAGGGCCATTTGCCAAAAGTGTGGTCAATTTCTTGAAAAAATATCACAACCAAGGTTCGTCAGAAAAGGATGGAAGGAAAACAGACAAGCAAGAAGGATCCAAGGACAAGAAACAGATATACACCTCGAACATGGACGAGTTGAACAAGCTATCGTACATCTTGAAACAAAAAGAGGAATTTGAAAAAACCGAGATGGCACTAGGTGTTCCAACGCCAGATTTCGACAGAAAGGAGGTTGAAAATGTGATTGAGGAGGTGAACGAGATGAAGGAGGAGCTCAGGGAGTGGAAAAAACGAGCCTCGATGGACGAACAATCAGAGGCCATAAAAGAAGCTGTCAAGTCGCTCAAACAGGAGGTTGGCTCTTTCTTGCCCCACGACATGCACTTGAGCAAGAAGTCTGAGTAGTTTTGTAGTCTGAGTACTTAGGTTCGTGTAGCAAGAGACATTTCGTTGGCTTTGCAAAGCAGACGTAGTTGCACCAGCTGTGAAGCACAAAGAAATGCTGGAGCAAAAGAAGCAGAATCAGCAGAATCAGCAAAAAGAGCAAAGGAGATCGTCGCTCGCTCGCCCAACATTTTTGAGCGCCCTCGTGGCTTCATCCTCCTTGCTTTCTTTACCTCCACACTCATCAAATCCACCAAACCCACCAGCTCTTCTTTCATCTCCAGCTCATCTCCAGCTCATCTCTTGCTGTGGTCTTTTCTGGGTAGCTCTTCTCTGTCCTTTTATTCGTACTCCAAATGGCTTCGACCATCCAGGTGCAATCCAATGGGCTTTCCACCCACGACCCATCTCTGTCCAACAACGAAAACACTGCTTCCTACTCTTCTGGCTCACTACCATCGCCAACATCTTCTGATCCTCTGAACTATCTGGCTTCTGCATTCTCCAATGGCTCTTCGTTGCCTTCGGCTGCTGCCTTTTCCTCTTCCCAGCACAACCCTTACCTCAAGTCCTCCAATCCCTATTACATCAACCACTCCATCCAGATCATAAACGAGCAAAAGGATTTCAATAAAAAAATCATGAACTACGTCAAGGACATTGTGGATCAAGACATTGGCTTTAATTACCATGTAATATCGGTTTTTGGTTCTCAATCAACTGGTAAATCAACCCTACTAAATGCCTTGTTTGGAACAAAATTTGATGTGATGAACCAAGATAAAAGACAACAAACTACAAAGGGAATTTGGCTTGCCTATGCTCCAAATATCGCTTCTCATACAAACAAAATTCATAACGATAATGTCGACTTGACTACTTTACTAAAAGTAAACAACATTAATACCAACAATAATGCTTCTACCACTAAAACTCCTACCCCTATTCCAAACTCACACAATAACACCCAAAACATATTTGTCATGGATATTGAAGGAACTGATGGAAGAGAACGTGGAGAAGATCAAGATTTCGAAAGAAAAGCTGCTTTGTTTGCTTTAGCAACTTCTGAAGTTCTTTTAATCAATATATGGGAAAACCAAATTGGTTTATATCAAGGTGCTAATTTAGGTCTCCTAAAGACTGTATTCGAGGTTAATTTATCTCTATTTTCTAATAAAAACCAAAAATGTCTCCTACTATTTGTGATTAGAGATTTCACCGCAACTACTACTCTTGACAGTTTAGCTGATTCCTTAATTGACAGTTTAAACAAAATCTGGTCTCAACTCCAAAGACCAAAGGGAACTGAAGATTTCCAATTGAATGATTTCTTCGATTTAAGATTTTTTGCTTTGCCCCATAAAGTATTCCAACCACTTCAATTTACAACCGAAGTCTCAAAATTAGGTGATCAATTTCAAAATGTATCCTCCTATGAATCACAGGGGCTCCCCTCACTTCACACCAATAACCAATCCATCTTTAATAAAAGATATCACAGAAACATACCATTAGACGGCTGGACTATCTATGCTGAAAATGTCTGGGATCAAATTGAATCAAATAAAGATCTAGATTTACCAACACAACAAATTTTAGTTGCAAGATTTAGATGCGATGAAATCTCAAACTTGGCTTATCAAAACTTTGAAAAAGACTTTAACCAAATTTTTAATGACTTTGATGGCAAAATTTTACCCTCAAACTTTATGCCACCAACTAACCCTTCTGATGATTTCACCCCAATTAACCAAATTATCGATCAACTAAAAGAAAAATATGTCAAGGAATATGATCTTTCTGCTTCAAGATATGCCCAACATGTTTATGATCAGAAAAGAATTGCCTTAATCAATAAAATTTTTTTAAAACTAAAAGAAATTTACTCCTTATACTTACTACAACTCAGAAAATTATCTATTGATTTATTTTTTTCAAATTTTCAATTTCTAAAGAAATCAAAAGAAAAATTTAATACAGCAATTCAACAATCAAAACAAATTGCCTTAGATTATTTTACTAAAAATTCAAAGGATTGCTTGTTGCTTGATGCAGAAATTTTTGATTATTCACTAGATTTAAAAGAATTGCAAACCTCAATTGATGAATCGATCAAAACTCAAACTGCAAAAGAATTGGATAACTTGATAAATATTAAAATCATTAAAAGATTCACAAACATCTTTAACCAACAATTCTTAACTTTATTATTATCCCCCGATTTAAAAACATGGAACGACTCATTATCAAGTTTCAACTCTACTTTATCTAATTTACTCCTAAAATTTAAATCTGAAGATGGCTCTTATGATTTTGGTCTTGGTTTATCAGATGAAGAATCTATTGACACATTTAAAAAAATTCAAAGGCTAGCATGGGAATCTTTCGATTCAATTATTCACAATCAGATAACAGAAGAAAAAATTGTAAATTTATTAAGAGAAAGATTTGAGGATAAATTCCGTTATGATGAAGAAAACGTTCCTAAACTTTGGTCAAATGCATTGGAAGTTGACCAAAGCTATAAAGTAGCTAAGGAATATGCATTTTCAATCTTACCAATACTAGCAATTGCTAAAACTGATGATGGCGTAGAAATAATACCAGATGTGTCGATATACAACCAAGAAATTAGTTCTGATGTTGAATCGGATGATGAAGAATTAAATAGCTCTAAAAACCAGAGGTTTGCTCACATATTATCAGCTGAACAACAAAATTCTATCAAGCATAAATTTAAAAGACAGGCAGACGCAATGTACGTTGAAGCTAAAAGATCAACTATTCAAAGCATTACATCAATTCCTTATTGGATTTATATTATAATTGCCATTCTAGGGTATGACGAGTTTATGGCCATTATTAAAAATCCCCTTTATATCACATTAATTATTGTATTGGGAGCAGCCGCTTATTTCACTCATGCAATGAATTTATGGGGACCTCTCTTATCAGTTTCAACAGCTATGTTTAATGAAACAGTTAAAGTTAGTAAACAAAAATTAAGAGAAATTTTAAACGAAGATAGTGATTCTATTTCCAAGTTTCGCGAGGATCAATATAGAGGTCTCTCAAGAAGCTCTACAGTAGAGTCAAATGCATCAGATTTTGATTCATTCATTAACCAGGGAAATGTTAGAAAACCTGATTCTTCACATTCAGAGTTTGAAGAATCGATTCCAATGAAAGAATTTTCTAAATTTTCCAATTAAATATACACATATTTAAATTTCTAAGCTCTTAAGCTCCTAAGCTTCTAAGTTTTTAAATTTAAAGGTTTTTTAATTTTCCGATTATCCAGTTTTAAAAGTTTTTCAAAGTTTTTAATTTATTTCTATTTTCATACAATGCTAATCATTTTTCTATCTATTTATTAGGCAAAATATAAAATTTTCGATATATAGTACATAAATAATACTAAATAGTAAAATTATTTCGTTAAATTTTAAAAACTATCTAATCATCATCATCATCTGAGTGATACAAATCTAAGGCAAATTTGTTTATCATTGGAGCTGGAGCTGGAGCTGGAGCTAGAGGAGGAGGAGGAGGATTGTTAATATTATTGGAAGATGTGTGATTTCTAGATTGGGGCCTATTTATATTATTCTGATGGTGCAAGTCCTCAAGTTTGTCCACATTATCAAAATTATTATCTAGAGATTCTGGTTTGGAATCAACTATCTCACTCAGTTGTTTATTAGTCGATTCTAAGGATATCAATTGATCCTGATGGTTTGATGCAGCAGCCAACATTCCCTTTCTTAAGGAATCCTCGCCAGGCCATATGTAATTTGCAGGACCAATGTTAAACTCAGTTGTAGCAGGAATTGTTGTAAATTTGGCCAATCTAGCAGCATATTTCAATAGTTCATCCACTGTTAATGATTCGTTATTACTTCTGCTGTTTGTGGTTTGATCAAAACTGGGAGTTTGAAACTGGGTTTCAATTGAATTTGGCAAATCCAATAAGATAGATCTGCATTGGTTCAACTCGTCCAATATATTTAGTAGCTCATTATTCAAATTTTCGTTCGATTGCCTTAAATTATTCAATAACTTTCCAAAATTCTGATGATTAATTAACAATTTTATTGAATTTTCAACATTCAAATCAGAATTCAACAAATCATTCAATGCCTTTTGATTCGGGTTATATCTTTGAATTGAATCAATCAACAGATTCAAATTTGATTCAAAAAGATTGAGATTTTTGATTATTGGCAAGCTTTTGATGGTCTGTTCATGTTCTTCGTTGAATCTGATGCTGTTGTTGATTGCCATGCTGGCTATATTGAAAGAAGAGGCAGTGGGATTCAATGAGTTGGGCTGCACATTAAGAGAGTTGAGTCTTGATAAGGGAACAGACATTTCACACACCAACACTGAACACTGACTTGTTCTGTTGTTGAAGCAGTAAATGGTCTGTTTGAAGAAAAAAATCAGCCAGATTTGTGCTTTTGAGATGATCCAGTTTTGGAACCACTGCGTTGGATATCAAATTTGTGCATAATCATGCAGCTAATTGCGGTTGGTATTTTTAAAAAAAATTGATTCAAAGCTTTTTGGGAACAGAATCAATTTGCTGCTTCTGATGGAGATGTGTGTCTCTGAGAAACACAATCAAAACAAGATGGGTCTTGGTATTCGAGAGTCTGTGTGCAGAGGAAGAAAGAGGTCCAGATCAACAAGCAGCTTTTCTTCAGAATCAGACGATGCTGAGGACTCTGAAGAGTTTTTTTCTTCTACATCTTCTTTAAACTCCACTCCTATCTCATCTCGTTCATCATCAGTTAAGGGTGCTACCACAGCATATTTAGGCTCAGATTCATGTTCAGTGTCAAGCTCAAGTTCAAAGAGAATAGCAGAAAAAAAATACAAATGTACTTATGAAAATTGTCCAAAAGAGTACCATAAACCTTCATTATTACAGCAACACATAAGGTCTCATGAGAATATACGACCATTTAAATGTTCAATTAAAAGCTGTGAAGCATCTTTTCTCAGAAATTCGCACTTAAAGGCTCATTTGGAATCACACAAACTGAACGAGGAAAAAGCCTTTAAATGCTTAGTTTGTAGTAAAGGTTTTGATTCTAATCAAAAGTTCAAAAGACATGAGATTACTCATGTTGCATCTTTCAAGTGTACATATGCTGGCTGTGATGAAACTTTCTATAAAAAAAATTCCTTGAGATTTCATATCAACAGAGTTCACGAACCAAAAAATATCTGCAAACAATGTGGTAAACTATTCACTCGACCATACAAATTATTAATGCATTTGGAGAAAAACCACGATATAACTGCTTATCCATGCACTTTTTCAAACTGTTTCCTCAAATTTAAAAATTGGTCTTCTTTGCAAAATCATATAAAAACTGATCATCCAAAATTGTCTTGTACTCAATGTGGTAAGCAATGTGTTGGTGAGTCTGGTTTACGAATGCACATGGTTATTCATAACACTAAAAAAGTTTTGAAAATTTGGAACTGCTGTATTTGTAATGACATTAATGCTTCATATCACAAAAAGGACTTGTTAATTAATCATTATAAGGAAGTCCATGATAACATATTGCCTCCAGATTTGATTCAACCATCATCTCCATTGAAAAAACAAAAGATTTCAGAAGATATTAACCATCTTCCTGGAAATGACGAAATTGGTAATGGAGATGATAGCAATAACACAAATAAAAATGAAACTAAAGATCTAAAAGTATTACTTCAGAATCAAGCTCAGATTCAAACTGAGATTGATGAGATTGATTCTACTAAACAGTCTCTTGTCTCTGATCTGAGTGATGATCATAAAAATGTAAATGAAGATGTTGTTGGTGATTCTAATTATATAGATATATGCGAAAATGTTTCCAGCCAGTACAGAAGAACAAATTATAGGTCAAGTTCCAGATTGTTAAAAAGAACCATTAATCAAAAGAATATTTATGATCTATTGGTTCGTAGACAATAGATATACAAAGTCTCTCTATTTTCCATAGAGCTATTGTTTTTTGTTTTTTGTTTTTTTGATTTCTTCTACAATTTTTCTGTATAATATGCTTGTACTATTTAGATTTTTGTTTTCAGTGTTGTTTTTTTTGGATATTTTTTGAATATTATGGGTTTTCTTTATTTATTATGTATTATTTTTACTGCTTAATATCGACTGTTGTATTCTTGTTCAAAAAGTGCGTTTTCTCCGTATCAAAGTACGTCTCAAAAATTTTCAAATCAAAAAAAAATTATTTTAATTTTAATTTTATTTGGTTAAAATCAAAATAGTGGAAGAAATAAATAATATAAAAATGGCCAAACCAAGCAATATAGTTTTTCAAACACATCGTAACTTCAGAATACGTTTAATATTATCCACATTATCGGGAAAACCAATAAAAATTGAAAAAATTCGTTCAAATGATGTCAATCCAGGTTTAAGAGATTACGAGGTTTCATTCTTGAGATTATTAGAGTCAATAACTAATGGCTCAATCATCGAAATATCATATACAGGTACAACTGTAAACTACAAACCAGGCCTTATAATTGGAGGCCAAATCACACACAATTGTCCAATAACAAAACCTATAGGTTATTTCCTTGAGCCCATATTATATCTAGCACCATTTTCCAAAAAGAAATTTTCAATTGTTTTTACTGGTGTAACATCCAATAAACAGGATATTACTATTGATGGAATTAAATGGGGATTGATTCCTGTTCTAGAAAAGTTTGGTGTTAGAGAATGTGAGTTACACACCATAAAAAGAGGTTCACCTCCAAATGGTGGTGGTGAAGTTCATTTAAAAGTGAACACTTTGCTATCGTCTCCCTTGACTCTTCATGTAACAGAATTACCCAAAATCTCTGCTGTTAGAGGGATTGCTTATTGCACCAAAGTAAGTCCATCAATGGTCAATAGGCAAATTGATTCTGCTAGATCTGTTTTAAACAAAATTGGATGCGAAGTTAACATTACTTCCGATGCATGGAGAGGGAAAAATTCAGGAAATAGTCCAGGATTTGGTTTGACTTTAGTTGCTGAGTCTAAAAAAGGTTGGAGAATCTTTGTTGAAGATATTGGTGGGCCAGGTGAAACACCAGAAGATGTTGGTACAAGAGTAGCCTATCAATTATTTGAAGAATTAAGTATAAGTGGTGCTGTTTGTCGTTCCCAATTACCTCTAGCCGTTGTATTTATGGTTTTAGGTAAAGAAGATATTGGAAGATTAATTATAAACAACAATCAAATTGATTCTCACTTAGTGCATTTATTAAGAGATATTAAAAAAGTATTTGGGACTGAAGTATTCTTTCTGCCCGATGACAATGTGATTGACCAAAATAATGAAAATAATTCTATACTAACAGTTAAAGGCAGTGGTTTCACAAATGCAAGCAAGAAAATTGCATGAATTTCAGAGGTCCTTTATTTTGTTTCACAAAATTGTTTTGAACTCGATACAATAATTTATTATAATACTTGAATTAGTCATTATATATATACTGGCCAAATCACCACTAGAGTGTTATAAAAATGGAAAAACAAAAATTTCGATGCATAAGATGAGAAATAAAAAGTAATTGGGAAATTAAAAAAAGAAAGTAGACGAGAAATAAATAAATAGATAAATAAATTGGATAATTTTTTGGGAAAATAAAATTTAATTTGTGTTTGGGCTTTTATTTTCAATTTTTTTCAATTTTTTGTTTTATTTTAAAAGAAAATTCCAGATTATTGTCTATTATAGGGCATTTGTTGTAATAGGTTACACATTTGATTCCAATTATCGGCCTGCAATTCACCATATTTTAACCTATCTGCTCCCCATTCTTGAAAGATTTTTGTAATTTTATATTGAGTTTCCTGGAACATGACAAATTCATGTAGAACACATTCTTTTATTAACCAATCTCTATTAGTTTGACTGATAATATCTTGTTTATCTCTGTTAATGCTTTGGATTAGCCTATCAACTTCTGAGCCTCTAACATCGGGTTTTGTTTTAATTTCGTTAAATCTATTTGTATTTATTTCGACTCTTTTTTTAGCTTGAAAGATTGTGTTTCCACCCAATCTATTTAGTCTTTCAAATAGGCCTCTTAAAGAGTTTATATAATCTTGAAATGTTTTAAATTCATGCATAATTCCGATGTCAAGGTTATGTGATTCGTCTTTGTATAATGAGGCGCTATTTGAAATGTGAAGATTGACGTTTTGTAGACCAGCGTTAATCATTGAGATATCGCTTGATTCAACTGAGTATATTTTATTTGAGACATCGATGAAGCCATTTAGGATTGAGTTGAATTTTAGGTTATCGTAGGCAATTTGTTCTTTTCTCTTTTCGATTCTTTCGATTAGAATGCAAATTTTAAACCAGTTTTCATACATGTCTTTTATTGAAAATTCGGCTTGTTTCCATAATTTTTGGTTATCTGGGTGCCAGTTTTTAATAAAGTTTTTTGAGATTCTTTTGCCTTTAAATTCTTCATTTGTATCGACATTGGCTTGTCTGCGCCAGCTATTTAAATCAGTTGGAACGGTTAGAAACATAATGACCAGAGATTCCTTTGATAGAATTGGGTGTTTCATTAGTTGATTTAAGAAGCGTTGGAGACCATGACGGCGACGTTGAAGAAATAAATTATCATTACTGGAGCCTAAAACTGGAATTATTAGTTATCAATGTTAGATCAAAAAGGGACAAAAATAAAATTGGAAATGAGGAATAAAAGAATAAAAAAATAAAAAAGAGAAATAAATTCATAATAGATTTAATAAAAAGATAGAAAATGACATACCAGAAAATTTTTTGGGAGGAAGTTCAGGAATTAATCTGAATGGGTATTTTTTCAAAAGAATTTCAAGCAACCTGTTAAAAAAAAGAAAAATGAAGTTAGTTTATGAAACAAAGAGTAAAGTATAATGAAAAGATTGATTTTGATTTGATTTTTGATTTTTGATTTTTGATTTTTGATTTTTGAAATGACATACCATACAAAGTCAGAATATCTTCTAATGACTTTTCTTCCATTGTTTGAATCAGTATCAGCCAATGGAGCATTGTGGACAATTAAATAGTTGATGTGTTTGAATAGTAGGCCTTCTTTTTCAGGGATTTCAGTAACTTTTATGAAATCAGCGGAGTTTGGATTGAAAGAGTCTCTGACTTGATTATTCCAAGTGGATATTTTGTCCATGTTGACGGATAAAGCGTTATTTACTGATGAGTTATTTGAAGTTATGATTGAGGAACCTAAAGGATTTGAGTTGATATTATCTATGTCGTCATCCCAAATGTTATTTAATTTATTTGTAGAGGAATTGTTACTGATTGAGTTAGAATTGGATAGTGACAAGTTATTGTTAGAGCTGTTGTTTGGATCTAAAGTAATTGTGGTATCGGAGAGGATTAAATCAGGTAAGTTATGTATATTTTTCTCTAAATTTTGGAAATTTCCCGAGCCCAAGTTGTTTTGTTCTAGAGAGATTAAGGCCATTAGTATATACCAAAACCATTCGTTTATGGACATGAATTGAATTGAGTTATTTTTTGTTACTAAATTGAGGATGTTTTCCATTGATAATTGATTCAAACCTGATTTTTCAAAGATTAGTTCCAAGCAGTCGAAGCTTACAAAGCCATCAATTGGGCGAAAGTATTTGAAAGACTGAGTATAAGATAAAGGAACAGGAACCTTTTTGATTTTTTTAATTAGTCTGGATAGATCCTCATTGTTGTCGATTGAGGAATCGTTATCGTCCTCGTAGTAGGTCTTGGAGTGGGATGATATGTTGTTATTTATGTTGATGTTCAAGTTCAAGTCCGAATTGTTGAATAGGGTATTAGAGGAGTTGATCAATGGCGAAGAAGAAGGAATAGTAGACGACAAAGGAGGTATGTCGTTGTTGTTGGAAGTTGGCCAGGCAGCAGTAGCGCTGGGAGATTTCCAAGGGTCTGTGGGCTCAGTGGATGCAAACAAGGACATTATGAGTATAAACAGAGAAAAGAGACAGAAACAGAAGCAGCAATTAGCAATTAACAGACAGCAACGGGAAGCAGAAACAGCAGAAGCAGCAGAAGCAGCAGAAGCAGCACCTTCTTCACTGGACTCGGAACAGCGCCTTTTTCACACCAGGCCTTTCCGCAGCTGCAGTAGACTGCACGTGATAAAGAGACCACTGGTGCGGATCGACACGGGTCTAGACCTGGCTTTGGATCCTTGGCGGTGGTAGTTCTGATAAGATATCACAATAAGGATGGTGGTGGTGGTGCTGCTGCTCAGCGAGCTGCCATACTCTTGTACTTCGCAGCAAGAGCCTCGCTGATCTGGTCGCTCTTCACAGGCAACGTCTGGAGTACAAAGGCAACGTTCTTCCATTCCTCTTCGCTCTCTGCCCTGCTCAACCTTTGCACAAGCTTGTCGGCGAGCTGCTTCTGCTGCTTCTCCTTCGTGATAAACGCAATGAGGAACCGGAGTATACGCTTGAGAGAGTCTCGCTCAATCTCCTTGTCATTCGACAACCCGCTGAAGATGTCTATGAACCCGTTGTAGATGGCATTGTCCTTGGTAGCCAACTCCTGGAAGAACATCCGGCACATATCTGAGATAGCTGGGTCGCTGTTCTCCAAACATTTGGCCATTTGACTCAATTGGCCCTTCACCTTCACCTGTCCAGCTAAGATCAAAAAGGTCACTGTCATCATGCACGTCTTTTGAACCATGAGGTCTTTGTCAAGCAAACATCCATAAAGATTGTCCGTTTTTTCATCAACCAAATTGTTAAAGCAAACTGCCATGTCCCCTAGAGACAACACTGCGTTCGATCTAATCACTGGATCTGGTGAGTTCTCCATTATGTACACCAACAAATCCAAGTTATCTTCACAGTATCTTTTTGATACACACATAAATTTGCACATACAAAGAACTGCTGATCTCTGTAACATCTTGTCCTGATATTTTTCCTCTTTACTGCAAATTTCTTTCACTAGTGGTCCAAATCTTGCCAATATCGAGCTTGTTCCATATAACAACTCATTTTCCCTAACTTCGTTAATAACTTCCGTAAAATCATCTTCGGTTGTTGCTCCAATCATTTCTAAATCATCTTCAGCGCTGTTTTTATTTTTCTTCTTGCTCTTAGCGTTTTCCATTTCTAACTCAATTTTCCTCTTTTTAAATATTGCTTCGCATTTCTCTAAATGCACAATAGTCTTTATAGAGATGTGTCCCACAATAAACAACAACTGTGATAACCCAATAACTTGTTTTTCCTCTTCTTTAGGATTCTCAAACACAGCTCGGATTTTTTTCTTAATAATTTCACTGCATGTCGTATTTGCATTGCTCGTAATACAATAGATCGCATTTATAGCTTGTTCGGCAACACTGAACCATTCAGCATCTTCATTATACAAATAAATCATTTTACTTAATCTCTCAAGTGCCTCATTTTCTTTGTTAACATCTAACAACTTATTCTTCCTCATTGCTCTATTCCTTTCGTTTTTTTCAATCTTGCTCATTGGAACAATTCTTTGCAATGCAATACAGCTATATTTTGCTAACATTAAATCCTCTCTTCCCTTTTTACCCAATCCTACCTTAAGCAATGCATCAATTCCCTTTACTGCAATCTCACTGTCAATAAATGAAATCATCCCAATCACAATAATAGCACCACAGCGTTGTTTCTTACTAAAATCCTTTTCCTTAAATGTATATATCTGCCATAAAATATTAACGACCGACTCATTAATAAAATCTTTTTCATACATGGCACACAAAAGCTTCTCCAACGAGGCCAAATCTGCCATTGATGTATCATATGTTAACTTGATGAGATTTTTAGCAATAAAAGCGTTTTTTTCAAGTGTGGAAATCTTTTCGGGAGTGGTTAAAAATAATGTATTATAAGAATTCACCAAATGATTTGAAATACTATTGCCTTCATCATTTGATCCACCCATCCAAATTAAATGCAACATTTTTTTAATGCCTAAATTAGAATTTTCAATTCCATATGCATCTGTTAAAACAAAAAAATTCATTGCTTCCAATACCTCCATTCTATTTTTCGAATATAGTAATTTTGATATAATTTCAGTTCCCTTTTGTATAGCTTCAATGAATTTAATCGCGTCATTATAAACTTTCAAAGTATAAACCATTTTTAAAAATTCAGTTTTAGTTCTAATTGAATTATTGTTATTGTTATTATTATTATTATTATTATTATTATTATTATTATTATTATTATTATTATTAAATTCAGTGACTTTATCTTTTTTTCTAGTTTTATTTTCATTTTCATTTTCATCATCACTACCTTCAATCTCAATTTCATTATTATTATTATTACTATCATTATTATCTTCATTGTCTTCTAGTGGACTAGGAACAGCAATATCTTCAATTGATTGATCATTTTCTATTGATGATGCATTGATGTCTATTTGTTGTTTATCCAAATAATTTTTAAGCTTTTTAATTTCTTGTTTAGTAAGTTCCTGGTTTTTTAGCCACGATGACAATTTCAAATTATTGTGTAAAAAACTAAAAGGGTGTGTTAAAATTAAACTTGAAATAAACTTAATCGCATAACGACGAACTAGTGAACTTCTATCTTCAAGGCTTCTGACAGCTAATTTAATAAAATCTCTTCTTCTATCATTAAACTTAATGGGTGAGTCAGTTACTTTAATTAAAGCTTGAATGGCCTTGGTTCTTACAAAGGGATTTTGGTCTTTAAATCTTTCTTGTAATAAGTCTAATAAAGTCTCAGTCTGCTTTTGATAACGGTCAAATGTCTCTTGGTTTTTACAAATATCAACAACGATATTTCCACAGGATTCAACGACTGCGCATCTTAAAGTTTGAGAATTATTATCTAATAATTTAGCAACGACAGGCATTTGTTTTAATACCAATTGAGGAGACAATTCGGATAATTTGATAATAAAAGCAGCAATTGATTTGGGTCCATTGGTGTCATTACTATCAAATTGATTATTGCTAACTTCTTTCAAGACATCTTCGGCTAGTTGATTGTAATCATATTCACTATTTAAAACTTTTAGCAATTCTGCCATCATTGAATTTAAATGGAAATAATAAGTTAAATTTTGCAAAATCGAAGCTTTTGCAGCTGATGCATGACCATGGTATTTAACAGATATCGAGATTATCTTAAACATATATTTCTTAATGGTTTCAATCTTGATTCGCTGCTCGTTTTCCATTAATGAGTAAATTGGTTTTGTAAATAAAGAAATAAATAGGTCTCTTTCCGGTGTGGTTTGAAATAATTTTGATAGATTGATTTTTAAAATTAAGGTGACTGAGTCCATGATGATTTCGATTTGTTTGCAATTGTTTTTGAAAATTTGTAGATTTGTATTTGCTGAACTGTTTTTCTTGGTTGACTTTGAATTTGAAATTGAACTGGGAATCTTCTCCAAGTATAAAAACGTCAACAAACAATAGATCAAGTAGCCGTATAGCTCCAAGTACTTTTTGTGCTGCTCAAAGGATTCAGTATCGCTTCCTTCAACCACCTGATCTGTTATGGGGACCAAAGACTTGACAGAAGAGCAGACAAGATGGGCCAACTGTTTCTGCTGGCTATTAGTCAAGGTAGAATAGGCGTGGACGAGGTCTTGCAACTGTTCAAAGACTTCCTCTCTCGCAACGGCTTCTGGGGAATAGGCCAAGGCATCGTTGGCAGCATTGAGGTGGTATTCTGGATCGTTAACAGTGTATGAGCTTTTCTCAGCAGCCTGGAACTCAGCAAAAGCCTGAGACAAATTGAAATTCATGGTACAGAGCTTGGTGGCAGTGCCGGTGGTTGTTCTAACTGTTTATCCAACCTCAACTTGGTTGTTTTCATCACAAAAAACAAAAAACAAACCCTGTAAGCACTCACATGCGATACTGTGCAGACGCATTCACAAGTGCAGAAAAGGGTTGCGTGATCCACAGTGGTGGTTTTGTTGTTTTTGGGTCTCTTTCAAGATAAATGAAAACAGTAAAACGAGGTTTTTGTTCAAAACACACTTTGAGTTTGGACCAACAGCACATCTCTGAGCTGCTCTAGCTACTTGAATGGTAAACATTGGCTGTGGATGAGCTAATTACTACAAGAGCAAATGGATACTCTTTCTGGGTCTAAAGCTGGCACTTTGACAGATACTGGGCATATCGAGGGCAGTCTACATTCGCCCAACAATATAAAGTTGGATGGGCAATTTCTTAACAATAGCGACAATCAGCTCAATGGCAAGGGACTAGAAGGGATACACAATGAAGTAGGGGCACAGCAGATAGCTGAATTTGTTAATGGTGGAATAAACAGCAGTTTTTTGAAAAGCGAAATGGGCAATAATCAACATTATAGTGCTGGATTCGATCTTGATGATATCACAAACACATCCACAGAAATATCCAGCAATGCTATAATAGATACCTATGTTCCAAATAATGCTGCTGAAAATATAGACGATAGTTTTCAAGACAAAGTCTATGTTTCAAACAACAATTACCTTGATCTGAACGAAAGTCTTAATCACCTTGATGCAATACTTCATAATTCCTTTCAAGATGAAGCAGGTGTAAATAATTTGCACAAAAATATAATCAATCATGAAAATAACAAACCAGATCGTGATTGTGATGAATCTTTTGATACAAAATTACTTAATCCAATTATAAAGAGCTCCAATAATAATTTTAATTTAGATTATAGACTAGGTTCAATTAGTCTTTCTGACTGTAGTGATATTTTGAATGTTGAAAAAGATCAGAATCAATCCATTGATATGAACCTCACGAAAGCCAACCAAAATGTAAGTTTCACCAATGAAGTTAAAAATCAAAATGATATAAATGATATGAATAACATAAATGATACAAGCGAGATATGTGAGATCAATGCTTTAAACTATCATTTAAACAACTTAGATCTAACAGATCATGGTTACAATCTGGAAAAAGAAAACAAAAATACTGTTTTAAAAAATATAAATACAAATATAAACGAAAATCTTATAAAGAATGGAAATACAGATACTACAAATAATCAAAACAATGATAACCAAAACCAAAACAAAACTCCAAAAAAAGCCCAAGTTCAAATCAAAAGTCCTAATCAAAACAAAAATGAAAACGAAAATGAAAATGAAAATGAAAATGAAAATGAAAATGAAAATGAAAATGAAAATAAAATAAATAATAACAAAACTCCTGAATCATTTAAAAGACAAAGCCCAAAATACAAAAAATTACCCGATGATAATTTTATGTTAAACTTGACTAAATCTTTTTCACCAAGAAAGTTGTTTACTACCCCAATAATCAATAAAAAATTATCTACTGTAACATCAAACAGCAATAATAATACAACAAAGAATAATCATATGAACAATATAAATTGCGCTAGTTCCATAAGCTCAATTAATAAAAATAACGACAAAAAACCCACGCGAACATTGCCAATCATAGGTTTATCATCTTTAGAACATCGAAGAAATTTTGATTACTCTTTACAACTACATGATGACAGCGAATTGGACTATACTTTTTCAAATTTAAATTCTTATTATAGTGCTAATAATAACAATAATAATAGTAATGGTAATCAAAAAATTAATAAAAATTTGAAGATAATAAACTCCTCAAACAAATTAGAGGATTTACAAAAACAAATTACAAATTATAAATTACAGCAAAAAATTTTAACAGACCTATTAAACAACATCATAAACCAATCTAATAACAAGAATTATAAAAATATAATTTTACAAATTCTAGAAAAAGAACAACAATTATTAAATTGTGAAAGTTGTAAAACTAAAGACACTCAAATTGAATCTTTAAATAATGACTTGACTAATTTAAGAAAGATAAATGAAGATTTGAATTTTCAGCTTGATGAGCACAAAAACCGAATTATTTCAGACGAAGAACTTATCAGTAAATTAAACGATGATTTGACTAGTCATGATTCTTGTCTAGATGATATAATATATTTTCTAGCACAATCAAATAACTACGCTGATAACATTCCATTGTTAGATGCTTTAAATGATCCCTCAAACAATGATTCCATTGAAAATAAGCTCAACACAATCAAGATTGCTTTGAATTTAATAGCTGATTCAGAAAATTCTCAAATAGATACTTTGAAAAATCAATTGTTTGAGTTGCAAACCAATCTATTTAGTAATCTGCCACACTCAGACTCAAATATTAATTTACAATCGGTTGATCAATTTGAAATATTTGCTAGTGATGTAAGGTCTAGATATTTAGATGTTGAAACTAAACTTAAAAGAGTTATGGAAATTAATGAGAATTTAAATGAGAAAATTCACGATTATTTAGATCTTATCAATGAAAAAAATAATCAACTTCTGAGATTAAACCATGGATTAGAACAGAAAAACAACAGTTTTAAAAATGTCTTGAATGGATATAAAAAATTGAAAAAAGATTACGATCAGCTAATCGATAGATTTAATTCAAAGGGAGGTCCTTTGTCATCACCTCAGATTCAGACAGAAAAACCATTATCATTACCTCATACTCAAGCAGAAAAACCATCATCATCACCATCGCCATTGACAGTTTTTCATATTTCTTCTCTGCTAGATTCCAAAAAGCCTAACAACGGCAATACAAATAATAATTTGAGAAAAATCAGCACAACTAGTAATGTTTCAAGTGCTGTTACTGGAATTTCTAAACCTTCAAGAGTTTCTACTGCCTCAAGTTATACACAATATTCCTCTGAAAAAAGTCCCCAAAGCGATGTTCTTGTACCAAAAAACAATGTCAAAAACAATGCTTTTAATAACTTGACAGTTGATAAAACTAGCCTTTTGGAATTGCAAAAAACTAAATTTCAATTGGAAAAACTTCAAAACCAAACTGAACAACTTAAGGATCAAGTAAAAATTGTTCCAGATCTAAAAAGAGAGATAAATAAATTGAAGACACAACTTTCCTATAAAACTGTAGAAATTGACAATATTCACAACACATATAAGGAATCTGAAAGTTCTAAAGTGAATACAATTCAAAAGCTTCATACCGAGATTCAAGACTTGATAAAAGAAAATAGTCAGATTACAATAAGTAAACGAAAAGTTGATGAATATATAAGTAAAATAGAGAATCTTGAAAAGACAAACGAGTTAAAAAACACAAAAATTAAGGAGCTTAAGAAGCAGCTAGAAACCTCATTAAAGGTCTCTGATTTAGTTCATGGATATCAAAAAGAAATAAAAGAAATCAAACAAAGACTTGAAAATGCTGCCCAGAAACAAAGAGAAATCGGTGCTGAAAAGGCCAAATTAGCTTTTGCTATTGAAGAAATGAAAAAACAAGTGATCATGCCATTAGAAAATGAAAACGAAATTTTGAAATCAAATATAAATAACCTAAAAGAACACATTGAGTATCTAACGCAGAAATACCAAGAATTATTCAATTTGGTAGTAGAGTATTTTGATAAGCAAAAAGCTTCATTTGATAGAATCTTTGATGAAAGATCATTGCGTGAAGTTGAACGAAGCATCAAAAAGTTCAAAGAATATGGAGAGGCTGATGATTTGAGTCGTAAAAATCACGAGAAAATCAAATACCTAGGCTCCACCATACACGACTATTTCTACCAAGCTGCAGATAAATTAATTGGAGAATGTATTTACCATCAAAAAGCATCTTCTGAATCGCTTGTCTCAGACAACTCACGTTACAAATTATCGGGTGTTGCTTCTGAAAACAAAAAAATGAAAGCCTATATTTCGACTTTGAAGAAAAAGCTTAAAGAAATTGAAGACAAAAACAGAAACTTTGTTGTTCAAAAACCTAATAGCAACGAAAGTGATGATGAATCATTGGCCAGTCAATTTGACCCGATAAACGTTGTGGTGGATAAAAAAAAGGGCAGCTCGAGCCCAAGAGAAGAGCTTAGAATAAGTGTAATGACGAACAAATTCAAGAAGGAGAGAGAAACAAGAGCCATCGAAGCTGATGGGTTCACAAAACGAATAAAGGATTTGGAGGCTGAAAACAAGAATCTAATTGAACAGTTAAGAAAACAACTAGGCGAAGACTCGATTCAGTGATTCGCCAACAATTATGTGTATAAAGCTCTCACACATTGATTTTGTTTATTGTCGCTAGTCCACTTGATTTCACTTGATTCAACTTGATTTCAGTCAGATTTTGCTCACTTCCAGCTGAGAAACAAAAAAAAGTTGGTTCACATCAAGTGAAAATACACGTGACCTGAAATTATCCTGAGCCAATCAAAAAAAGTGAGAGTTTTTTCTTTGGTTTTGTTTTTGAATAAGACCCATTTTTGCCTCGAGGTTGGATCACTTTGTTCTGTTGGAGGTTATTTGACTGCGAGATATCGATCGATCAACATGTCTTTGATTCGAAATTCAGCCAAAAGGTGCATCAACCACTCTACCCTATCTACCACTAGATATCTTACAATTTCTGGATGTGATTCAGTAGGGACCTGGTCAAGATACTACTCTTCATCTGGCAATTCCAAAACCAAAGAGTATGGTAATTGGACTGTCAAAAGACTAAAAGATGAATGTCAGCTTAGAAACATAAATTTTGAAGGAAAGAAAAAAGACCATTTGGTAAAATTGTTACGAAACAGTGACAAACACGTTTTTGCCAACGACAATCAATCCAAAGAAGTGAGCGAATCTGAAAATTCATCAAAAAAACCTAAGAAATCTAAAAAGAAGCTGGCAAAATCTAGCAAAAGGAGTGACTCTTTGAATTTTACTGCTCCTGTTGAACCTGTTATTAAAAGAGTTGATGACCTTCCTGATGAAGCTCCCTTAAGTGATTCATTTGTGCAAACTGAAGAAAGCCCTAAAATTGATGCTCAACTTGATTCTATTTTAAAAGAATCTCAAAAGCAGAGTGAAGTTGCAACTGAAGATACTGGGCTTAAAAAAGACGAAATATCTATCAATGGTGATTCAGATGTTTTGATTAACTCTGACGTTTTAGTAAGCAAATCTGAATCATTAGAGAATGTTACAGATTTGAAAACAGAAGATAACACATATGCCATTCAAACAAATCTAAATGAATCAATTTCAAAGGATACAGAGGATTTTATTTCAAACGATAAAGCATTTAAAGCTGATTCCGATAATAATTTACAAGATTTTAAATTCGATGAACCTATTGTTGAAATCAAACCAATAGAAGAACCTATTGTCAAAACAGTTGATGAAACACCCGTTCAAATTTTAGGAAATGATATTATAGTAGATAACAATATATCTCTTGAAACTGAGAAAAAAATAGACGGGGAGGATTTAGTGGGATTTAAAGAATCAGAAGTATCAACATATTCTTTATTCCACAGTAAAATTCAAAGACCAGATTCATTGGAGGTTAGTATTGATGGAAACCCTCTCCCTGAAAATAATTTCATTGAAAGTGAAAAGGAGATAGACAAAGAAATAAAAGAAAAACAAGCAAGTATAAAAGCTGAACAATCATCAGAGGAGCCTGTGAAAAAATTTGAAGGCAGTCATATCGAAGAATCTCAAAAAGACAATAACAGTTCATCCCTTAAAAAGAGTTCCATTGAGAACCTTTCTGAGTTTAATGAATTTAAATTGGAAAACAATGATAGTACCTTGGAATATGAATTAACTAATAAAAATGAAGTAGATGAGTCTACTGAAAAAGATGAGCAAGTAAAACAGGTTGAAGAACTGCAAAAGATTGAAGAATTAATATCTGAAGAATCATCAAAAGTTGAAAAACCTATAGTTGAAAAACCTATAGTTGAAAAACCTATAGTTAAAGAAGAACTTATAGTTGAGGAATCATCAAAAGTTGAGGAACAACCTATAGTTGATAAATCATCAAAAGTTGAAGAACCTATAGTTAAAGAAGAACCTATAGTTGATGAGTCATCAAAAGTTGAGGAGTCTGTAGTTGGACAATCTATAGCTGAGAAATCATCAAAAACCGAAGAATCGGTTATTGAAGAACAACCGATAGTTAAAGAAGAAGATATAATCAGAGAAGAGCCAAAATCCGAGGAAACCCCCAAAGTTGAAGAAAAATCGAATAATAAAGAAAACGAAACATCTGCAGAGGCCAAACTAAGCACTAGAGATAAAACTCTTCTTGGTGGGTTTTTGGCAGCAGTGATTAGTTGGTTTGCATTGGATTCTTTTGAAACTAAACAATTGTAGTTTGAAGATTTGAATATATGTACTTAATTTTTTTGACTTGTTTATAAATTTTTTATAACTATTTTCTGGTCTAGTATTTTTAATATTTAATTTTTTGAATTTTGATAAGGAAAAAAATCCTGTTTTAACGATATGGAACTAGTGGAATCAAGCGATAATAGGATCCTGATCTGACTGTAGAATCAGTGGGATGGTTTATCTGAGGTCAAAACAAAAAACAAAAAAAGAAACAAAATAAAAGAAATAAAAATAAAAACAAAAAAAAATAACAAAAAAAACAAAAATAAAATAGCTGTGAGAACGAATTATTGGTAAAATTATCGACTATTCAGTGGATTAATGAAATCTTATTAAAAGCGATTTGGTACTATGTGGATTCTGTCGACTATTAAAATTCAAAGAGACTTTTGTTTATTGTTTCTCCTGCTTACTCTTCATTCCGATAAAGTAATATGTTGCCTTGTTTAAATCAAGGTCTGGATCAAAGTGCCTGTGCTATTTTAAAACAGTTTTCAGAGCTCTGAAAATTTCCGAAACAAAAGGTTTCATATCAATTGGGCTTATTAATCGAGTGTCTTGAATGTCTTGGATTGATATTGACCGCTTTTTATTATTTTTTTGATTTTAGAGGTGCAAACGTTGATTTTTAAAGTTGGCAGGCCGACTGAGTCACCTGCATGCATATGCGCTATATGAATGCCATGTATACACAATACATAGATACAAGTTTACATGCGCTACTCGCAGTCTATGCACAGAGCATGCAGAAATATACGATCTGCATCAAACGCAAAATATAAGGTGACGCTTTCTATTTTCTACGCTGTTTTGTTGATCACAATCCTGGTGCTGCAGGTGTACCAAACAAATGGAGTAGAACCCTAAGTTCTGCGTTATTTTCTTCCATAATTTATGTCCGCTTTCGATCTTTAAGTTTCATTTTTACCAAAGTATAAAAAGCGGTATTGTAGTATTTTGAATTTAAGGTATGGAATTATTCGATACAATTAAGAAGTTGAATCATAATTTTTTAGATTTGAGGCAGATTGAGTCAAGTTTATAAATGATTTTATGTTCATAGGAAAAAAAAACATGGTCATTGGTCTTATTACAAAACCAGTTTTAATCATGTATTGTTGATATATTTTGAAAATAGACATTTATACATGATAAAAATTATTCGTTGACAGAGTGAATCACACCAAACACCATGAGTCTTGGATAAAGTACTTTGATTGGTTATAACTTCCAGAAAACTGAGTTTTGGAAGTGAATATACAAATGTGTAAATGTGTTAGAGAAACACTTAGCATGGTTATATAACTCAATTAGCAAAATGGTGCAATTTCAAACTCCAATCAAAGAAAAAAGAAAAAACCGATAAAACATTTGTGACTAAATAAAATGAGACAAATTAAAACAAAATTCCAACTCTATTAGCTTAAAATTTCATAATTATATGATAGAACTGTAGAATTGAGAAAGAACCGGTACAAGAAAAAGAAAGAAAACAATAGTCCAGCATTTTCTATAGTTTTTAAGGCTCGAAGCAGATTATTTTGTGGTTGCAAAAAACAAAACGAAAATTCAGGCAAAGGTCTTCCACAAGGGTGGATTTCAATACCGCATGTACCTGCATAACTTCGCGTGTTCTGGAGCGCTGGTTTTTTTGAGCACATTAACAGTGATAAAGTGAGAATAAATCTGAAAAGATGCAAAAAACAATGCAATACGATAGCGATAATAGGCATTTTTTTTCTTTTGTTGGCAATAAAGCTGGTCAGAGGCTTGTATTTGTCGGTTTCCTGGTTATTTTGAACATGTATTGGTTTAATCTTGAGTTGGTAAGCAGAAGTTGTTGATTCAAACCTAAATCGCTAAAAACTGATGAAAAACAAATGGATTATAGGAAGAAATAAGCTAATGAATATTAATGTTTGTTAATATTTATTAATATTTATTAATAAACACTGATAAACAGTTGATTATTAAAATAAAGCAAAGCGTTTGAATATATGCTAATCAACATTCGTTAGGTCATAAACGCAACAGAATTCCAACTAAACTTGGCTGTATGTTTAAAAAAAGATGTGGAAACAACAAATCAATTTTTGAATGGATTTTACTGCCTTTTTGATAAGTTTTTGAGAATACTTGAAAATATCTGAAAATATTTGCAGCAGCTTTAAAACATTTTTAATCGTTTTTTATCATTTATAATCATTTTCAGGTATTATGTTGGTAACGAGCTAATAATATTTTGGTTTATTGATTAAGTTGTAAGAATTTTCTAGGTGTACTTAAAAATTATTTGAATTATTAATAAACTGTTGGAGTGCAAATCTATCTTCCCTTGTTTTTCTTTGTTTCTGTTTTGATTCCAACAAGTGTGGGATGTGGATAGAACCTGCTGCATTTGCTGATTCGCAGAGTGCTGCGAGGAGTTCGCACCACAACCAACGTTGCTAGCTCTAGCAAAACAGCCTCCATCAGCTAAGAAATGAGTGAAAATCTCTCAGTGAAACTCCAGCTCTCAGCCAGAGAAATTAGTCGAGCTTCTTCAGATGTCTGAAATCAACATTAAACGTCTCCCAGCTCCCCCATCAACGACACCAGAGACAAATCAACAACCACAACAGCTCGCTGTTTGGTTTGTGCTTGTTGGATTCAATAACAAACACCTTTATTCTGTTATAGCCTGGAGCTGTAGTGGAAAACTTCCAGAATTCACCTCTTGAATTCAACTTTTGCAAAGTTTGATCTTCTTTGATCCGGCAACCTTAAAAGTTACTGTCCACTTTCACCAATCCAACAAGAAAGTTGTTTTTTATTATTTATTCTTTCGAAAAGCAAAAAGCTTAAAGCTGCTCTTATTTTTAGTTTTGTCCAACCAATTTTTCTTTTTCTTTGGGTATTTTGTGCAATTTCTGTTCCCTTGTTGAAAGTTTAGTTTTTTTCTGCTCAAATCCTGTGTTTCCGTACTTTTTCCTTTCTTTCTTCTACAGAGGTGTATTGTACTGTCTTTTACGACATAGTTGTTTTCTAAAATTTCCAATAATAATTAACAAAGAACAGAGAATTAATGAATGAATTAAAAAAACTATAAAAACAAATCACTATGTAGCCAACACCAATTATTTCTGTAATCAAATTAAGCTGCTCAGCAGACACAACCTAATTAACCCGAATAATATGGTAATAAAAGCTTTATCCCAGCAAGATATATAAAACTATTTAACCAAAAACGTTAAAACCTAAGAGAAGCAAATCAGTAAATAAAAAAAGGAAATCTTAAAAATAATGAAAAGAAAAAAACAATGTAGCAACGGAAAAAAAAATGAAGGATTAAATAAAAAACTATTCGGTGAGCACTTAAAATTGTATAGTACAGTTACTTTTTACCTCGAAATATTCCTTAAATTTGAAGGCCACCCATGAATTTTATATGCAATACGGTCAATGATTGTAAATAAATTAACATAAAAGGAAATAAAAGGAAAGTGATATTATTCTTTGTTCTATCCAATAGGTATATTTTTTAATATGAATATAAAATTTGATTTTAAGCAATCATTAAAAAAATTTTAGCAAGCATCACAATTATAAAACTGATTATTATTTTACTTTTTTTTTTTTTGATTATTTGGTTTTGAAAATGTTCAATTACCTATTTGCTATCACCTTTATAAAAGCAATAACTATTCAAAATGTCATTGTAAAGTTTTGAATTCATTTGAATTGGTAAAGCCTTTTTGATTGGAGCTTCATCATTTAATTTTGATAATGAAGTAATTGGTGATTTATTATCATTAGAAATATCTTTTAAAGACGAACCAAATCCAGATGAGTCGCAATTAAAAGAGCTAAATGTGTCATTAGTAAACGATTGAGATTTTGACAATTTAAGAGGGTCATTTGAAGACTTGGCTGTGGTCTGACTTAGAGATAAAGAAGTGAGATCATTGATATCATCTGAATCATCATTTTCCATGTAAAGACCTGTTTGACTAGTAAAATCAAATGTGTAGCGACTAGTCAAATTTAAAGGAGAGCTTGTTGGAGTCTTGCAACCGCCAAAGGTATAAACATCATCTTCTGGGAAGCATCTAGCTGGTTTTTTTGAATTGTTGTTGTTGTTATTATTATTATCGTTATTATTGGCTAATAAATTATTGAGCAATTCAAGATTTTTCTCAGATACTTCCTTTTTAGAAGATTTTCTTGCTTTGTGTTTAGAGTTTGATAATGAAAGTTCATAATTTGAATTATTATTATTATCCCAGTAGTTGCTGTTATTGACTTGATAATTTAGACACATTTGTAGATTTAATTTACCTAATTTCATTGAATCCAAGTCGTTTAAATTTAAAGCAAATTTGAATTTATCAATTTGGTTATTGACGGATTTTAAATAGGTAGCTTCGACTTCTTTAAAGGTAGACCAGTTGTTTAAAGTTAATTTGATGGTGACACGTTTATCGTAGGCAATATTTTTAACCAGAATCAAGCCAATTAAATAAATTAAAGCATTATTGGAGGAAGAAGGGGAGGAATATTTAACTGGGGTGATTGAGTCTGGGGATGAAGATAAGAAAATAGTTTCCAAGCAAATGTTTGAGGACAAATCTGAAGAGGTGTCGACTAATCTTGGGGTTGATAATAGACGATCAAAATTTGTTGATTTAATTTTCCAAGAGCCAACTTTAGATTTTGATTTTGATTTTGATTTAACTTTTTGATTTTGTTTTGAGTTGAGATAGATATTATGAGCATTAGAGTTGTTTAAAGGAAAGGAGTAGTTAAAAGCACTTAGTTCATCATCACTTTCGTAATCGTCATAAAAGCTAATATCAAATTTAGCTCTTCTGTGATGTTTTTGCTGGGAAGGAGAAGAAAGGGATGAAAAACTGTTGTGGATGTGAGAGTTTGATTTTCTAAGAGAGTTTTGAGAAGAGATTGAGTTCGATTTGCGAAATTTGATATAAGAATCAGTATCGTCGTTGATCAGGTTTCTGTTGAAGATGTTGAGAGCATTTGAGTAGCCAAAGATGTCCACGTCAAAGTCTGCGGAATTTCTGTGGGAGCCCAAATTGTAGGGGTAGTCATCTTCACTTGAACAGGTAGAGTCACCATCTCTGACACTTAGGGGTTTATCGAATTTATTGAAAAAACGGACATCTTCTAGTTTGTGATTAAATTTGACAGATTTTTTAGATAGGGAGGGCATTGAGTTTGATCTTTTGAGGTCATCTTTTTTTAAGGTTGATAATTTTAGAGAAGATTTTAATTTTTTGATTGGTATGATTGGAGAGGTTGGTGTGGTGAGAGATAAGGAGGTTGAGTTATCATCGTTGTTAGTTGTGGCAGTAGTGTTGGTGGTGTTGGTAGCGATTGTGTTGTTTGAGTCAGAAGTTATAGTTGATTCAGTTAGAGTTTCAGTTGAGAAGTTTGTAGCAATTGAGGGAGTGATTGATTGGTTTTGGTCTAGGATGATGGTGTTCAGAGAGCTGTTTGAGCTGCTTAATTCAAGTGGTTGAAGGGACAAGTTATTTTTATTTTTGTCGTTGTTGTTGCTGTTGTTGTTATTATTATTGTTATTATGGGAAAGTTGATTAAATTGATCGATTTTGATAGGATTGTTGTTAGCGTTGTTGTTAAAAGCGTTAGTTATGGATGTTAGAGTAGAAAAAGCGTTATTAGAAAGCTTTGAGTTTTCGATATAGTTAGTGTAGTGATTTTGGCTTTGAATTTGAGCTTGGGCTTGATTATTATTTTGTTTAATTTGAGCTTGATTATTTTGATAGTAGTAGATGCCGGTTTTTTGGAATTGGATTTGATCATAATCCAGATCTAAAGAAGAGGAAGATGAGTTTGAAGAGATATTTACAGTTGCTAAAGAGTCAGGGGATGAGCAATTGGAGAGATCTGAAGGATCCATGATGGTTGTGGCATCGTCGTTATCGTAGTCATCTTGGGAGATTATATTTTCGTTATTTTGTTTAGTGTTGACGGTTGAGACAGGCTTTGGGCAGAAGGAAGTGTCGGCGGTAAAGTTGTAGGACCTTTGAAACATGTCTGAGGTTGCTAGAGTGGACGACAAAAAGGGCTGTGGGCGATTTTGTATGAGAGAGTTTGAAGAAAAGGACATTTATTTATTGTGTTATGTTGTGAACTAGAAAGGCTGTTGATAGTGATTGATTTTTTTCTGATATTATTAATCTAAAGAAAAAAAAGAATTGGTGAGAGAAAAACAAAACAAAAGGAGGCGAGTTTGTTTTTAAGAGATGATGTTATTTTTGTGGAAATGATGAAATGGATAGCAAAAAGCAAAGTAGAGACAAGTCGATGAGTCAACAGAATGATAAGAAAAAAAAGGAGATTTGGATGTGAATGTGGATGTGTAGAAAAAGTAGAAGAGTATCAAACTAGTATCTTGAGATGGAGGAAAAAGTAGAGATTAACAAAGATATTGGAAACCCGAATATCTTGTGGTTTAGATGAGAGTAAACAAAATGGTTAATATACAACCCAATGACAAGATAAAAAAGCGATACTTCTGATCCTTCTTATACAAATCGAAACAAATATAATAAAAAAAAAGGCGAACCCACAGCCAAAGGACAATCTTTATATACTTTTTGGGAAAAATTTAATAAAAAATTTCAGCTGGGATACAACAAAGAAAATTTTGTGCAAGGGGTTTCACTTTTTTTGGGCTTTTTGTTATCTTTGAGGTGTTTTTTCAGTTGCCAAAGTGGAGTGGTTAGGGAATATGCGGTAAGCCTCGCGCCTGCAGTCGCACTCCCGTACTAACAGGACAAAATTGTGGTATCAGGACAGTCCAGGTGCGGCCAGAAGCAGCAGCGCGGCGACACGCACCTGTAGAATCCGCACCGCGCAAGTAGGGTGGTCATGTGCCGCGAGATGGCTGCTGCGCCAAGCCGCCGCAAGAGCGTTGTCTCACGCGGTTTTCAAGTAGCGTGTTCATAAGGCAACTTTATTTGTTTTGTTCGGGAGTGGGCGCTCCAGCGTTTCCTGGATGGTTGTGCTCCCCTCCCGATAACACGGGAACGCATCCTGTTGAAAATGCCCGATCGGGTCAGACCAGGCCGGTGCGGGCGGGCGTGCTGCCCGCTGGGCTGGTGCCGGAGGTGCTTTGGGCTCGCGGGCTGCTCCTGCGGGAGCGCTGTTGCTGTTTTTGGAGGCTTTTGTGCAGCTCCGCTGGTATTCTGTTGGTGTTTTCGAGGCCCATATCCTTTTCAATTGAGTTTTGTTCTTTGTGTGTGAACCAATTCGCTTACTGTGTCGGGAAATCTTCAAAGTTAGTTCTTCTGGTTAATCATTTATTGATTTTTATTCACTTATTGCGTCCATTTTCCAGTCTGACAATTCCGTTTCTGTATATACTTGGATTGTTGGGTTCCCATATTCTGTTTCCTGCAGTCGAGTGATTTTATAAATCTCATTGATCCACCCAAAGAAAATATCAAGCCGCTGTGGTCAATTGCCAGTAACAAAATTGCAGTATTTGCACACAGTAGTTACGGTTCTACTTTATTCATCCAGCTGTTTTCTAAGGTTTTATCTGGATCCAACAGTTTTCATTCGCTTTTGTTGTTTATTGTTTGTTATTTGTTATTTGCTATTTGTTGTTTTATTTTTCTCTTGCTTGTTTTGTGTGGGGAAACAGTGGATTCAATTGATCGATCCATCAATTATGTAACTGATTATTTATTGACTTATTTGTTGTGTTGAATGTTGGCTCAATCCTTGTAAGTTAGATTACTGTTGTATCGACTCACCTTTCAAGTTGTTCCAATTTGCTTGAAAATTGCTTTTTTTTCCCATTTTTCTTTTTCCCAATTTATCCAATATTTATCAAATACTTATCAAATATTTATCCAATACTCATTTGTTCGATCTAAATTAATCCATCCAATTCCCCCACATTTCGTTTGATTTCGATTTGCAAAGCAAAGCAAATTAAAAATAAAATAACATGAAAGAAAATAAAAAGAAAAGAAAAGAAAAAAGAAAAGAAAATAAAATAAAATAAAATAACAAAAAAATAAAAGAAAAACAAAAAAGGAACTCGATTGATGGATTAATTCAATACTCAATCAAATATTCAACTAAATAATTAATTCATCATATCGATTTTAGTCACAAATCTAATATCGCAATACCCACCTCTTATTGGCCCGTTTCACTAATCAATCTATCTTAAAAAGAAAAATCATTAACAAAAAGAAAAACAGACAATAAAAATAACCTACACTGCCATACTATCTCATACTATCTCATACTATCTATTTTTATGAGATAAGAAATTGATTATCAGAAATTTAGTATATCATTTTTAGTATCACTTTCTTTCTCATTTATTGACTCTATTCTCTTAAAAGTACGAAAATCTTCAGCTTCAATTTCAATTCAATTAGTTCAATTTATTTCTATCTCAATTTCAATCCCATTACAATTTCTCTTTATTTTAGACCATATCCTTGTTTCTTTGCTCATGTCTATCCATTTTACAATTTCCAAAATATTATTAATATTAATAACAATATTAATAATGTTATCATTAAAAATAAAATTATAAAACAGAAGAGATCAGCAAAATAGTAATTACAAATAGTAATTGTAGTATTAATATCATCACCATCATCACCATCACCACTATCATCATCATCATCCTTTTTTTTTTATTGGTCAATTACCTTCCACTGCGACCGCCATCTTAACTTTTAGCAAACAAAGAGCCATAACATCCCAGTTCCAGTTTCAGCTTGTGAGTTTATCAACGCCAGCTATTTTTCACTTCCTCTTGCTCTCACTGCCAATTCTCTCCAAACCACCTTCAATTATCAACACCTTCCATACAAAACCAATCTCAAACGACATCCTCTCATTAAACTTTCGCCTGATCTCACAGGGTTTTTCAAAAAGCCAAAAAAAGAAACTCTGCTGTACACAAATTCTTTCCCAATATCTTCTTTAACCTTATTTTCTAAAACTCTGCTCTATCCACAGAATGCTGCATGCACAAAACCTTATATCCTCCTGATCCAACAGCCTCTCCTCAATTTCTTCACTTTTCAGGATTTCCATCTCCACACAAAAACCTGTCTTATCTTCTTTTTGCACCTTGCCCAGCACCCCATAAAAATCCAATTTTAGCTTGCGGGTTTAATCTCTTTTTCACCTTCATCATCACCACAAATCGAACAAAATGCCTACCCACAGCGGGTAACCCAAATCTGTCAAACCTTTAGAAAATTAGAAAATCAAGAAAAACAAAAATTAAAAAAATAAAAAAAATAAAAAATGCCCACCGCTTTTTCTACATTACTCATTTCAATCTCTACTCACCATTAATCACAAAAATCACACAATCTTTATCACTTTTTCTTACCCGTGAGAACCACTCTGGTCTAATTTGCAACCATAAACAATAATAAACACCATGCCGCAAACTCACTTGCTAGCTCGTTCTCAATTTTGCTTTGCTTTGCTAACGGCTATGTCCTTGTTCAATATATCACTCAATAATTTCTAAAACATCGCCAGACCCCCATCTGTCCTCTGTCTTGTGATCGCCCACGTGGCCTCGCGCTTTCCTCCCATCCCGTTGGAAACAGCCAAAAAAACCCTTCCACACCGTTGGCCTCGTTCTTTCCCATGCCTTCCCAATCGAGCTATCAGTTCCGTTTTGATCTTCGAATCTCTTGACGGAATATTTAAGATATCAAAGATATTTAAGACCCACGCTTCCATCGCCCATCGCTCAATCATCGCTCAGAGATATCCCCAAAATCTCTCTTTTGCAGCCCAAAATCTCTCTATCTTTCACTAGTCCTCCTAAATATGCTCTCTTTTTTCTCATTTCGAGGAATCGCTATTCCTCTGCCTTCTACTTTCCATTTTCGATAATCCAACTGTCATTTCTACAACCAATATATGACCTTAATTATTTGTTTCTGCCTGATCTACCTGATACCGGCACCATATCTATTTTACCTTCCCTTCTTATTATACCTCATCTCTGCTCTAACCAATATAAATATTATTTCTCTCCCTTCACTCTTTTTTTCCATCTGAACTATACAAATACCCATTCCACTTCAAATGCCTCCTCCTCCTCCTCCCCCAATAGAACTCCCTGTTCCAAGAGACTCTGATAACCATTCCTTTTCTTTATCGGCCTCTGCTCCAAGAAGATCCTCTCTCGCTTTTTCCTCTTTCTCTCAAACCGTTCACGAATATCGCTCAAATTATATCGACCATCTCAACGTCTATGAAAACGACGCAATCGACGACTTAACTCCCCTTTCAAAAGACCAACAACCCCAAATATATGGCTCAATAACAAACAACAGCAAAAACTCATATATTCAATCCAGAAGAAGCTCCCTATCAACCCCCATCATCCCCTCGAGATCAAATCTATCTTTATCTCAACACGACCTATTAATCCCCCAAAACAATAATGACTCCCTTTCCTTAAAAGAACCCCAAACAGATTACTCAATCGAATCTTACTTTCTTCTAAAATACTCTCCCCCCTTGGTCTTAACTTTCCTATTGCAATACTCCTTAACTATTGCTTCGGTTTTTAGTGTTGGTCAATTGGGCAAAAATGAATTGGCTGCTGTTTCTCTCGCCTCAATGACTGCAAATATCACTGGTTATGCTCCAATCCAGGGTGTCTCAACCTGTCTCGACACCCTATGTGCTCAGGCCTATGGCAGAAAAGACTACAGAATGGTTGGTCTCCACTTCTTGCGTTGCACTTTCTTCCTACTAATCGTCTTTGTCCCAGTTGCACTCATCTGGATTGTCTATTCGGAATCAATCTTGCTCTCAATTATCCCCGAAAAGGACCTTTGTTACTTGGCTTCAAATTACTTGACTGTTCTATGTTTGGGGGTCCCCGGCTATATTCTTTTCGAAAATGGTAAACATTACTTACAAGCTCAAGGAATCTTCCACGCTTCAACTGTCGTATTGATGATATGTGCCCCATTAAATGCTTTCTTAAACTGGCTATTGGTCTGGCACTCAAAATTCGGCTTGGGCTTCATTGGTGCCCCAATAGCTGTCTCCATCACAAACTGGCTAATGGCTCTACTATTGCTTCTATACTCCTGGAGAATAAAGGGCTATCAATGCTGGTCCGGTTTTTCTTGGGATTGCTTTAAAAATTGGTCAAGAATGCTAAAACTATCTGCTGGTGGCGTTCTAATGTTAGAATGCGAATGGTTTTGCTTTGAAATTATCACCCTCTCAACCTCAAGATTCGGTACTGTCTCTTTAGCTGCACAATCAATCATTTCAAACGTTTGTGTTATGACATACCAAATTCCCTTTGCTATAGCCATTGTAGCCTCCACAAGAATAGCAAACTTTATCGGTGCCAACTCAAAAAACTGTGCTAAAAAGGCAACTTATACTAGTCTTATATTTGGTGGAATCATTGGCGTATTCACTGCAATTCTTTTATCCGTCTTCAGAACTCCAATAGCAAGAGCCTTTAGCAACGATCAGGAAGTCATTGATTTAGCTGCCAGAGTATTAATCATTGGTGCTACCTACCAGATTAACGACTCAATTAATGCTGTAGCAGCAGGTATATTAAGAGCCCAGGGAAAACAACATATCGGTGCAACAATTTACTTTGTCTCTTACTACTTGATTGCTTTGCCCGTCGCCTTTTTCTTTGCGTTTCATGTTAAATTAGAACTATTCGGTTTATGGATTGGTATGGTTATTGCTTTGTTTTTTGCAAGTATTTTTCAAACTTATTTCGTTTTATATGCTGATTGGGATGCAATTATCGATGATTGCATTCAAGAAGCTATTTTAGAAGGTCATGAATCCCAACTTGCCTAATAATAATAATAATAATAATAATTTTACGTTGATGGGGTTTTGATTTCATAGAATTTTGGTTTCATTTTCATGTTCATTTTTATTTTTATTTTTATCTTTATTTTCATTTTCATTTTTATTTTCATTTTTATATTTGTATTTGTATTTGTATTTACATTTACATTTTTTAATTTCAAATTATTTATTATTTATTATTTTAAGAATTTTCTCGTTTTTTTTCATAACAACATCCCTTCATTTTTATTGCATTCAGTGTATTAACATTTTTTTTAACTTTGTTCTCTTTTGTTCCATTTTTCTGACTTTGTCATATTATTTAATTTTCAATAATTTTGAATACATAATAATTTAAATTATTCCTGGTTTTTGTCACAAAAATTTTTGTACAAGCTTACCTGCGTTGTTGATGATTTTCGACGTCAATTAAATATAGAAAAATCTCAAAGTCAGAAATTAAAAAAATGAGAATCAAAAAATCATCAAAAATCAGAGTAAAAATTATCGAGTTTTCAAATTATGAAAAATGGAAAAAAAAAAATTGTATTAAAACAGTTTAAAGATAAAACTAAAAATTAAAATTTAAACTAAAATTGAAAAATATAAACATTTTACCTAAAAGAAAATAAACAACTAAAAGAAAAAGTGAAAAAAAGTGAAAAAAATATAGCTCTATAATATAACACTCCTATAACAAATTCACAGCGAGGGCAATAATAGATCCAAAAAATGGAGCAGCAACAAGAGCACCAGCATCTTCGGATGAAGATTCACTGGAACGAGAACTCGATCTCGAAGATGAAGAAGAGGAACTTGATCTAGAAGAGGAAGAGGAGGAAGCTGATGAAGCCGAGGAATCTTCAGATTCTGAAGATTCTGAAGACATAGAACTTTCAGAACTTTCAGAACTTTCAGAATTTTCAGCAGATGAAGCAGATGAAGTAATTGATGAAATAACTGAAGTAGCTGAAGTAGCTGAAGCAGCGTTACCATTACCAGTAGCAATAGCAAGGTTAGAACTTAAACGAGTGGAATACCAGTCTAAACCAGTAACAAAAGTTTGAAATTCACTGAATGGGAAGTCTGAGTTAATTAAAGTAGTATAACTGTCATCAGTATAGGATTGAGCAACATAATAATAAGATAAAATAGCAGTTGGAACTTCCCCAGCAGTGACTAAGCTCAAATAATCAGTTAAATGGTTATTGATATCATCAAAAACAGCAGTGACAGCATCAGCAGAGTTTGCGTTTGAGGTAGAAGCTGATAATAAAGCGATAACAGCGGAAACAAAAGTAGTTGAGAATTTCATTTTGATAGGATAAGAAAGAGAATTTATTAATTTTGGTTGATTGAACTGAGCGATCGATTATTGATTATTGAATATATGATAGGTATGAAGAAAATGATAAGATAAAAGAGAAGGAAAACAGTTGAAACATGAAATAAAATTGATGGATATTTATAATGAAATCAAAAGGAATTAAGCAATAAAAAAAACACGAAAAAGACAAACAAAAAAAAATAAATTAAATAGCAATTATAATTAATTTTTTCAAAAATAATACAAAACAAATAAAACTTGATGGAGAATATTGATTTTTTCCAAAACAACTTGATTAATTCGCTAAAATTGTGTAGCAAATTGCAAATTAACAAAGGAAAAAAGCATAGCTCGAAGACATTAAACATAAAAATAAGCGTAATAGAATTTTAAAAACAATAAACTATTGCATTATTGAAACTTAAAACGATTAACAAAGGCTTGGAAGGAAAAAAGATTATGGCAAGAGGAAATAAATATGGTTTGAAGCAAAAAGAAGCGTTTTGCATGCGCAAATATGCAAAGAAGCAATTTTTTTGTAAAGCAACCAATAAAAAGTTACAAATAAACACATGATTGTTTGATATACAGATACATGCGCATAGGCTCCCAACATGAGACCTCCTCAAAAAGTAGGAAAAAAAAAATAAAGTATTTATTTGGACAGAAGCGAGTTAAAAATTGATATTTTATTTCTTAGTATATAACTGATATATATAGAATATTTAACCAAAAATACCTTCCTCTATTGAGTTAGGAACTGGCTTGTCTCCATATGCGCCTGACCAAGAAATTGGTTTGATCAAGCCAGTAGCAGTTAAATGTTGTTGTCTTTGATTTTTGGGAACCTTCTCAAGAATTTTGTTGTTATTGGATAGAATTGATTGGTAGTTGATATCCTTGAATAGATATTTTTTAATTAGAGTTTTGAATAGAATTTGAGCATCATCAAAATTATCGCCTTCATAAACAAACATTTCAATAATTTTTAAATTAATATTTTGATCTTTGATTAAGAATAACTGGTCTTTAAGAGTCTTAATGAATTTCAGTGAGTTTGAATCAATTGAATTCAAGTTTTCGTGAAAAGTGAAGATATTATTGTTATTGAAATTGATGCCCATGTCATTTGAGGTTAGCACGATGATTTCGCTGAACGAAAACTTCTTGAAAAGGCTGTTGATTAGGACATCACTGATGAACAACGAGGTAAAACCAGGCAATACGGGGGCTCTTTGTTGGATTGTTGTCAAGTTGTAGTCAGCAGAGTAGAATACTTCAAGAGAGGTCGAAACGAGCTCGTTGTTGTAATTGCTGGAATCGACTAGTAGCGAGGTGTCGATAGGAGAAACGAAGGGGTATAGGTAGTCGTTGCTGAGTCGAGCAACAAGCTTGAAGTTGAGGTTGTGGAGCAATAAGTCAACAGCCAATTGAGGAACGTTGGCAAAGGACACAGCAGGGAGAACAAGCTTGGAGCCATGGAGCAGCTGGGCCAGCTCTGGAGAGAACAGATTGAGAAGAAGCATTGTAGTGAAGAGTGGAAGCATTTCAGTGGCACTAAGCTAAGATAAATTGCGTGGGCAAAAAAAGTTGCGCAGGAAAGTTGCGCACAATAGCGGATGACTGCACGTGTCATACTGCGCACGTGCTTAAGTTGCGCCAAACGTACCAGCGCAGTGGTAGATGTTGGATGTGCAGCTTTGGAGCGAGAATTGGAGATTTGAAGGGAAAATGAACAGAAAATGAGCAAGAAATGATGAAGAAGTGAACGAGAATTCAGGCAGTTTCACCCAAGAGATAGCATCTTCTTTCTTCGTCTGTTCTGCTTTTTGTTCTGCTCCAATCGCATTCTCCTATATGTCTGCTGACTGCTGAGTGATTCCATGCCTATTGTCTGTTTCTGCTGCATTTCTGGATATGCCTACCACCTTATTGTAACTGCAGCTCTCAAAGTAAATATATCCATCGTTTTATGCTCATTCTTACATTTCGTATTTTGGTTTCAGAAACACAATAACAATAACAATAGTCTCAATATTCCATTTTAGTTTTGATTTTATTTTTAGCTTTTCAATTTGTCCATTTGTTCACAACCTGGATAACCTGTATTTTATAATAAACCCAATCAACCCACTTTATTACAACCCATATTCACTCCATATTTACACCATATTTTCTATCATCTGGAAATGGACACCATCAATGAAAACGAAACAAACATCTCTGACACCATAAAGCTATCCAACAAAGACTTGATAAAAAATGACAGTAACAACCTTACAGAGAGCGACAACGACCTTAATAACAAAGCAAATAACAAAAACAATATCAAAGATGACAATGGTCTTCAAGATCAAAATAACATTGATAACAATAAAAATAAACCCACTAACAAATTCACACTTAAAAACTCAAAGTCCTTTTTTAAAAGCAAATTAAAGAACAATGAGCAAATCGCTGATGATAATCAAAAAAATAGTCTACTAAAAAATCACAGCTCAAGTCCTTCTTTGGACTCTTTTCCAATTTCAAATTCTAGAAAAAATAGTATCACTTCAAGTAGAAATAGTATAATATCAAATAACAACAATAACAACAATAGCAATAATAGCAATAATAACAATCCCACACCTAATAATAACATGGTATCGAGAAAAAATAGCTTTGATTTTCCAAATTTATCTTTATCAAAAAAATCAATGACTTTACCTGATATATCTTTTAAATTTAAAAACATAAATCTAAATCAACATAATATAAATCTCAAAGACCATAACAACCAGAATACATCTATTCTATTTTCCTATCCAAATGTCAAAATCGTTAGCTTTAATCCTTCTCTTTCTCCAAAACAAAAAAACAAAAAAATTAAATCAATTAACAACAGCAACAATAACAACAACAACAACAAAAACGCTATTAATACTACAAGCAGTAATAGTAGCATTACCAACAACAATAACAAATCCTCAAGCACAATAAAGAATCTCAAAAATCTCAAAAGTAAACTTTATAGTAACAATAATAATTCTGTGTCATCTCATAATCTGCCTCAGCACAATTCTTCCAACTCCTCCAGCTCTTCTAATTTTTTATCATCTAATGGAATTTTCCTGATATACAAATTAAACTCGAATAATAAAATATATTTTTCATGTGAAAATACTAATAACCACAATGATCAGAATAAAAACGAAAACGAAAACGAAAATGAAAATGAAAAGATTAATCAAGATATTGATATTTCTTTTTTCATCTACCATTTATCCAAAAACTTGAAAGTTTTAAAATTAAATGAAAATTCATATATTCTAATACTACCCAATCCCGAAAGATACTTGAAATTAATTTTTAAACATTACTCAAATACAAAAAATACAATCCATAATTCTGATACCATTTTCAATCATATCAATGATTTAGATCAATTACTCAAAAATCATTGCTTATTCATTGATTTATCCATCTCAATTTCTACTTTAGAATCTGATATCTCATCTACCGATAAATCATTTTCAACATCTTTTGCCTCTGATCAATTATCACAATACGGACAATCAAAAGAGTTTAAAGACTTCAAAGACTTTAAAGATTTCAAGGATTTCAAAGACTTAAACACTGATCCTATAACTATTAACTCTCACCCTAAAAAAATACAAGAAAATCCACTACAAACACAAAATAATTCTATTGACAATAATAAAATCAAATCTGTTCTTAATAACAATGACCGCATAATAGAAAAATCTCCCCAAAAAACATCTCCCACTTTTGAAGAAAATATCAAAAAAAATAAAAATGAAGGCTCATATTCTTCATTTGATGAACCCTCAACAAAAAGCAATTCATTAGATGACTATTTAAAAGACGAAAGATCAATTGACTCCATCTTCCAAGATGAATCAATAAAAGAATCCCAATTTGCTCAAAATATTTTTAAAAACCAAAATTTAGACTCCAATTATCAGCATAGAAATTGCTTACAGGATGTATTTTTGAACAATTTATTTTTGCCAAAAAATTCTCGCATAATAAGACCTTCTACTCAAGAAAATTTAAATAATTATAACAGAAATCTGGCAACACAAAAAAATGATTCTATTTTACAAATCGATTCTATTGAAAATAATTCGCTTAATGATACTGAAAAAAAACATAGCACTATTTTATCTAATCCCAGAAAATCTCAAATAAGCCAGTTATTTGATCCAAACTATTCTGGGTTTTTTGATGCTATGATGATTGGTAATGAAAATGAAAGAAATAAAAAATTAAACGAAATTCTTGCATTAAATGAGATCAACAAAACAAAACAACCTTTGACCCAAATAAAGATAGATCAGATAACTGATGATGCATTTCTTTTTAAAACACCTGAAAACCAATTAAGCAAATTGAGAAAACTCTCTGATTTAGGAAACCAGGATTTTTTGACCAATGGTGTTGAACACCATAAAACTTCAATATCAATGAGTCCAATAAAGCTTAATGGCCCTGATCTCAGTTGTAATGATAAAGATAAGTTTAAAAATCATCCTTTGAATATTTCTTTTATAAAAAAAAAACTGTCTTCTTTGATAATTCCAGATTCTATAGTTAGGAAAAATGATATCAATACATTAAACAGTCACTCCACAGATAATAAACTAATGAGCCCATCGCCAGTCTTTCAATCTCATTCAAATAGCTCGTTGGATTCAATTTTAGATGAAATCGTGAATGAGTCAGCAAGTGTTAATTTAACTTCAGAAAATGGAAAAGAATATATTAATCTTTGTGATACCAATCCCAAATTTGCACTTGATATAAATAAAATTATTAATAAAAATTCATATGAAAACTTTCTAACCTACAAATATGAGAAAAATGCGTTTGATAACAAGAAAGCACCTAATAATAAGAAAGACAGTCATATATTTAATTATTATGAAAAAAATAGATTTGGTTCAAACAAAATTTCTCAAACATATAGCATTAAAAGCTTCATTACTGAACCTATGTTTGAGTCAAACTGCGAGAATTTTCCCGAGTTTCTGAATAAATATAAGAGAAGATATAATATTGAAAGAACTATTGAAAGCCTAAAGTCTCCATACAAAATCGACAATAAAGATAGGTTTGTTCAAAAAGCAGAAGATAAAACGGATCAAAAGCCCGACCATAAATATGGAAAGACATTAGGTTCCATATATAGTGAAGATGAAAAACTCATTTTTGATGCTTTTTCTCAGAAGTCATTAGAAATGGATCCTGATACAAATTGGATGGATCCTTCGGAAAATATTTCAAAAGCAACTATGGAGCCACGAAAAAAAGTTCCTCCTGAGCCATCTCCTGCAAAAGAGCAGTCAAAATCCGAATTCAACGCTAAGCTAAATATTTTTAACTGGTCTTATAATAATGAAAAAAACACCACCATTAACAAATATTTATCATCTTTGAGACTTCCCGAGGAACTTGCAAATGGAAATAAAACATATAATGGTGGTTTTGAAGATCGAGATAAAAGTTATAATAAAAGATCAGCAAATGAAAGATTATTACCAAAGAGGAGTATTGCTTCATTTAATAATTACCATCAACATCATTTAATTGAAGATGATGATGATAAGTCCTCAATTGTATCTGAGTTACCCAACTTTATTTACAACAATTTAAATCGTCAACGTTTTGCCAGCTTTAATTCTTATCGACATAATTATAGAGGAGCAAACTCTAGGTATCCCACAAACCAAAAAAATGAACCAACGACAGGTTTCGTTGGAAAAATAATTAATTCAGTGCTTGGAAAGTGATTTCTTTATTATTATTATTGTTTTTTTTTGTTTCTAGATAATTTTTGTTGCTCGTTTTGTCTTTGTCACTCATGGTTACATTTTTCGGTGTTTTCTTAATTTCAATTAATCATTTACCTTTCCTTATAATATCGTCTAACTATAATTTTATGTATTTTATCTTCTTTTGCAGGCATTAATTCAACTGAAGTGTGAAACTATCACATTAAAATAACATTAATCTCATCCAATTCTACCATGACTGGCGTATTTAAAAATTACGAATGAAACTTCCAGAAAAATAAAATTAAACCCATGATAATTATACGTATGATATAAAATATAATCTTAACTATTTACAAATGTGTAATTAAAATGATGTTTTCTTAAGAAAAAAAAAATAAAAAGAAAATAGAAGTAAAAAATACAAAAAATAAACAAAAAAAGAAAAAAAGATAAGATAAGATAAGATAGGATAAAATAAAAAAAGTAAAATTAAATAAAAAAAACATTAAAAAAATTAGACCTTTATTTTAGATTTTTAGATTTTTAAAATAGCTTAACTCATTAAACTGAACAAAATTTACATAGCAGCTTGTTCTAAGGTAAGTGGATTACCATTAGCATCTAAACCTTGTTGACGTAAAATCATTTCTTCAGAACCAGCGGTTTCAAATTGCAAACCTAAACCAAGTCTTGAAGTACTTTTGAGATGATCTAATTCACCAGAAAATAATACACTAACTGTTGGTAATATTTTCTTTTCAAGACAACAAGAAACTTTCCCATCAGAATCTATTTGACCTCTAAATACAGATTGTCTAAATTCATATTTAGCACCGATAGTAGTGACACCTTCCATAACTGGTTCAACACCAATAGTTTGACCTAACATTGGGTCGGTAATTGGCCTCATTGATGCCAGAATTTGAGTTTCGATACCTGCTGAAACATTTTCAGCAACTTTTCTATAAAAGGAGGCGACAACTGAGCCTTGAGCCTTAATTTGGGCTGAAGCAATCCATTTATCAGCATTGTATCTTGCAAGATAAGAGATAGCTGCATCTGGAGGATATTGAGCTTGACGGGAGTATGCAGCTTCTATACCAATAGATAGTTTTTTAGAAATTGATTGCAAAAGAGAGGCATAGACATCTCCAGAAAACTCTCCATTGTCTAAGAAAGAAGGATTTAAAGATTTTATATTGAAAGAGAAATCATGTCCTTGGTAATCTTGCTCAAGCTGAACCATTGCTGGTTGGCCCTTAGCGATATGAGAATTGATTTTTGAGATGTTATTTTTTGACCAAGCATAATGAACTCTACCGTTGAGCGCAAAATTATTATCAAGAGTACCTTGGGCAACTAAGTCATCAGTTGCATAAAGAGAAGTGAAAGCATATGGAGGCATCATTTGTGAGCCTATACTCAAACTGTGAGTAATTTGAAAATAAGGATTTGTGGAAAAGTTTTTGGTCAAATCAGCTCTTAAACCAGTGAAAAAATATTGGCCTAAGAGAACATCTCTTGAAACTTCTCTGCTTAAGTCTTCTACAGTTCCTGGATTGTTTAAACCCAAAGACCTTCTATGTTCAGACACTGAAGAATATACATCATTTAAGTAAGAAAAAACAGGATTAGAAGACCAAAAGCCAGGTTGAGGTTTGGGTGGCTGCATTCCTGGGAGAGTTGGAATAGCTAATTTAGAAATATCCCCTAATGGTAGTTGAGCAGACATCTAATAGATAAGAATCAAATTAATGTTAGTACAGTCAATTTCGAATTAACAATTTTTTATCTCTCTTGAATTCTCCTAATCTTATTTTTTTCCTCAGTTTGGGGATAGACAATTCTTTAAACTTTTTTTTTTTGATTTAAAAGTAAACAAAAGAAATCAGTATCGTGAAAATCGATTTAATTTTTAGAAAAAAATAGCCTTAAAATAAAAAAAGCAGAATTCAAACCAATTCTTTTAATTTGGAAGCAGAATCCATAAAAATTAGTGAGATTCCTCGATTTAAGTGAATGATTTGATGGATTTGCCATAACAAAAAGGAGGAGAGATCTAACATTTTGTTGGTAATAATGCACAAAAACAATTAAATAACATACATTATTTTAAAAAGCTATATTATGTACAAAGATATATAGATCGAAAAAAAAACAATAATACAAATAGGATGTCTAATATGGCTATAAATGATCCTCTATCTTCAGTTAGTTATTGGTTACTTCAAATATTCATATATTTGAGAGGTGAAATTTTTTTCATTTCTTTCAAAAGAGCTGATTATGTAATATCACGTTTTACATGTAGTATCACAACTGTTATGTAAGCGTGGTATCATCTAACTAGGCACATTTTAGAGCCTATATCGGGAAGTGCTATTAATCTGGTTATCAGTATGCTGTGATTAGAACCGGATTCAGGCATTGAGAGCTTTGCATATGTGAACCATATCAAAACAGTATCTGAGCAGCCGGTGTTGTGCTGGCGCTGACACTATGCTGAACAGTAAAAATAAAAACCATTTTCCACAGTCGTCTCCAGTAAAGAATCCCAAAGAAATACCTCTAAAGTTGCCTATTCTGGACAAATGCGTTTTGAGTCATCACTTATGTCAGCAAACACTACCTGCCACATTTGTAACCGCCTCTTTTGCCGTTTCTGGTAATTTTAAGGCGCAGGGATAACCATAAATATATAACACTGATTAGTGTAACGATGATTAATTGATAAGTAAGATAAGTAATGTTTGATTAAAAATCACTTGCTGACAACTCTTTAGATTTTCCACTAAACAGTTGTTTACTATTCAGATACTACTTATACTTTATAACCTATCAGATATTTTATATTCTTATTGATTTTTATTATATCCAAGCTATGTTTAGATCAACACTCTCATCGTGGCGAGAATACCTAACTCCAGTTTCTCATAAATCAACATTTAAGAAAACTGGTGAAATTACCCCTGAGGAATTTGTTGAAGCTGGAGATTATTTGGTATTTAAATTTCCAACCTGGCAATGGTCTCCTGCTTCTGCGAATAAAAGAAAGGACTTTTTGCCAAAGGATAAGCAATTTTTGGTTACTAGACATGTTCCATCCTATCAAAGAGCTTCAACTTATTTAGGGATGGATAATAATGAAGAAGATGAGGAAGAAATTATTGGGGAAGATGGCTGGACTGCAACACATATTTCGAAACTTCAAAAGAATAAGAATGATAATAATAATAGCCACGATAATCAATCAAAAACTACAAATAAAACCACCGATAACGAAAATTCAATTGATGAGATCGAGGATATCGAAGATATAGAGGATTTTGATGAAGAAATTGATTTAAATGATGATAATAATGATAACAATTTCAATAATTCAAATTATTCAAATAAAGATAGAAGAAACTATGATTTATATATAGGATATTCAACATCTTACAAAGTCCCAAAAATGTATCTTGTTGGTTTTGATTCAAATGGTATTCCATTAAATCCCGATCAAATGTTTGAAGACATATCTGGAGATTATCGTGACAAAACTGCTACAATTGAAAAGGCGCCATTTTTAAATGATACGACATCAGTATCAATTCATCCTTGCAGACATGCAACTGTTATGAAAGTTTTAATGGCAAGAGCAGAAATAGCAGCTAAAAACAAACAATTGAGAGAGAAACAAAAATTAGAAAAAGAAAAAGAAAAAGAAGAAAAAGAAAAAGAATCTGATAAAAATATTATTAAACGAGTGGCCAAATTGGGTTTGATGGACAGTGATGATACTGGTGCAGATATTGATGATGATGAAGAGTGGGAAAGTATAGGAAAGGATATTTATGATAATCAATCTGAGATTATAAGAGTTGATCAATATTTGATTATTTTCTTAAAATTTATCGCGAGCGTTACACCTGGAATTAATCATGATTATACAATGGATGCATTTTGAAATTTATTTAATGAGTTTAATATTTTATTTATACTTTTGTTTTATTTGGAATTTATTTTATTATGTGTGTGTTTTTTTCTTGTTTTTTTAGTTTACTTATTTTAATTTTTATACGTATACTTATCCTTATTTGGGTTACCTTTTGAAATAAGAGTTTATGTTGATATTTATATAAATCTACAAATATAAATATATAAATATATTGGTAAAAATAATTATAACTGAAATTATAAGATTTGTTTATTTTTTTGTTTATTTGTTTATTTTTTTTCTTAATAGAATTCGAAATCCAGGTTGATATCTTTCATGATATCATCAAAGTCAACATAATTTTCGTTATTTTCTTCGTTATTATTATTATTTTTAATATCTTGGCTATTACCTAATAAATCAAAATTCAAATCATTTGGCAAATTGTAATCATTATTGTTAATGGCGTTAATGTTATTATTTTGGTTATTATTTTGAATGTTATTGTTATTTGGAATTGAACTAGAGACTGAAGCAGTTTTTGAAGTATAATCATCATTGATATTAGAAAAGGGTTGCAATTGAAGAAGATCATTTGAGGAGTATTTACTGATAAGATTTTGATTTTGATTTTGGTTATTATTGTTGATATTATTCATACCATTCATATTAGTCATATTGGTCATATTATTCATATTGTTTATGTTATTCATGTTCATATTATTTATGGCATTATCTGAATTGATTGAAATAAATTTTTTATCATTTTTATCATTTTTTTTATTTAGAGAATGAAAGACTGAAGGGTCAATGTTGGATAGGGAAGTGCTTAATTGATTAAATAGTTGGTCAGTTTTAAATTTATTATCGATTTTAGTATCAGATTCTGATTTGATATCGTTTTGAGTTGTGATTGGGGTATTATGAACTGAATTTAATTTCTGCTGAGATGAAATTAATTCGTTATCAGAGAAATTATTTATTGATTGTGAGCCATCAGGAAGAACTAAGTTAATTTGAATTGGGATTTGATGATTGTTAGTATTAATGTTGTTGTTATTGGGAATATTATCAGAAATATTGTCAATTTGATTCGGATCTAATTGAAAAATCTGACTGATTTGATTCTTCAAATGATTTAAAAATTGATATTTCAGGTTTATTTGATTATTCAAGGTATCAATCTCTAATTTTCGATCAGTTGAAGTCTCAGTTATTCCTTCTAGGTTTCTGACCAAGTCTCTATATCTCTGGATTCTTAACCGTATTTTGCTAGCAAGATTGTTCAAATCGTTGATTTTGATCTTGTTGTTATCCAAGTCCTGTAAAATGTCCATTGTCAAGGGTAGCAAATCGAAGTTCTTGATTATCTCTATTGCCTCGAGATTGTCGTCTGCAGCGTACTTAACGCTGGTGCTCAAGCTGCTGCTCATCAAAGGAGCACTAGCCGAGAGGTATTTCGGCGTCATAAAGCTGTTCATGTTATTTCTGCTGTTTCTGATGTTTCTGCTTCTTTTGCTTCTTTTGCTTCTTTTGCTTCTCCTTCTAGTGACCAATCACACTCACGGCTCATTTTTGGTTATACATCTGAGCCGTATGCACGTGATATCGGGAATTGAGCGGCTTCCGTTTTTTGGAAAACGTCAACTTTTTGACTGGAAACCGTTTTTCTTTTGGAGTGAGACAGCTCAGAGCTTAATTTTGATTAATTTTGATTAACTTGCAGTGTTTGAAAAGTAGTTGATTGAACCTGGTTAGGCTTGTTGTCGAGTTGCTGGTATTTTTTGGGTTTTCTGGCTTTAGAATTTATGGGAAAGTTCGCAAAATTAAAGCGCACCTAATTTGCTGCGAGATCTGTATCAGTCCAGGTAGAACCGTTTACCTCTTAATTCCTTTTTTTACTAGGTGAAAGCGGATGTTTTCTGCAATTGAGTTTTGATTTTGGCTCTGTTTTAAATAGAATATCTGTAAATTACTGAATTTTAATAATCTTTTTGAATAATATGGATTACTGAATATTACTGAATATTATTGAAGGTTAGGCCAATGTGGATAGTGTGAAATTAAGAGTGAACAGATTTTGCCCATTTTGCCCAAACAAATACGCAAATAAACATTTGAAATAATCCAAGATAGTTTTCTCTTTGCTCCAGGAAACAGTGCACTTATCCAGAGTATTCCACTCATCAAATCACAAAAAATACGTCAATTCAACAAAAGACCCAGAATCTCAGCTCTGTCACTGTTTCATCTTCCTCTCGTTGATCCACAAAAGCGACTTACCCGCCTCGAGGTGGTTTTCACGAGTGTGCTCAAAACGGAACAAAGTGTAATTATAGATCTTCAGCACCAGAAAAACCAGAAAAACTAGTTGGCAAGGCTCCTGCCTGGAATTTTTATTTGCAAAGGAGTTAGGGGGCAACAGCTCCTGTTTACCCACAAAACATCAGCTTCAGAACAGTCCCAAAAGAACTTCTAAAGAGCCAGCTGGGGTCTGTGGGCCTTTTTTCCATGTCGACTTCAGATCACATGGCACGCGCCCCAAGCTCGCAAAGCACTCCCGAAAACCGAGCCTTTACAGGTCAGATCCCCGTGCCAACGGGACCTCTGGGGACAGTTCCAGTCCTGCGGCGCGACGGGGTAAGTTTCCACAGGAGAAACACTGGAGATAAGTGCAATGGAGAACAGATATAATCGAGTGAACAAAGCAAAAACACTGGCAGTTTTGCTTAACTCCTAGATTGAACCCCAGCTGGTTGTTGGGAAACTGATCTTTTTGTTTGTTTCCCCTTTTTGAACAGCCAGTTTGATCCAAACACTCTCTCCTTTGGTTGGCAATTGTCGGATTTAGATGTGGAGGTTGAATAGTTGGAGAACAATTTGTCTTGAAAATTCGGTTTTTTCTTTCTGGTTAAAGGTTTCTTTTGATATTTTTGTTTTTAACCCTTATTCCTTCAGAAATTTAATTCCAAAAATTGTATTGATTTGTATTGAATTATATTACTTTGTATTACCTTGTATCAATTTGTGAATTCCTTTAAATGTGAGAAATCAATTCAAATTATGAATCATTTCGTAATTCATAATTTGTTCAAAAACGTGCTATTGTATTTCAGTTGTATTTTAAAGTCAATTCACAGTAATTTACTTTCGCCAATTATTCTTCGCTAATTCTTCGATTTAACCTCTTTCAATATTATCCAAAACTCGACATAAAAAAATTTTAAATTAAAAAAAAGCAAAAGCAGAAAACGTTTTTTCTTTCTCATTGAGTAGTTACAAAACTTTTAATCGTATTTCAACAATAGATTTATTTAAATTCAAATAAACAAGTCAAATTCTTTTGAAATTTATTTAAAATCTAATTCTAACACAAATACTATTAAAAACTTTTAGTTTTGTAAAATTTGCAGTAAAAAAGAGCTCATTTTAACAAATTTTTTTAAGATTCCCAACTTTTCAGATTTTCAATTTTTGAAAATTTCAAAAAAGTTTAAAAAAATTGAAATTTTGAAATATTACAATTTTAATTTGAATTAAAATTTGAATTAAAATTTTAAAATCAAAATGCCTTCAATTAATTCTCTTAAATTTTTATATTTTTTGTGTCTAGTATATGATATCCATCTAATATAGAGCTTTCCCTCTTATCAAATACGCTAATATTATAGCATTATTCGATTTCCACATCAAGTATTAGCCAGTATTAGCCAGGATTTACTGGTATTTACAGGTATTTACTAGGAAATACTAGCAGCTACAGGTATAGCAATTTCTCACAATATTATTTACAAATCCCTTTATCTTTTTATTTTAGTTAAGTGCAAATTATCTAAAAGAGCCAAATAGACTATGATAATACAAATTTATCCAGCTATTCTGCTTATTTTATAAGCTATCAAATGAAATTGGGTTGACGTCTGCACTTTCATTCAATCTTTAAACGGTAATAAGCCCTTCAGGCAATCAATAGAAATGCAATCCATTAAGATATAATCTATCAATCAAATATTGTGTCCAAGAAAAACTTGTCTTAATAATATTTATTATACAAGAAATCATAATTAATTATAATTAATTGCGATATATACTAGCTATACCAGTATAACTAGAGCAATAATACCTTAATCGTATTGTTGCCTGGCAAATCAGATATTATTATTCCTATTCTTATTAATGCTATTAATCTTAATCTTAATGTTTGCCACTTTAATTCCTAAATTAATACACATCTCAAAGGACAAAAAATTCTAAAAACTACAATTCAGTCTGTAATTGCAAAACCTCTAATTTTCCAATTTTTCACTGTACCAATCTTGTTACTGTACCAAATTATTCATTATATTAAACAAAGTATCAAATTTCAGGTGGATCAAAATTACACCATCAATATAACCATCAATTGTATTTACATATTTTGCTGATGGAGGTAGTGTTAATAACTTTTTCATCGCTATATTATAATAAAAAATTTAACCAATGCTCTCAAATTTTCAACAAATGCTCTCAAATTTTCAGCTAATTTTAATTAATTGTTTTTTCTTACATTTCTATTACTATTTTTATTTTCAAGCTCTCCAATGTATTTGAAATATATTATATATATAAAAAATGAAATGGAAAACTTATTGCCTATTTCTTAATGTAACTATAACCACCATTATGATTAAACTTTTTCGAAAAAATTCTCAATAAAATTCTTAGTAAATTTTTTAATAAATTTTTACTTTTTTTTAAATTGTCTTTATATTTTTTCTCGTCTTCACTTTTCATAAAAACCTTTAAAGGTTCACATTTATCAACATTTTAATTGGACTTTAATCCTAAAATATAACATTAATTCAAGAATTTAAAAAGTTGAGATAGCTCAAAGCAAAATACAACAATTTGAAAAATTGACAATTTAGCTGTTTAACAAATTAATAAAGTGAAAAAAAGCCAATCTTAGTAGAGTATCAAATTATCTTTGTCAATCTATTTTGTATGATATGCTTTTTCTTTCATTTAAAAGTTTATGTCTAATAGTTTGAATCAATTGAATAATCCATCGTTTTATCCATTTTATTCAGGTTATTCATGTTATTCATATTATCCAACTTATCAACTTATCAACTTATCAACTTCCCTTGTCCTGCCAATCAACTTGGTGTTTTATAAAAAAATATTCTTGGAATTTCCTCAATAATACAATATTTTCATATGGCACTAAATATCGTAAATTATCTAAAAACTACGTACCATTATCAAAGGAATAGACCCATTCCTCGAGAGATGCCATACAGTATCAGTATAACAATATAACAGTATAACAGCACAATGGCACACTAACACACTAATGGGAGAGGACTGTTTCCACTGATTGCTAATTAAAGCGCTCAGTTATCCTGTTCATTATTAGTTCTTAGGCTCCAATTCTAGCTAATTTTAATCTTTATCAGCTCTTAGAATTGTGCCAAACAAAACCGTTTAAGGGAAAGTTAAACTTGGTTGGTAACAAAAATCGTTACTTCTAGAACACAACAACTGCTCACTACAAGATCGAGATAATGTCGAACTATTCATGGAATTGGATTAGATAGGCTTTGATTCGTCCAGCAGGCCAGTGGATAAGACGTCCATTGCTAACGTGTACAACGTGTAAATGGCTCTCAGAAGGCATCAACTAAACCTTCTGTTCCAGAAACAACGAAGCAGCTCCAGCAGTTGCAACCAGAGATGATGGAGCAAAAAAAGCAGCAATGTTGGGTCTGAGCAGGCTCCAATTCCAGTTCAATTCCAATGGCACTCCTTTGAACTCCTTTGAGTTGAATTCGCTCTCCTTCTCCTCCCACAGGTGTTCCATAGAGACGAGTACTGGTTTGGGAAGAGGCTCTAGGTTTTTGGGAGTTTTACTTTTGTATTTGCTGTAACACCACTCTTACCTGAAAAAACTAATAATGAGAAGATATTTGGAAATTCTTTGGGTTTTTCAGCACTTTTTTCTCTGGAATATGAAATTTACTCAAATGCAAAAGATTTACAGTCGGGAACTCCTAGTTATTGAGATAAATATTCATACTTAAATAAAATTTCCTATTATTAGCTGCGATTAGACCATTTGTATACTGGGTCATTTGTATTAGGCCATTTTCAAAAGACCCAGTAAACTCAATTGGATTAGCGAGGTGGTTCTAATTTATTGACAACTTTGAGCCAATGTGAACTGTGAGCAATAGATTTTCAAGCAGTGGTTCGTTTTGTATTTAACGACATTTATTGAAAATTACTAGAAATGAATTTGAACAGGATTGAATGAAGCCATTTTTGTTTTCTCATGTTCTTTATTTGTTACAGAGCAAAATTATCATGAGTTTATCAAGGAAAATTGTCAGTACGAAAATACAAACTATAGTAAAAAACAGAATTTGAAATTAAAGTAGAATAATATTAGTACATAGTATTTAAATAATAATAGATTATACAGTGATGTAAAAAAGTAATATGTATGTATATAGAAACAATAAAAGTAAAAGTAAGAGTAAGAGTAAGAGTGGGAAAAAAAACAATGAAGTGATCTATTTTATTGGAAAATATGCAATTTTTAAAAGTAGGAAAACATACTGGAAGTTAACAGAAGAATTAAAAAGGCAGTTGAAGAAGAAAAAAAGAAGTTATAATGAAATAAGCAATAACAGCATAAAAAATAACATAAACATGAACAAAAAGGAAATTGAGTAGGCAAATAAAGAAATATAACAATTGTAGATGATTTGGACATTAGTTTAAACCCATGATAAATATAAGTATAGATATAAGTGTAATTGAAATAAATAGTATTTTATGATTGTATAAGTAGTAGTAGTAGTAGAAAAGAGATAAATGCGATCAACACATTTGGCCCCGAAGTGATTTTAATTGCTATAGTATATCAGCAGAAGCGTTTTTATTTGAAGAAAAACTAACGTAGACGTTATTATTATTGAAATTATTTATAATGTTTGCTTTTTGTTTGATGGGGTAAGCGAAAGGGGAGTTTTTTCTTGATTTTGGAGTTGGGATTATGCTCAGGTTCAGATTTGATCTGCAGCAAATGGCGTAGCTGCCAGGAGTGGTCATTGGAGAGGAATTTGTTGAGAGAATGGAAAGACCATCGCCAGACATGACTGATTCGACATCAGAGGAATCGTAGTCGCTGTTACTGTAGGGAGAAACAGGAGACCTGCAGTAGGAAGAGTATTGAGAAGAGGAGGAGACAGAAGAAGAAGCATAACGTTGTTGTTGTTGGTGTTGATCGAGATACTTTGATTTGTTGTTTTCTTCGTTGAGGGCCAAGATGTGTGAGATTGCGACTTTGTGAATTGAAGATATTATGTTGTTGAAGAGAGGGTCAATGTTTGTGTAGTGGTTCAAGAGATCAGTAGAAGCGTTGGCAACAGATAAAAGAAGTTTGTTTGCAAGATTCATGTTGAAGCAGGTAGTGTTGTTGATTAGGGTGGCAGTGTTTTCGGCAGCAGAGGTATTGTATTCATCAAAGTTGTTGTCGCTGATGATTTTTTTGAGGTTTTGGTTTGAGATATCAAAGTGGGTGTCATCGTTGGTTATTAGAGTGATGAGGATTTTTTTGATGATGACAGATAGCTCAGCAGGGTGGACCGATACCAAGTCAGTAGAGTAGAGAGAACAGTCAATAAGGAAGTTTTTGATAAAGATGATTTTCTTAAAGTCAAAATTGGAAGGAGTGTTTGACTCGTTATTGAGGGTTTGGTAGTCGTACAAGTTGTAAGCCCAGTTGTAGATGGAGGGATCACAGACGTTCCATTCTAAAGTGTCGAGGATGTGCATTTCCATTTGAGTGAACATACCTTCGTCGTAGCCACAAGAAGGACCACAGAGCTGAACTAGTTCGTTTAATCTTGGGATTCTGGATCTGATGGTGGGGCCTAAGAATCTTCCACCGGTGGGAACATTAGCTGAAGAGATGATGTGGTTGCAGCCACCAGAAGTCTTAGCAGCTAAAAGAAGACAAGTTCCAGCTACTAGTTGGGCCTGGTCTCTGAGAACGACTCTTTTTGAACAGTATCTGTCGATTAGTCTTGCAGCTTTGTAGAAGATGCCAGTGGTGACTTTTGTTCTAACTGCGATTTTGAATAGAAAATCTAGTAAGGGAGCTCTCAAGTTTGATTTTAACTCTGGCTGTTGACGGATTAGGTTGATGTCAGGTTTGACATCAGAGGCCATGGAGTATAGATTGATTGAGAGTTCATCTTGGTATTCATTTATGGCTTGTTTATGAGCATTAATTTCCGAATCGACCAAGGCCTTTGGGTACAAGTTGGTAGCCTTTATTGGACGTCTATTTGGGAGAGGCATTGTGAAGTGGATCTAGAATAGATGAAATTAATTATAAGACTGAAAGAGGAAACAATAGAGAAAGAGAGAGAGAACCAAATTCAAAAAATTAAGATACTTTTTAGAAATTTTTGGAAAGTTGGAAAAAGTTGAAAAATAAATTTTGTGGAGGCACGAAGAGACAGAATATTATAAGGAGTGTAATAATATGAATAGCGAAGATATTCAAGTGGAAGTTTTGATACTAGAAAAGCAAAAGCAGTATTCAAGCGAGCAAAGGGAGAATGGGATGAAGTGAGTCGGTATGATGTTGCACGATAGAGATAAAGCTGAAGTGAAGAAGAAGAGATAGAAGAGCAGAAAAATGGGATGAAAAGTTATTATATTTATATTGTGCATTGGAGGTATCTCAAATAAGATTGAAGTAGTAAATGAATAAATGAATAAAATTTACAAAAACCGAAAAATTGGAAAAAGGATAAAAACAGAGTTAGAGTTGGAATTAGAGTTTGAAGATAAATAGCAAAAAATAAATATTGTGAAAACATTCACAGGACATTCAGAGGACATTCAGAAGATGTACGCTAAGCACTCGCACATAACATCGAGTTGTAGCAAAGGCTACTATCGTGCTTTCGCTTCTACGCCCAGCAGCCCAAACGAATATTCCACTTTGCAAGTTAAAACTGACTTTCTCACAACTTTGGAACCCACAGCACTGCTCCATGCTTGACAGAGTGGGAATTTGCAACCACTCGAGCGCTGGATGATAGAATCATCTGTTTTCTACATAAGCGCAGGACAGCTCTCTGAAGAGCAACTCTTAGAGCTGGACCAGTGTTGCTGCTGCCCCTGCTGATTCTGCTGCTTAGAGCTCTTCAAAAAGCAGTCCGTTTGGAGCATTACGGGAACCGGGTTATGCATGTGGCGCTGCGGGAGGCGCAATACCGCGGTTTGTGGCATACGGGCCGCTCCAGGCTTGTGGGAGTGCTGTGGAACCAGCAGAAGCAGCAGGGGCAGCAGAGGCAGCAGCACTTGAACAGCACTCAAACAGCGGTGCTGTATGATCCATGCTGGTCGCTGGACTGTTGCACCTTCCAGTTTCTTTTGCGTCGCTCTGGTGGTCTCGCTCGCTGACTACGAGCAATTACGCTGCCCAACTCGTTCTTGCAAGACAATCTCAATTTCACCCAACTCGAAATAAGTAGTTTTAAGTCAAAGCTAATCTGCTTTAAAACAGTCCCTGAAAAAGAAAAACAGCCTTGAAACAAGAACAAGAACAGAGAATAACTGGCGCAAACCTAGTTCTCAATCCAGTTTTTTCTCTTTTTTTTGTTCTTTCTTTTGTTTTGGTCTTTTTCTCTTTTTTTATTTTGGGTTTTCTGCTGTGTTTATTGAGCTCATTTTTATTTCTGGCTCCTTGATCGTACTAGCACAACAGCCTCCCAATCTTTCGTAATTCCTGACTTAATAACTCTTGTTTTGCGAGATCAATTTCCAACCGTTTTCAGCTAATTGCGCAGAACAATTGCTGTTTGAACTGTTTGATGTAAGCTCTCCAGCTTACCGTATTTTACCTGTGTAGCCAGCGACAGCACCAGACTCCTCCCAAATGCTGCCTCAACCTTCGTCCAAACCACTACTTTATCCACCATCTCTTTATCCTCCATCTCTCCACCCAGTTCTCGAAACCTCGTTCTTTAACACGTGACCCGCACCGCTTCTCGATCAGTGAGAAAGCTCCGAAATCGCCCAATCGGGCACTGCCTTACTGCCACACTTGCAACAAACAAAAAGCGTTGATCTAAATCACCTCAATGAATAGTCCTTCTCCAATCTCCATTACCCATCCCACAGCATTGTGAATATCTGCGAATCAGAGCAAGCCAATCCTGCTTTTTTCAAGCTGCCAAACCCTGGCACCGGTTTTTCGATTGTTCATCTGCAATTCAAACAGAATTTCTCTTGTTCTGGCCATCCCAACCACTTCTATTCATAGAACCATTACCAATCCATATCAATGATCAAATCAATTGACGTTTTTCTTTTGTTCAACACTATATCCGATACAAAAATACAAATGAGAAAAAAAGGAAATGCTCTTGTAAATCTAACTTAGCCATCAATTTCACAAAACCACAAATGTTATTTCGTTTTATTTACTTTTACTTGTTTTTATTCACGTTTCTTTTGTTATTCTCTTCAATGCCTGTTTTTCATACCTTGTGGTTTTACATATCGGCCTACTTATTGTGATTATATCGAAATATGCAAATCTTTCAACAAATATTAATTATATAATCTCAACACCAACAAACCCGGATTTTACTCGACAAAAACCATCTTTTTGACTCTAAATAATCTTACTCTACACAATCTTTTAAACTTTTCTTCTTCTTTAATACCCAATATTATCAACCATCATCACTAATAATTACTATCAATTGCCTTTCTTCTGGAATTTCATATTCCAAATTTTCTTAAAGATTCAGCTGCAAATTCTCCATCTAATTTTGAGGCTCCATTAGCTTTTTTTTTTAATTTTATTTTATTTTATTTTATTTTATTTTATTTTATTTTATTTTATTTTATTTTATTTTATTTTATTTTATTTTATTTTCTTCTCTTTTCCTTTATTTTTACACATTCTTATTATTTTTATGTGTCAACCTTTATCAATTGTTTATGTTCCTGGTACTGCATTTAATTTAGACTATTAACTCCATTGCCAATTTTTTATTATTATTTTCATCGTTACATACAATTTGCATGAAATTCATCTCAATTTTATCGTAAATTTATTTCATTTTTTATCTCAATTATCTCAATTTGATTTTAATTTCACCATATCATACTAAATATCTGTAATAAACCAAAATTCATATTCTATTTAAGACTTTTTCTCGAATTTAACTTTAAAATTTACTTGCTTTGACTACTCAAAATAACGGAACATACAAAAATATGTATTTCATTTAAAATAATTTCAAACAAACAAATGAAAAAGAAAAAGAAAAAAATAAAAATAAAAGTTTGAATAATTTCATCCAGCTCTTTGATCAATTACACAACACAATATAATATTCTATGACTTGACACTCGTTTTTATTTGTCACTTTACATTACTTTCAAAGTTTGTTTTTTTGTTTTTATTTTTTTTTTTTTTTGAATTTCTGCCTTTTTTAACTTTGTCTTTTCCCTTTATTCAACCAAAAGAAATTCAAAATCTAATCTTGTTTAAATTAATTCGCCCAATTCACATGAATATTATTGTTACCACTAAATTCACACAGAAGCATTCCTTTCTTTTTTTTTTCTGCTCTCTTTTTTTTCTTGCTAAACTATACAATTCAATTTATAATTAGCAGTATCTGCTCAATTCTTTTGTGCTTACCTCTACCCTTTGCTATCCTGCTTAATCACCTATATCCGTTGCAAAAACAAGCAACCAAAAACCTAATAATCTCGCCTGCACCACAAATATCATCAAGCCATTTTCCAATTACTTTATCCAGCCCAATTTGCTTGATTTGTTTCCTTCGCTTTCTGGTTTTATTTGGTATGTTCTGCTCTTTTGTTCTTTTTGTCTGATTGTTGCCTCTTTGGGCTTCAGAGACATCTTTCCTTTCTTTTCGGGTCACGTCTCTCCCCTTTGCAAAGAGAATGCTGGCAGTCCTTTTTCCCGCGCTTTTGCTGTGCGGCATGTGACCACGCTCTCTCTACCCACCACGGGCGCTCGACACAGCCCTTTGCGGAAAGGGACTATTTCGGTTCTGGCCCTTTTCGTCTCAAGAATTTCGACTCAACTGCTGCGTCTCAACAATGTCGACTTTTGTGTTATCTTTACCCTCCTGGCCAATCAAAGTGCCGCATTTCAGCTGCTCATTTTCCACTCTTTCCACTGTTGTCGTTCAAAAAACTGTCCTTTGAAATACCTGAACTCATTTCACAAAGTATTTCAGCAAAAACAACTCCTTCAACCTCTTTGGGCAAGTTTAAAGAAACCAATTTGTGAAATTTAAACACTTGACTATCTCAACTACCACAACTATCTCAACTACTACAACTATCCCAACTATATATCGCAATTATCGCAATTGCTTCAACACTACGAAAATACTGCTATAAATATTTTTCTTTTCTTCAAATTCGTATTGATTTCTTAATTTCTTTTATTTTTTACTCTGGTTCACTCTGCTTTAATCAAGTTTTATTCTTCTTGCAGTAATTCTACCGCTAACTTCAACACAATCATCTCTTATACTCATTTTGAAACTCTGTGTTTTGTTAGACATTTGTTTATCTCCAGACTAAAAAAATAAAAAAATTTGCTTCATTTACGATTCCAAATAATGCTACAACAACTACTGAATCTTCTTTTACTTTACTAAGATGAGTCAATAATTCGTAATAGGAAATCTCGAATATATTATTATCATTACTATTACCATTACCATTATCATTATCATTATCATTATTATATTTCATATTACATATTTTAAACATGAAAATATGAAAATATGAAAATATGATTGATTTCGAACTAACGTTGGAGTGGTTTTTTTGTTCTACTAAAGCCCAATATAAGAAACTTTAAAACAAAAAATGGGTCAACTTTTTTTTTTTCTTTCACTTTTATTTTACCTTGATTTCTTTAAACTCGATAGTTTTATATTTTCATTTTCATTTTCATTTTCTTTTTAATTTTTGATTTGATTTTTGATTTTACAGTATTGATTTTTCAAAATTGGATTTTGAATTTTGAATTTTGAATTTTGAATTTCAAATTAATTGTTGGAAAATTCAATCAATTTTAATAGGAATAGGGATAGGGATATGGATAGGAAAATCTATTAGATATGACCCTTGGATTGCATTAACTTTTAAAATTAAAGCAAATATCAAATCATTTATTATTATTATTATTAGTAGTATTAGTATTAGTATTATTTTTTTTTTTAGTCTCACTCATGATTTTTCAAATAATTCTCAAATAGTTTTCAAACTAATAAATTACAATTTATAATTTTATTAATTGATGATTTTGACGCTAGGTGATTTGAAAATTCTAAAAAGATTGAGAAAAATGAGAAAATCGAGAAAAATGAGAAAATCGAGAAAAATCGAGAAAAATCGAGAAAAATCGAGAAAAATCGAGAAAAATCGAGAAAAATCGAGAAAAATCGAGAAAACAAAACTACAACAAAAATGAGTGAAATAAAAAATAGAACTATAATCAAATTGAATAGTTGAATAGTTGAAAACACAAAAACATAAAAACACAAAAATACAAAAATCGAGAGCTATTGAATTGCATTTACAATTTGTAATTACTTTTTAGTAATAGTAAGTTGATTTCCATAGCATATACATTTAAAAGAATATTAAAATGATTTACCTATTGTGTGTGTATATTACGAGGATTTTCTTATGACCTTAAGTGGACGCTTAGTTCTACTTGTAAAAGCCAAAAGGAAAACGAAAAAAATGGAAAGAGTTTTACAGAATCAACTAATAATATAATTACATTATGATTGTATTTGGATTATATTGATGTGTAAACATACAATGATCAAACGTTGAGAGAATTGAGAAAAGCGAAAATGAAAAGAAAAAAAAAGAAAAGAAAAGAAAAAATGAGAGATTTGAAAAGTGTAAAACAGAATTTTAGCAAATGATGAAAAATACCGGATTGATTTATCAGATTGAATGGTTAAATTAAAGTAAATTACTAAAATACAGTATGTAGCGTAGCATTCGTTGTAGTATTCAAATAATTATCTAGTGCTGAACGATATTAAATGGTATTGAATAATATTAAATAAGTTTTCACTTTTACTTACTATTCAGTGTTGTAATGCTTTAAAGTTGTGTGCTAAGATTGAAGCAGATGATATATATTGATGAGAATTCGGAAAGAGAAAACTTAAAACGACAACTAACGAAACTTAGCAAACTCGTTAATAAAAGAAAGAAACCAACAACAAATGTACGTTTTTTACTGAATTTGTTAGTATTATATGCTTTGAATGTTAGATAAATTATAAACTATTAAATGGAACTTTGTAAAGGAATCGAGTTTTTGTAAAACAATAAAGTCAAAGGTCAAAGGAAAGAAAAAGAAAGAGAAGTAAAAGCAAGGAAAATGAAAAGAGTGAAAAGAATTGGATAGTTTAGATTTATATTTTTGTTTAAATTCTATTAAATTATATTTTTCATTTTATTTTTCTATTTTTTAGCACACCCAGCAAAAACACCTGGTAATTGAAATAACGTGTGACTCTTGAGACTATAAATCATGAAATAAAATAAAATAGAATTGATATTGAAATGTAATTGAGCTTAGAATCTTGCAATAAACTTTTATATTTTGCTCAACACATTCAACATTCTTGATTAATATCAGTCAAAATAACCATGCTGACCTTCAGACCTACGCTACTGCTCATGTTGCTGCTGCATTTCATTTCCCTGCTTTACAAAAATCAGCAAATATATCACAGTGTATGGGCCACTATTGGAAGAAATTTCCAATAAGGAAAAGAAAAGGAGCTGAGAAAGCCATCATCGTGTAGTGGTATCAGGTAGGAAGAATAATAAGTGAAGCAGCTTTCCGAACTTAGATCCAATTGTTGGACATTTCCCCCAATGTTTCTTTTGACTAGATGCTGGAATTTTATTGTATTGTATTGTATTGTTTTGTATCAACGAGTCTTGATTTGATTGCTATTGTTGCTGCTGTTTTTGTCTTTCAATCGACCGGATCTCAACGAAATCTCAACAATGAAACCTCACGACGCTGAGTTGATTAAATCATCGCTTTCTGAGTTTATTTGAACCGATAGTTTGTATTTTATGGGTCCATCAGATCAAATTACAAGGTGATTTTCATGTATAGCTCCCGAAGTGTGAAAATTAGCGTCACAAAGCAACACAGTCCAGCCAAAGCCTCCAGGCTCTTCTTCCCCAGCGACACCATCTCCCAGTCCCCCAAACTACCCACTGGGTCCATTCACCAACAAGGAGTGGAATCTGCTCAAAAAAAGCACTTCCTCTGCTCCTGTCTATGCTCTGTTTACCTTCTGTTTGCCTTCTGTTCTCTCTATTCTCTCTGTTTACTTTCCTTTACTACCACGAGCTCTGTCCGCCGGCCCAGCCAATCAGCGGCCGTCCTGACCTCTTATATTATGCGCTTACCTAATAAGGTTCCGGTAACGCACTGTGTCGTATATCTGCATTAAAGCTCATACATATGTGACATACTGCGCTATATGCGGGACGCTGCACTAGTCCTCATCAGCGTATTCATTTCCAGATTCTCGTCTTTCACTCTTTTTCACTTTTTCCACTTTTTTCACTTTTCACTCTTCACTCTCTTCACTCTCCTTCAATCACTGCTCTCGAATCGTCATTGAAATCTCCAGATGTTGCGACTCAAACTGGTGCATTGTGTTGCTGCTCCAGGTCACTGTCAAGACTGCTCATCGAGGGCCATATCGTGGAGAATCACCCATTTCCCTGCTCCCGTCACTTTCCAATGGTGTGCCCACTGTTCAGACTTGGGGGCATATTTGGCTGTTTTTATCGAAATGGGTGCCCGATTTTCAGACAGATATCGAGTGGGAGGAAAAAGCACAACTCAACACTCTTCCAACTTGCTGAAGCCAAAATGAAAGTGAAAGTGAAAGTGAAATTGTTGGCGAGCTGTTTATTTTTATGTCCTCCCTTTCTTGTTTTCATTTGCTTGATTATCTTTTGTTGTTTTCACTTTTTTTTCACTTTTTTTCATCTCTTTTACTCATTTTATTTTTGAATTTTGTTTTACTATTCAATTATTTGCATCATTTTTCAGCTTCTCTTCCGATTAGCCAACATTGGTCATTGAACTTTCCACCTGGTCCATTTGCTATTGGCTGTTCGCTACTACATTATAACATGATATTTTTCAATTGCAAAACCTTAGACATGATTTTATGAATCAGATGATTTGCTAAATTCAATTTCCTCTTCTTGTTTTTCATCTTCGGTTATAATCTTCTTCTTCAAAACATTACTCTATTCGGCGAGACAAAATAGTTATATCTACATCCAGACATTAAAACGAGTCCTTTTTCTTTTTTTTCCAATCGATTTCTCTATTTTTTTTCTCTTCAACTGGAAATACCCATTAACACAATTTTAAGATTATTTAAAGTTCACTCGTCCTTATGTAGCTACTTTCTTTGTATCTCGTCAATTTCCCAACTTCCTATGGCTCTATGGCTTCAACACCTTTAATACTTTTAATACCTTTAATAGTTTACATAATTTAATGTTTAAGGCTCGATTGACTCAACAATCTTATTCTACTATTTCATTACCTCAGAAAAAGAATCAAAAATATTCTCCTACAACATGTATCAATTATATCAACTGTATCAATTATCTCTAAGTATCCTTTGATCGTAGATATCCCGTTTGTGATAATCCAAATGATTCAATTATTTCAACAGATTTTCAACAGATTTCCAACAATTTTCAATCATTTTTTAACCATTTTTCAATCATTTTTCAACCAGTTTTTTATTAATACCACTAAATAAAGATTGCATATGGGTCTTAAATAATTTCCAACTTTCGGTTTTCACTCTTCGGTTTTGTTCTTTCAAATTATATACAATATTTTATACAACATCTTATAAATTGTATAATAAATGAATACCGATCAACCATTGCAATATTTGATTCTTACTTAACTTGTTTTTTTATCATTTTTTATTTTTTACCTAATTAATTTTTATGTTTTATTTATTTTTTATTTTCCTGCTTTTTTTGTTTTTTTTGGGATTTTATCCTATATCCAGTCATTTCATCTTATATCTCAATCTATTTAAATGAATAAATGTTACGCATCAATCAGTTCATCATTTCACCATTTTACCAATTCTATCTTCAATTTCCCATCTTTCTATTCAATCTTATGTATCTCATTCAGATCTTATATAAATCTCTTTGAACTTTTCTTAAATCTCTCAAAAATCTCTTAAAAGTCCCTTAAAGATCCCTTTAAACATTTTTTTGGCAATATATCATGAATCAATTATTCACTAATAATCCCAACTTTTGAAACAATAATTAATCATATAACCCATTTCTATCATTTTTATATAAAATGAAATCAAATTATTCATTCTAACAATCTTTACTAAATATTTATAAACAATTTTAAACTTTTCCAATCTTTTCCAAACTTTATTATAAATTTAAATCAAAATCAAAATTATCTTAATTTTAGCATATCAATAGCCATTACCCATTACCCATTACCCATTATATTTATCAATACCTTCTTCACTAAAAAGATTCATAATTTTATCTTCAACAATGTCTTTTAACTCCTTGATTCTTTTATTGGCAATATATTAATATGATCCCTTAAACTTTTATTTTTATTTCTATTTTTATATTTATTTATTTATTTATTTATTTATTTATTTATTTATTTATTTATTTAAAAAGTAGTATATTATTCCACTTTTTTATTGATTTAGTAATCTTTCTCTTTTTTTATCAAGTTATTGATGAACTAGAAACATTTTTTTTTGGAAGGAGAACTCATTTTATTGATTTGTTCTGCTAATATCATTGTGTCGATTATTGAACTTTCACTCACATTTTTCTCATTATCTTTATTTGATATAATAAAATAAGTCAAACTTTTTGTATGGCAATAAATCGCCTTCAAAATTCTACTGATTAAATCCATTTCGTTTATTGATGAACTGGATATGTCTTTCAAATTTTTCAAATATTCAAATATCTTTAATTTTATTTCTTCTTTAACTAATGTAAAATCAATAAAATAAATACATGAATCAAATTTAATTTTACTGTTTGGAGTGGATTTACTAGCTTTAACATGAATTGTTCCAATTAAAATAGAATTTGATAATCCGCCCTCTTTATTAATAGATAAATCAAACAACTCTTTATCGTCTTCATTAATATCAATTGTCTTTGAATTTATATCAAATCTTCCAGAATCTTTAAATTTTATTTCAACATTATTGGAATTCTTATCTAATAAATCAGTTATTATAAATTGATCAAATTGATTATTTTGCAAGTCAATTGAATTGTATTGTAGTTTGAATTTATAATTCCAGTTTTTAAGTTTAAAATTTTTTTCATATCTCAGTCTTAAGTTTTTAATATTTTCCAATATACTATCTGGTATAAAAGACGACGAGTTATAATTTGAGCCTATAAAGATAATTGATATATTCGAACCTTTCATACTATGTTCGATTAAGCATTTTGTTTCTTCAATAATCTCTGAATCATCAAAATCTGGATTTATAACTTTATCAAAGGTAAATTTGAGAGAGGCATTTGTTAGATTTAGAATTTTTTTATCTTCTCTTGAATCAGGAAATGCAAAAAGATTATTGTTGTTATTGAAGATTCTAATATAGACTCTTAATTTGCCATTTAAGTCTTGAATTGAAGTTTCTGTCCTTCTGATTGATAGTTTTTCTTTATTTAGTTTATTGAGAGATTGATAAAACGATTTATTGCTTTGATTTAAATCATTTTGCCATTTAGTCAATTCGTTATTCTGGAGAGAAATTTTTTGATTATAACTGTTTATATTTGATTGAAGGCTGTTTAGTAAAAGTTGAGAAGATTTTTCGTTATTATCAATGTTTGATAATTGTGATTTAATTTCATTAATTTGAAGAAGGAAATTTTTTTCATCAATTTTCAATTGGTTTAATATTGACAAATTTTTATCTAGTTCCAAGTTTTTTGTTGAGATTTGATCTTGTAAATTTGATAATTTTAAATTTTCATTCTGAATAAAGTTATTATAAATTTGGTCCAATTTAGCGATTTCGGTTGATAAATTGTTATTTTTTTTTTTNTTAAGGTTATTTAGGATTACATTTGCATTGTTGATATCGTTTTGGAGATTTTCAATTTCGATTGATAAAGATTTGTTTGGTTTTAAAGAGGTTGTATTTGATAGTTGGTTTTTTAATGTTTGGATGGTTGAGTCTAGGATTCTCTTTTGATTATTTTGTAGTTCTTTTAGTTGTAGGTTGTATAGTTTTGATTGGTGGTCTAGATCAGTTTGGATTAAATGGTTTTCGTAGTCGAATTGTTTGATTGTTGAGTTTATTAGTAGGTCTATTTTTTTGATTTTGAGATTGTATTCTGATTTCTTTTTAGAGTAATCGAGGTTTATGTTTTGAATTTGGTTAATTTTGTTGATATAGAGATTGATTTCGTTGTTTAGATTTAGGATTTTTTTTTCAAGTGATAGAATTTCCTTTGAGTAGTAATCTTCAAGTTGATTTGAGGAAGAGTATTTTAGAGAGAAAGCAGATTTATTTTGCGAGTTTTGATTATAGTTGTAATTTTGATTTTGATTGGAATTAAAAGTGAAGGAAGAGGCTTGGGGTAATTTGAATAGTGAATCAGATTGAGAATCTTTTTTATAAACAGTTTGTAAATTTTGTAGACTTATTTTTGGTTTAGCTAAAGATCTTTGATTGTGAGAGTCTGATTTTCTTTTAATAATTTGTATTGAATTTAGATTTTTGTTATTATTATTATTGTTGTTGTTGTTATTGTTATTGTTATCGTTATCATTCTTATCGTTAAAAGATAGTTTAGAAGGAGTAGAGAAATTTGAGTGCATTGTTATAAAAGTGTCATTTAAGGTAAACAAGTAGGCAAGGGGAGAATAAAAGAGAAAAATAATGGGATTATATTGTGTTATAAATGAGATGTATATAGTTGGTTGGTAATGTTCATTAATTGATCAAATGAACAGTGAAAAATGGATGAATTGATTAGGATTTGCATCTGGAAACAGAAGTAAAATGAAGCACAATAGAAAAAATGTGAAACAAATTTCAAACCAGAAGAGAAATATCGACAGATAGCTCGTGACTGGAGATAATCTGAAGAAGATTAGTATGGAGGGTGTATATGTAGAGAGAGAGAAATTTGGGCGGAGCTGACGAAAACAGAAGAAAAAAAAGAATGTAAGAGTGATGAGGAATAATACAGAAATTCGATATGTACTTTTTGAGTGAGGCCAAAGATATTTACACTATTGATGAGATAAGTAGAACTGAGGAAGAATTGAAAAGCAGAATTGAAAAGCAGCTCAGGAGAAGTCGCTCTTCTGGAGGTTTCTGGTCATGGAGGGAAGAGCCACTCTGATTCCATCTAGTTCTTTGGACATTTTGACCTGGCAGCCCAATCGTGAGGTTTCAGTTAAACCAAAAGCCAAATCCAACATATCGTTTTCATCGTCATCAGGCTCAGGAATGGCATCGTAGTACTCTGGATCTATGATAACATGGCAGGTGGAGCAGGCGCAGGAGCCTCCACAGGCACCCTCCATATCCAACCCATGGGCCTGAGCAATATCCATGATGGTGTCTCCCTCTGCGACCTCGTAGGTGAAAGCCTTACCATCTTTGGTAACAAATGTGATATGCAATCTAGGAATCAATTGTTAGTGTGCCGAACGAATCGAGAAGCAGAAGCAGGAACAGAAACAGGAACATACTCTTCACCAGGCTTGGGTTTGTGGATGTGGCCATGGAAGTTGATCATCGAGCTGGAGAACAGTCGTTGGAATGTCCTTCGTGGAATGGCTGCAATTGGGGGCGTTCTGGCGAGCGCCAACGAGGACGCTGTGAGCTGTCTGTGGACGAGAGCTATGGAGAAGCGAAACATGGCGGACAGCAGAAGAAGCAAAAGCAGCAGCAGCAGAAAAGGAAGCACAGGCAGCAGAAGCAGCAAATACAAAGCGAAAAATTTACAGAGGATGATTCACCGCCGATACCCTTTCGGGACGAGTCGCGCTCCGGCCAATAGCTGAGGGAGCATTGCTGCATTACTAATGGAGCAGCTGGTGTTTCTGGTGCCTCTGCTGCTTCTGCTTCCAGAACTGCTTCAGCGCTGCTTTTCTATGGCTCAGTAGCTTCGGCTCCAGCGAGAACTGCTCCAGTAGCAATGCTTTGCTCTGCGTTCTCTGCTCTTTCCACTCTATCTGCTCTCTTTGCTTTCTGTGCTTCCTGTGCTTCCTGTGCTGCACTCTTCAATGCCCAATCCCTGCTGCTTCCATTCCATAGCTTCCACTTTTCTTCAGTATTGCCATTGTCGTTATCGTCACCATCTCCACCATCTCCAGCAACAAAGCACGGAAATAGGATGGCGGCGCTTACATAATCCGTCCTTGTTAGAGGCTCAATACTCCACTGATCACCATCACTATCAGTATCAGTAACTGCTCTGTATCCAGAAGATATAGCTAACAACAAACACTCACAATGGCTGACTACGAACTATTTCAGACCTATGAGGCTGATTTCCAAATAGCCTACGAAGAAGCTCAAGAAAAATTGAACCAGATCAGAGACTTGGATGGCGAACCAAGGAAATCTGCAATGAAGGCTGTAGAAAGAGCCACTGATGAATGCTATGAAATAATTGATCAAATGAGCATTGAAGTTCAAAACATCTCCTCTTCTGAAAGATCCTCTTTTAATTCAAAGATTCGTTCCTACAGATCAAGTGTAGAAAAGCAAAAAATTCAATTGAAAAAACTAATGGACGATGAAGACAGAAGAATCCTTTTCGGCTCCTCTCCTCAATTTGACTACAATAATAACGATCCAAACTATTCTCAAAGGCAATCTCTATTAAGAGCAAATGCCTCCCTAGAGAGATCCTCTGATAGACTAAGAGACTCTCAAAGAATTGGCGCTGAAACTGAAAATATTGGTGCAGGTATTTTAAATGATCTAAGAGGTCAAAGAGAACAAATTATAAATTCAAGAAACACTTTAATGGATGCTGATGGTTATGTTGATAAAAGTATCAGAACTTTAAGAAAAATGACAAGAAGAATGGCCACCAATAAAATGATAACTTATGCAATCATAGCTGTTCTCATAATCTTGATTTTCTTAGTCTTATTAAGTAAATTCTGGTAATCTCATTTAATCTTCTTCAATATCACACCTCTCTCTTTTTCTTTATAGTTTACAATTGTTTTATTTTTACTGTCTGATTTCTTGTTTTCAATTTAATGATTTTCTCTCAATTGATTCCTCCCTTTATCTCTCTTCTCTCTTCCTCCTTCATTTCATAAAATACACCTTTATTGCTATCTACTTTTTCTTTCATTTCGCGCAGAAAAACTGCTAATTGATTATCTATTATATCTAATACCAATTAAAATTATTAATAACTATATATATCACCAAAACATTTATCACAAAATTTATCAAAAGAAATTATTTCTAGTCAAAAACTTGACTCTTAAAAACGATAAGGAAAAATTAAAAAAAAAAAAAATTATATAGATATCTAAAAACATTTATCAAATGAATGGATATAAATCAATCAATCAAATAAAACCAAATAATTACTGAAAAAAGACACCACTAAAACTAAAAATAAAATTAAAAATAACAAAAAAAATAAAATAAAATAATCAGGAATGAGCTTCTAATTCATCGCTTGAAACATCATCTTCCTTTTCGTTCTTCTTGAACTTGTAATTTTGAATAGCTGTTCGGATCTGTTCAATTATTGCCTTTTCGTGTTCCTCTGTCATTGCTGATGAGACCCTAGTCGATTGTCTTGAAAGTCCCAACTCAGAGTAATTATCATCTTCACTTACAATAGATTTGGCTCCAGGTGTCATTGGTATTTCTCTTTGATAAATCTTGCACTCTTCTTCTGTCAACTCTAAAACTTGCGATGTCAAATTAACCAACGATTTTCCAGAACGACGTCTAGCCAGTTTAGCCGAAAATTTCCCGCCACTAGGATAATACTTGATAATTTCATTATCATCAATATTAAAATAATCTGACGTGGCTGATGTCTTGGGTGTGTATGGCGTACTTGGTAATTTTAATGACACACCAACATCTTGAATCCATTTCGCAACTAACGCTGTCCATCCACACTGATGTGAAGCTCCTAATCCTCTTCCAGTATCACCATCAAAATATTCATAAAATGGAACATTATCACTGAAAAATTCATTGCAATTTAATATTTTAGAGTCTCCATTACAAGCTCTGTACCCTCCTTCATTTTGTGTAAATAATTTAATTAAACGATGTTGGATTTCTTCAGCAACTTGAGCTAAATTGAGCATTATTCCAGATCTCTTGGGACATTCAACTTTCAATGATTGTCCATAATATAAATAAAATCTTTGTAGTGATTCAACTAAAAGAAAATTTGTTGGAAACCAGATTGGTCCTCTCCAATTAGAATTTCCACCAAAAAGCCCCGAATCTGATTCTCCAGGCAAATAGCTAACATTATAATGTTGGCCATGAACATTCATTTCAAATGGATGCTTTTCATGATATTTTGATAATGATCTTATACCATAATCAGATAAAAATTCATCTTCATCCAACATCTTCTCTAAAATTGCAACTAATCTCTCTTTATTCACTAATGATAACAATAAACGTTCTCCAACTCCTTTAGCTTTAGTGCATGCAATATTTCTTTCAAAAATCCAACTTTTATTTTCAATTGACCAATCTAACCTTTTTTTGAAACTTGGGAATTTTTCCAATAATTCAGGTTCTAAAGTTAAACAAGCATACAAAGGAATCAAGCCAACTAAAGATCTAACAGGTAATTGTTGTTTGTAAACATGATCATAAGAAATCGAATCATAGAAAAATTGATCTTCTTCATTCCAAAGAGATTTTTTAGTGGCTTCAGTTTCATCTGGTGAAGCATCTCTAAATGTCATGGCATCAGCAATTAATAAGAAATGTTCAAAAAATTTTGATGCGATATCTTCATAAACTGATCTTTCTTTGGATAATTCCAAGGCAATATTTAACATTTGGAGACAAAAAAACGCCATCCAACCAGTAGAATCAGCTTGTTCCAATACACCACCAGTTGGCAAAGGTTCAGATCTATTAAAGATACCAATGTTATCTAGACCTAAAAAGCCACCTTCAAAGACATTATTTCCATCAGAATCCTTTCTATTAACCCACCAAGTGAAGTTTAATAACAATTTTTGAAAGACTCTTTCCAAAAAATCTCTATCTTCTCTTCCATACATTTTTCTCTCAATTTTATAAATTCTAAAGGCAGACCAAGCATGAACTGGTGGATTCACATCACTAAAGTTCCATTCATAAGCAGGTATTTGACCATTTGGATGCATGTACCATTCTCTAGTTAATAAATCCAATTGATTTTTAGCAAAGGCAGGATCAATCATTGCAAGAGGAATACAATGAAAAGCAGTATCCCAAGCAGCGAAAAAAGGATATTCCCATTTGTCAGGTAAAGATAATACTTGGTCAATATATAAATGATTCCAATGTTTATTTCTACCATTTGCTCTATTTGGAGGTGGTTTAGGAGTAGCTGGGTCACCATGTGCCCAATATTGGTGAACAAAACCGTAATATTGTTTGGTCCATAATAAACCTGCAAAGGCTTGACGTTGAATAGTTCTCAATTCTTCTGTGATTGGCAATGGAGTGATTGACCAATAATAGTTATCAGCTTCATCTTGTCTTTCAACAAAGACCTGATCAAATGCTTCTTCATCAATAATGCAACTTTTTTCTGTATCACCATCGTTTATAGTAGATAATTTATAACGAATAGTAACGTAGTCACCGGGAGGAACACCACCATCAGCATCAAAGGAAAACCAAGCACAAGCTTTTGTACCAACATTTTGAGGATTAATAGCTTCGCTGATTTCATCGACAACGTATTCATGAAAAGCATCTTTAACGTATTTTGATTTGTTTGGCTGATTATATAATTTTTTTGTATTTGTTTCATTTTCAGTGAATAATAGTTTTGGTTCAACATCATCGGAGTGGTCGTTACAACCTGGGGAGGGAGAAAAGACTAGTCTTTTCTTACCAAATTTCCAATGGTCGATCTTAATTGAAGAATCGCTATTATCAAATTCCCTTGAGAAGGAGGGCTTTGGGTGGTTTTTTTCTTCAGGAATACCCCAAGACCAAGTGTTTCTAAAGACAGCATGAGGCAAGATATGGAGAGGAGCAGGAGCAGCAGATCTGTTATAAGCGGTTATTCTGAAATAGACTTCGTCGGGATCGTTCTCATCCTTAGCGACTTCGAATATGACATCGAAAAAATTGGATTCATCAAAGATTTTTGTATCTGGCAATTCGTATTCCTTTTCTAGCCTCGATCTCTTTTGGTTTTCTTCAACCAATTTTTCATAGGGGAATTTTGATTGGGGATATTTATAAAGGTATTTCATATATGAATGGGTGGGGGTGTTATCGAGATAGTGATAGATTTCTTTGACATCTTCACCATGATTGCCTTGAGGACCGGTAACACCAAAAAGTTTTTCTTTCAAAAAATCGTCGTTTTCGTTCCAGAGAGCAATTGAGAAGTTCAAGAGCTGATGGTTGTCGGAAACACCAGCTAGACCATCTTCTCCCCATCGATATGCTCTTGATTTAGAGTGATCGAAGGGAAAATCGTTCCAGGCGTCTCCATCGTGGGAGTAGTCTTCTCTGACAGTAGCCCATTGTCTTTCACCGAGATAGGGACCCCAACGTTTCCATTTCTAAATAAAAAGTTAGTAAGAGTTCAAGATGGCAAAGATAGAAAAGAATTGAAAAGCAGACAGTTGGAGCTGGGCTGGAGGCGACATACCTTGATATTCTGGGTGTCTTCTTCGAGTCTTTTGCCCTCGGCAGTGTGTAGTATGTTAGGACCGTAGGTCATTGTGAGCAGCTGAGGAGGAAAATGCAGCTGAACAGATAGCAGAAAAGACAGCAGAACCGGCAGAATATATAGGAGGCAATCTAGTAAGCAATTGCTGAGATCTGGCAAAAAAAATAAGAAAAAAAAATAAGAAAAGCTAAGCAAGCGAGAAGAACAGTTTATATAGCGCTGATAAGAGCAAGCAAACAAAGGTGAGCTCATCGCCTCTAACAGTGAGCGCAAATCGGGACAGGGCCATAATAGCGCTTTTATAAGGTTTTATGGCTTTATGGCTTTATGGCCTCTAGAAGCGTTTATGATGAGATTTGGGATTTGAGATGGACTATGAAACTATGTGGATGCAAAACTACGATAATACAGAAGACAGAGGAGGCGCTCAGCAGATCTACTCCTCCATCACCTTCTTCAAGGCCCCCCATTTCTTTCTCAAGCTCTCGTTCTCAGTCTTGAGCTGGCCTAGCTCGTTGCTGGCCATTTCAAGCGACCTCTCCAAGTCTGCCAACTGTTCTTCCAAGATTCTGTTGGCTTCCATCACCTCAAGGTTTCTTTCCATTGTTTTCTTGATTTCCTCCTCGATTTCCTTGGTTTTCATCATCCTCTCTTTTTCGTACTTGTCGCTCGAATCGTTGGTGGTTTTCTCCATCTCTTCGATTTTCGCAGTTAGTGTCGAGATTTCGGTTTTCAATTCTCGGTTTTCGTCTTCCAAATTGGCAATTTTGACCTTGCCCTGGATCATCTCATTTGCGACTTCGACGTGTTCTTGATTAAGCATATCGTAGCTCTTTTCCAAGGTTCTTATTTGTCTTGTCAATTGACCCTGTTTGGTTCTCAAATTATCCACTTCTTCTTCCCTTTCTCTTTCTAATCTGTGGATCTCTTCATATTCAGATTCGTATTTCTTCAATGTAATTGGCAAAATCTTGACAACCATGGCATCTGCAACTAGATCATCCACTTGGTATGATTCTACTGTAATTTCAACGTTGCTTTTTTGTCCAACCAGGGAAATCAATGCAAATGGATTAAATGATGGAGTGGTCACTGCAGTAGTGTTTGAATTGGCCTCCTTTTCAATCAAATAGTAGTCAAAAAGCTTATCCTTCAAAAACTCTAACAATTGATCAAAATTTAGTTTCAACAACTTGTCACTGTTTTTTGTCATGAATGCAATCGCAAATTTCAAGACTGCTTCTGTACCTTCTGCAACAACAATATCGTAAATTCTTAAAACAATTTCCAAAGGAAACTTGTATGCAAACATTGTTAAAAACCATTGAGATGCATACATTGATGATCGAATCCCTTGTCTGATTAAATGTGTATATAAATTTGGACACAAATCTTCTAATAATCGATCAAATTGGTATAATTTTAAATGCAATCCTGGCATTTCTGGCAAAAACAATTCTCTCAACCCATATGTTTTCATTAATTTAACTAATAGACAAAATGCTTCACTTTCTGTCATATTCATTATTAGCGGAACCGCAATAAATGCCATACCTTGGGTATAACCGACTTCTGGGTCAAATAACGAGTAAGCCTTAATTATGTTAAATAAGGCATCTGATTTATCAACCATGTTACTTGTTCCAATAAATCTTGTTCTTGACAAGTCTCTTTTTATAGCCTTTTCATATGAGCTTGGTTCCAGAATTATAGAATAGTATAGTTCTTCTAAACGTGAGGATTTCGAATTTGAGATTAATTGCCAAACCATACCTCTTAGTTGTTTTGGAATACCCTCAGCGATTGCCTTTGCTAGATCTAGTGGTTGGTTTTTAGCAACATTTGGGTAATCATTAACAACTTTGGACCAAAAATCCCAATCAATATGACAAGTTTCAACGTTATTATCACCAAAATTAGCAACAGCAGTTTTAATTTCATTGAAAGTAGATCTTAAAGTGTTTGCACCGGTTTTGACTTGTTCTTGATCTTTTTCGTTTTTGGATAATAAATCTTGAGTATTACCATCTAAACGAGATAAAAGTAAATCGTAATTTGACAAGTTGTTCAATTTTGAATTTTTTGCTGAAGTTTTTGAGTGAATGCTTGAATTTGAATTTAAACTTGGATTTGTATTTGGATTTGCACTATCGTGAGATTCTATCTTTTCAAGATTTGTTGTTGAGATTGATTTTTGATTTGAAGTTTGATTTGATTTGCTGCTAGTTTGAGAGTTGACAGAAGTTGTAGAAGCAACTGAATATCTTTGAAACCAAGATTTTATACCTCTGCGAGGAGGGGGATTTGGAAGGGAAGTATTGGAATCATTTGAAGAGTGTTTGACTAAACCAGTGGGGTTTAGTAAATTTTTATCGTGAACTTCGTCTGATGAAGAGTTTTGATTTGAATTTTTTAGGATGCCACCATTTAAAATGATTGAAGAGGATAGGTTTGAATTTGAACCAGTTATGGTTGGGGGAGTTGTGGCATTTGAAGAGGTAGCTGTAAGGGGAGACATACCTTTAATATTTTTATGGGAAGTTATGGTATCGACTTCAGAAAAATTTGAAGCAATTTCTGTGGTTGCGTTGGTTATATTACTATTAATAGTTGGAGGATTGTTTGAGTTTGAAGCCGATTTGGATGGATAAAGTTCAAAGTTCATATCGTCAGCTTCACTATCAGAATCAGTATCACTAAGGTTATTAATAGATGAGTAGTGATTATTGTTATTGTTGTTAACAATAATTGTCTTATTATGATTTGAACCATCTATATTGTGATTGGTATTGGTATTGGTATTGGTATTATCGTTATCATTGTAATGGATAGTGTCAGTAATGGTATTAATTGTGCCATTGTTATTGTTGGTTATTGTATTTTCGTCCAATTGTGTTTTCAAGGAGGATAATTTGGCATTTACTCTATTCAACAATTCTTCATCACTAAGGTTTTCAGCATCATCGTCGATATCATCGTATTCATCAGTGTCACTATCTGATTTGTAGCCTTTATTGGCATCAAGATTGGATTTCTGAGGATTGTTTATCAAGTTTGGGCTTTTGTCATTAAGAGTAGTATTAATGACACTGTTATCGATGTTATTAGAAGTATTTGCATTAATTGTGTTGCTAGAATTAGATTTGCTGTTATCTAAATCAATATCGTCAAAGGTGTTAGTTGGATTGATCATTTCTTTGTTTGTATTTGTTGAATCAGATAAATAAGAGTTTCTTGAGATAGCATCTTGAAATTCAACAGATTCAAGATCAGAAACCGAGTTTTGATGTGTCATCTTTGAGGTTAAAGTGGTCATTATAAATTTTTGTCAAGAGAATGCGTTTTGAAAATGTATTTTTGAAAATATATTTTTTGAGCCTGCTGATAAATAAGTCGTTTTAAAGTAAAAACCAATTGGCCCTAAGGAGTAATTTTAGCCTTAAAAGCAGAGTGAACAAGGTAACTGTGTTAGGGAAAATCTCAGTGAAAATATCAACCAGAGCCAAAATGGTATAGGTGTTTTTACTTTGAAAACAGAGATGGGGGAGATGGTCAAGAAGAAAGGAGACAGACAGGTAAAGAGTGTTTTATACTGGATCGAAACGTAGCATCCAGAGAAGAGCAGTAGAAATAAAGAGATGCTGTTGAGTGTTTAATACCTCTGCGAAAATAATTTACGTTGCAAAAATGCCCAGAAAGCGAGTTTGTGTCAGCGAGCATCCTGCTCCCGCTTACAGGGGTATTGCACACACAAACAGCGCGCCGCGGCAATTTAAACCCCTTCAAACCCGTTTACAGCAGGTAACGGCACGTGTTTTACGCACAGCGTGTCTGAACGAGGAAGCAGAAGAGGAAGCAGAAGCTGTCCACAAAGGAAAGGAGGCTACTGAGGTCTAAGGCATGGGAGAAGCAGCGTAAATAGCTTGCAAGAGGCAAAACACGAATCAGCGACAGAAGATAGACATAAAAGGCATAAAGTATTATTAAAAGAATATTCAAGTGGAACCAGATGCAGATCTGAAGATAAGTGTCGACAAAAACAGATATTATTAATATAGTAGATATGGTAAAGGTAGTAAACGTAATGGGTAGTTGAAAGTGTCACAGCTGTGCGTCTCTAAATAACCAACTCGTCTGAGAGTGGCAAGACTAAACTGAAGTTATCTCTCAAGCTGGGGGAATTGTTGGTGAAGGATAAAACTCTGTAGAACTCGTCATTGGATACAGAGCTAACCGAAGAGGAACCGTTGTCTGAGATCAATGGTTCAGGTTCGGTTTGGTTTAGAGTATCGTTTTGCACTTCCTGCAAAGAGACAATGTTCATTGGAGCAAATGATGATGCGTTTAGTTGCTCATCAAAATGAGAGTTCGAATCAACAAAATACCTAGATGATTCTGCAATACTGCTATTGGCACCATTCGAGTTATGATTGGGGATCAGAGACGATGGTTGTCTTTCCATCAAGTTATTGCTGACGCCCACATCAACATTAGGGTTACTTGGTGAGTTATCCTCATAAACAATACCCCTCGTAACACCAATTTCAGTCAATAATTGTTCAACTTTGCCAACATCATAATTTGGAAAATGAAGCCTGAAACTCTTTGAATTGCTATTATTATAGTTATCACTATACGAATTATAAGTATTCTTCAAATAGCTGTTCGGTTTTTCTTCATCTCCACCGCTTGAAGGCGAAGTTTCAATTGACATTGGAAGTGATCCATAGTTTGTGAAGATGGTTTTAATGTCGTTCAATACTACATTCATTTCTTGTTGATAGTTGTGGAAATCAGAAGTAATTGTATCCAAGATTTCTTCATCGATAAAACTCATTTTAGGAATAGACAATCTTGGCGATTCAATTTTAAAATCAACAAATGATCCTAAAACAGGATTCAAATTCTTGAATAATGGATCAATCGAGTTATTGTCGTTATCACTATGATGAGCCTTATTAGCCAACTCAAAAGCATTTTGTACATTTTCCAGAGCTAAATTGGCATTTCCATGATATGATTTGCTCTTCAAAGTTGAGTTCACTTGAAAACCATTGGAGTTAACATTATAGAAAAACGCCCTTAACGACGATGTCAAATTTTGAACAGCGTCTCTTGAAAGATGCGATGTCGAATAACTAGAAAAGTATCTGGCATTGGTATTTGTAAAATTTTTGTATAATGTGCCAGGAAAGATGCCCTTCATCAACACAGAAGAACCGCCAGTAAATCTAAACGCAGAATATGGCCATAGTTTGTGAGATAAATTAACAGGATTTGCACGATATCCTGATTTGATATAATTGAAGGTGCTTTTCCGAGGATTGTAGGTTGAAAAATTTCTTCGAGCTTCTCTCAAAAAGGGATTACTTGGGTTGTTTCTCACAGGAACTGGCACAGGCACAGGAGCTCGACCTAACGAAGGATTAGATCTCGAAGCCAAAGCATCTGCTAGTTCCTCCAAAGATCGCCTGAAGTTTTTGGCGACTTTTCTGGAAAGAGAAACCCAAGTTCTAAACTTATTCACTTCTACCATGATGGAAGAAGAAAGCCAGAACAAACAGATCTTCTCGCGTTTTGCACTTGATAACGATTCAACAGAAGAAACAGCAGCAGCTTTGCTTTAATAAGCTGAGCAATATCAGAGCAGAGCGCCTCTATTTATACCCCAGTTGCCGGGACGGAGATGCACGAGTCGGAAAAGACAAAACCCTCTCCGCTGGCACCCGCAGCGGGAGACTGTCGGATCCAGCGATATGGAGCTGGCTTCGGAGGGTGCTGAACATGGTGCTTGTGAGGAAGCTGGAGAAGGAGCTGGAGAAATGCAGGCAATGTGGCCCAGAATCAGAGTGGTACATCGCAGATGGTTGAGGGTGTGTTGGGGTGTTTGTCTTTTTGTGGCTGTTGCTGTGTGGCTGCTGTCTGTTTTTAATCAGGACACCGAAGACGACTCTGCTTACGACGATGAAGAAGGTACTTACAACGATGAAGAAGGTACTTACAACGAGGAAGCGAATCCTGATGTTAATAATGCTGATGACACTTTTGCTTACGAGAAACCTCTCCCTGATGTAGATTGGGCAAAGATATACCAAAAGCATAGAGATGAGATTGATTTCAAATCATCGCTTTCTTTAAATCCCTATAATCTAATACACCAATTGGACCAGAACCAGTTTTTGAATTCTCAATTACCCGATAAATGCTATCATTATTTCAAATATTTACTACCAGAATCCAAGTGGAAGTTTGACACTTTTGAAGATGAGTTTTATTTCACCAGTATTTTCAAGCAGAATTATTCACAATTGTTTTCAAATGAATTCTCAAAGATTATTGAGACAACCGGTGAAACTATATCTCAAATTGAAATCGATCAATTTAATAAAACTTTGCAACATAAAAGAAACATTAACAAAATTTTTGAAGACCAAATCAAATATTCAATCAGTCATTACAAAATATTCAATAAATGTTTTTTAGACCAAAAAAAAATCGATTCAACTTTAGATACTTTGTGTTTTTCAAATGCAGAAAATTTATTATTCCCTTTTTTGAAATACAATGCTGTTCCAGATTTCGGTGATGAAAATAATGAAATCTTTTTCAATTATAATCAAATCAACTCAAAAAACCCTCAAAATTCCATTTCCAATTCAAATAAAAATCTATGCTATCTAAGAAACTATAAAAATTCTTATGCAAAAAGAGGAATAGTAATATCTGCCAAGGATTCTCATCTTCCTCAATTGGCTGGTTTAATTGCATTGCTACGATTATTGGGAAATCAATTGCCAATTCAAGTTATTCATAAGAACGATTTTTCTTTATTCAATCAATTAGAATTGAAAAAAATTGCTCAATCCAATAATCTCATTCCAGTTGATAACCCTCAAATAAACAGATCATTTAAGAAAATTCAAAATATCATCTTTGATAAATTAAATTATAAAGACTATGATAGAATTCCAATTCATAAATTTCCAAAACAAGTAATTCATTTTGTTGATATTTCAGTTTCAATTCAAAAACAGTTTTTAGATTATTTCGAGTCTTTTTCAAATAAATTATTGGCTTTATTTTTTTCCTCTTTTAAAGAAGTTATATTAATAGATACCGACACAATTCCTTTAATTAACCCTGATCTATTTTTTGAATCAAATCAATATAAATCCTCCAAATCGTATTTTTTTAGAGATCGTGAGTTAAATCATAAATTTCCAATCAATACTAAAAAATTTTTTTTAAATTTATTTCCAAATTATAATGATACTCATTTTTTTGATTTCAATCAAATTAATTGTAATTTTTCAAGAATCTTAGGTAATCCGAGTTTTAATCACAACATGGAAAGTGGGATAGTAGTGCTTGACAAATATAAATATTTCAATGGAATTTTATTATCATTAGTTTTACAATTCTGGAGACCAATTACTGCCAACATTCATGGTGAAAAGGAATTATACTGGTTAAGCCAATTGATTGTTGGTAACGACCAATTCCAATTTAATAAAAATTATGCAGTCTCTATTGGTAAATTATCTCCAACAACAAATGAGTTTTCAAAAATAAAAGCAAATGAATTATGTTCAACTCATCCAGGTCATATATCTGACGATAATGCTACTTTATTGTGGTTCAATTCAGGATTTCTAAACTGCAAAAATTGGAATACTTGGGAAGTTGATTTTCAGTATGAATTAGAATCCGGCTTGCTTGACAATAACCCCGATATTCAAAAAGATGATCCTTTTACTTTAATTAAATATTATACTGACCCATTAAGAATTGACGCATTCTTAATTCCAGCAAGAGGTATTAACGATGAAGTTCATATAAATACACAAGATCATTATGAGCCAAGCACTAACTGGATAAAAACTAAAAGATGTAAAAGTTATCTTTGGTGCGCTTATGATCTAATTAATGGCGATGAAAAGAATTCTGAAGAAAAGGGAAAAATTGTGTATATTAAGGAAACAGACAAGCTATTATACAATTTTTATGGAGATATTTGGGTTTATTATCATAATTCAATACCTGATATATGAGAAAAAAGAAAAAATTATAAATAGTAGCAAATGAAGATATGAGAATGTAAAAGTGACTTAGATAGTATATGTAGTGCAATTATATAAAGAAATACCATTTATAGATAGATATATAAAATAATAAAATTTTATACAATCTGAAAAAAGATTAATAAGAATAATAAAAAATAGTAAAGAATAGTAAAAAATAGTAAAAAATAGTAAAAAATAGTAAAAAATAGTAAAAAATAGCAAAGAATAATTTATGATATTTTATTCTTGATCATTATTAGCTTTTAAATAATATCTAATGCCTCTGATGAAAAAGTTAAAAGTTAAATTTTCATTTCTTGCATAAAAAAGAGTTTTTGTATCATCGGTAATTAATGGGAAGTTTAATAAAGAATTTGGAAAATTACGTCTGTTGGGATTTGGTTTAAGAATAATATCAGGTTTAATATTTCTATAACGATTGATTTCAGAGTTAATTAATTGATCGACTTTTGCTTCAGAAGATATGTTTTGGTTAATTAAACTTCTTGTGAAGGTAGCAAAGTGTTCCATTCCATCTTTTTTCGATAACAAAATTAAAGTTAATTCAGTGAAAATTAAATCAGAAATGGAAATTTGTGGAGAATTTGATTTTTCGTTCTCTTTCTCTTTCTCATTTTCATTTTCATTTTCATTTTCATTTTTATTTTCCTTTCCATTTTCCTTTCCATTTTTGTTTTCATTTTCGTTTTTAGTTGTTGAGCGATTATAATTTGCAGTTGGAGCAGGAGTTACACCAGCGTCAGGAAGAATAAAATACGTTTCTCCAGAATTGAAATTAACGATTTTAACAGAGGGGTGCTTTGATTTACCATATAAAGCTTTTAAATCGGCGGCAATTACATTAGAAACATGATCAACGTTTTCCCAAGCGTCACCAGATTGCTCATAAATTGATAGCGTTTTTATTTTTAAAGCAGAACACCAAGATGCTATTGTTGCAGTTTCAGTTAGGATTCTGATTTTTTCCGAAGCTTTGAATTCCGATTCAGCTACAAAATGGTTATAATTTGAATAAACAGCCTTCAAATTTTCTGGAGTTTCAGGGATAGTCCAATTTCCACTTGAATTCATTTCAGGATCTTGAATATTATCAGGGGGAGAAGCGACTCGTTTGTTTTTTGATAAGATAATGGAAATATGGTCTGGAAGGGAATTATCAGAGGTTGGTAGTAAGGCCTTTTGAACCGAAATGTAGTTCAATGGAACAATGGTGGCCAAAAATTGAGAGGTTATTGCTTCGACCAAATTCGAATGAAGAGAATATAAATTGGTTAAAAAGGGATTTAAAGAATTCTTTGAGAAATTAGAAGAGATATTTGAAGGGTTGAGGAAACTCAAGATTTTTGGGATTGACAATAAACTTGAAACTTTAAAAGGCGATGGAAAACCTAAAGAAATATTCAAGGCATTGAAAGTAGCAACTAGATAATGTGAAAAGGATTCGATGAAGATACCAAGAGTTTCTTTAACAAAAAGATATAAATTTAAGAAGAAGAAGGCTAAACTAAAAAAAACAAAGTATAATGATGCTTGAATTTGTTCTGGAGTATAAACAGCGTAGATTTGATTTAGAATTGAATTAAAATATAAACCCAAGTAGTTTTCTTGTTTGATTTCAGTTTTCTTGAGGCTTTCATTTTGAGATTCATTGATTTGATCATCAACTGGATTGTTGACTGGATTGTCGACTTGATTGTCGACTTGATACAATGATTCATCCATAGTAGATGTATTGATTGACAACAGAGTAGATAATTTATTGACGATTGATCGACAATGAAGGGTTTTAATCAATTGATTGTACTGTATATAAAGGATATATGAACTAGGAGTGACAATCCACAGAGATTATAAAAGCAAATTAAACCAAGTGGCAAAAAAAGGGGAAGGGTGGTTTGTTTTACAGTTATTGTGTATTTATAGCACTCAATTGATTTGAGAGATACTAACTGAAATTTACAAGGATAACGAGATATATATAGGGAAAGAGAAAAAACAGCGGAAAAGCACAAAGGAGCTGGATCTATAAAGTAGCATTTAAGTGGTGATTACTTGAAGGGCTTAAAGAGCTCAGAAACATGGTTGAAAATGTTTTTGGAGTCAGACTGGAAGAAATGATAGTCCAATTCTAACTGGTTAGAGTATCTCTTGAGGTTGTTGTTGGAACCAGTGCTGTTGTTCAACCCATCCAAGTGTGTCTTGGTTATATCAGCAAGACACTCAATGAATAGAGGGTCTCCATTGAGAGACTCAGCTCTCTTCACTTTGTCTGGATATTTCAATTCTTCTTTCAACTCAATATCCAATTCGTGTAGCGTTTCAATGTGGTCAGAAGTGAAGGCAATTGGAACGATTATAACACCATCGTAAATCTTATGTAGCTGGTTGACGATTTTGTCAGTCTTTGGAGCCAACCAAGGAACAGGACCAACTTTGGACTGCCATGTTAATCTGTATGGGTTGCTAAAGTTCAATTGTTTCATAACACTATAAACAGTAGCAGCAACTTCAGCTGGGTAGGAGTCGCCTTTATTTACAGTGTAAAGGGGCAATGAGTGGGCAGAAAAGATAATTGCAACGTTTTTTGTATCAACACCTTCATTTTCAAATTCAGTTAGCTTATCAGTGATGTGATTTGCAAAGGTCTTTGATAGCAAAGGATGGTCGGGCCATCTGTCAATAATGGACCAGGAAATGGATTCTGAAGGATCGTATTTTTTGGATTGTCTATATAAATCATTGATGCTTGATCCAGTGGTGGCGTAACTAAACTGAGGGTACTGAGAAAATGCTACAGCCTTTTTAACACCATCCTTAATCATTTGTGGAATGGTTTCTTCAAACAACGGATTGGCATATCTGAAGGCCACATACGGTTTGTGAGGAGCAGACTGAGGATTTGTCTGGTCTAGTATTTTGCATAACTGCTCATTCTGGTAAGACGACCATTTAAGAATTGGGGAACCACCACCAATCTCATTGTAGTGTTCGATGATTTTGGGAGCTCTTCTCTTGACAATGAATTTTGCAACCCAGGGCTGGAAGGGACCCAACTTGATGATGTCGTCGTCAGCAAACAACCTCGTCAAAAACTCAGGAGTGTCTTTGCTCTCTGTAGGCCCACCCATGTTCATAAACACAATGCCTGTGCCAGACCCATCGCTCTCGGTGGACCTGCTGGAACTGGACGAAAAAGCTCTGCAACTTGATACCAAACTGGAGCCCTTGAAACAAGTGGTGGCTCCAACCTTCAAACGAAGCACTAGGGAATACATATTCTCGATTATCTGGTTGTCAACAGCCTATTTTCCCACCAAAACTCTTTTGCCTTCTCTTCTCTTCTCATCTCAGCTCTTTCTCTCTTTTTTTATAGCGCCGAGATGCCACCAGAGGTCTGGTTAGCTACACCCCCTTGGACGCACTCAAATAGGGGTCTGGAACGGGGGTCTGTTTGACTTCCGAGATTGCTTCCAGTGGCGTAATTGCTGCTTAGTTTTAGATTTGTGAAACTGCTGAGATGGAGTTGGATGAAAGTGTTGAGAAAGTGTTGAGAAAGTGTTGAAATTGAGCAGAAGCAATAGGTATGATTTGTGTGATTAGTGTGGTTATTTTGTCACTTCGGTGTATATGGGAGCAGAACGTAAATAAGTGTGGTGCATTATGAATTGTTTTTTTAGTAATGACTAACAAAAACAGTGGTTATATGTTACTATTTCAAATATTTCAAGAATATTCCATTTATTGACGCTTTTTTATTCCAGATAATTTTAAAGGTTTGCATCAATTGTTTCATGAACTTGGCATATAATCCTCTAAGGCATTTGAAAATACAATAGAATGTGATTGTTCTAAACTCAAAATTTATTTGACATGATCATCCAAAAACAAAAAAAACATCAGGCACAATATTAATAAATTTTCATTTTTCCATATGACACTTATAGATAACAGCAAAAGGAAACAAATTAATACTGATAGTCAACCTGGTTTTTGTAAATCTTCGAATAGAAAGCACAAGAGTAATATTCAATACTGACAACCACGTCTCGTGCTTTGATGTTTTCCAACCATGGCTTCAAATATTTTGGAGTTTAAACCTTTTGAATTTTTAAAATGAAAAAAAATATCGTGATAGAATAGACTTTTTGGTTAAATGGTCAATTAAATCAAGCATTCAAGATATGTAAATGTACATTATTTAATAGCTTATCGACAATAAATAAGATAATCATACATTAATATAAGAAAATCAAAATCAGCATACTGGGGTTCCATGCAAAAGAGAATTTTAATATATAGTGACATATATGACTGTTTTAGTTCCCAGAAAAGATATCTGAGTTGAATAAAAAATTATTTCTACTAGTTTGTCTTTAGTAATGTCTTTGATTAATGGCACAAGTTGCTGTTTAAATGCAATGGCCATTCTTTTTTTATTCATACCCTATCCATATCCTATTCATCTCTTATTCATCTCTTATTCATCTCTTATTCATCTCTAGATTATCCATACCTCTTATATTCCTCGTCTAATTAAGGAAATCATTAATTTGCTTTACAAAATGAACGTCCAAGAACTGATACTATCATGCAAACACTTTTATCACATAATGCTGATTAAGTTGATGAATATGATATTCTTTTGGTTACCAATGGATAAAGTATGGTTATTCACTTTATCAGATAATGCTTCAGTTAAGTTTTGTGCATCAAAAGTACTATTCCGAAATTCAACATTGATTCATCTGTCTCCTTGTAATTATCAATCTTGTTTAAAGATTCATTTTGATGACTTTTATCTATTCAAGTTTTGATTATTAAATCGCTGCAAAAATTTAAGGTATTTCTTTCAAAATTTAGACAAGTTGTCCAATTTACAAATTTTGTTATTAATTAAAACAGGAATAACAAAGATTGGAAATGTGCAAAAATTGGTTAATCTAGCCATCTTGAACTTATCATGCAACGGAATTGATAAAATTGAAAATTTGGACCAATTTGTTAATTTAACCAGCTTGGATTTATCAAAAAGTAAGATCCAAATTATCGAAAATTTGGATAAGTTAGTCAACCTCACAAGACTTGACTTTAGTGATAATTGTATCGGAGAAATTGATGGGTTGTCAAATTTAATTGCATTAAATAACTTGAATCTTGCTGACAATTTGATCTATAAAATTGAGAATTTGTCAAAAGTTGTTAATTCACCTGAATTGAACTTTCTGGGAACCAAATTTCTATAATCAAAAATATGACAGAAATAGGAAATATAAAGATGATTAATTTGCATGGTAATGAGATTTCTAATTGGGAGGAAGAAGAATTGTTTAAAGCACTAAAACAATTTGTATTTATTTAAGTCATTTTGATAATGAAAAATAGTAAAAGGACAGAAAAAATAAAATTTATGTTGTTTTGGTTGAAAATGTATGTGTGGTTCAAGAAAGAAATAGTTGAATATCTTTGATGATAAATAAGAAAACACTAATTATCGAACGATGTAATTTAATTTAATTTAATTAATTCAATTCAATTCAATTTATTTGTATTATTATTATTGAAGAGATATAAATGACCATCAGAAAACAAGAAAATCAAAACAATACTTTTCAGAATCAAATCTGGGAAAGGAAATAATTTTTATAACTTGAATTACATTTTATATATTTCAAATATAAATCAGTGCAAAAACAAGGAATAACAATAAAAGAAGAAAAATGGAAATCTAAAACAGCACACCAAATGAAAAGAAATTTAAATAATACAAAACAATTCCTAAAAATTTTGAGAATGAATTTTGGACTCTTTGACAGGATTCACTAAATTCCTAAGGTAAATTTGCAAAGGAATAAAAGACCTAGGAAGTTCCAGCAACTACCAATAAATCAATCTCCCCAAAGAAATTGGAATCAGCACATGTATGAGGTTTTTCAGGCAAAGATTTATCATAAAACACAGCAGAAGGTTTCATATTGTCAGAATAATTATCATGAGTGAATGAATGAGGTTTTTTACTGTTGACGGTATCAATGGTTATAATAGAAGTATCGTATTGTTGATTGTATTGAATGCAGTGGATTGAAGGGAATGTAAGCTATTGTGGTTTTAATGACAGAAGGCTGGTGTGGTTCTTGTGGAGATTTTTGTTTGGTGAGTTGCACTTTGAGGACTGTAATGGTTTGAAAAGTGTGTGTTGTAAGTAGATATGGTGCTTGATTCGTGAGGTGATATTAGCAGGAAAGCAGACTAAGCAGACTAAGCAGACTAAGCAGACTAAGCAGACTAAATAAACAAAGTATTTCTGTGTCTACGCTTCCAACTTACCAGTACTTTGCAATAAAATTTGGTGCATTGATCGAAGTGAGTGTGTTGCTTGATGTTGAAATATATCCAACATGAGTGATTTGCAGAGCATTGCGTATTTGTGCTCGCATTGAATTATACTTCCTGGTGTGGAATAATACACCTTCAGTTTACTTACTCAACAATGCACAGCTGATTCCAAATTTATCGTGATTTCAAATCAGCAATTTCTGCTGTCTGCTCTGACTCATTGCTTCAAGAGAGTTTGCTATTTTGATTTAAGTGGTGCAGATTGTTTTCGGGTATTCCTCAAACTAGTGGCACGCTGTATATTGATTGATTTGAAATCAACAATGATTTCGGTAAAAGAATTTATATTTAAACAATGGTGAACTACCTGATATTCTACCTGATATTCTACCTGGAATTTTTTTTTTATATCAAATACTGTGATTGCATTATCAAATTAATAATGGGCAAAGAAAAACAACATGTTAGTATTGTTGTTATCGGCCATGTTGATTCTGGCAAATCAACTACCACAGGCCATTTGATCTATAAATGCGGAGGTATTGACAAGCGTTCTATTGAGAAGTTTGAAAAAGAAGCTGCTGAGATGGGCAAGGGCTCGTTTAAATACGCCTGGGTTTTGGACAAATTAAAAGCCGAAAGAGAAAGAGGGATCACCATTGATATTGCTTTGTGGAAATTCGAGACACCCAAATACTATGTCACTGTTATTGATGCTCCAGGGCACCGAGATTTCATCAAGAACATGATCACAGGCACCTCTCAAGCTGACTGTGCTATTTTGATTGTTGCTGGAGGTGTTGGTGAGTTTGAAGCTGGCATCTCTAAGGATGGGCAAACCAGAGAACACGCGTTGCTAGCATACACGTTGGGTGTCAGACAGCTAATCGTTGCTGTGAACAAGATGGACTCTGTCAAATGGGATGGTAAAAGATTTTTGGAGATCATAAAAGAGGTGTCCAGTTTCATCAAGAAAGTGGGCTACAACCCCAAGAGTGTGCCTTTTGTTCCGATCTCTGGGTGGAATGGCGACAACATGGTTGAGCCCTCCTGCAACTGTCCATGGTACAAGGGCTGGACCAAAGAAACCAAAGTTAGAAATTATGGCGGCAAGACTTTACTAGAAGCTATTGACTCGATTGAGCCACCAACCAGACCCACTGACAAGCCATTGCGTTTGCCATTGCAAGACGTGTACAAAATCGGTGGTATTGGAACTGTGCCAGTTGGCAGAGTCGAAACTGGTGTGATCAAGCCAGGCCAAGTTGTTACTTTTGCTCCAGTTGGTGTCACCACTGAGGTCAAATCTGTTGAAATGCACCACGAGTCTTTGCCACAAGGTGTTCCAGGTGACAATGTTGGATTCAATGTGAAGAATGTTTCTGTCAAAGATATCAGACGAGGCAACGTTTGTGGCGATGCTAAGAACGACCCACCAAAGGGCTGCAAGTCGTTTGATGCTCAGATTATTATCTTGGACCACCCTGGACACATCTCTGCCGGCTATTCTCCAGTGTTGGATTGCCACACTGCTCACATTGCTTGCAGGTTCTCTGAATTGTTGACCAAGATCGACCGAAGAAGTGGCAAGACATTGGAAGAAGAACCAAAGTCACTCAAATCCGGCGATGCTGCTATTGTCAGAATGGTCCCATTCAAGCCAATGTGTGTTGAAGCATTTGCTGAGTATCCACCACTCGGCAGATTTGCTGTCAGGGACATGAGACAGGCAGTTGGTGTTGGTGTAATTAAAAAGGTGGATAAGTCCGAACCAACATTTGCCAAAGTGACTAAAGTTGCGATCAAGACATCGAAGAAATGAGGATATAGGTATTTGAGTATTTGAATATTTGGGTATTTGGGTATTTGGGTATTTGGGTATTTGGGTATTTAGGTTTTATATTTTATATTTTATATTTTATATTTTATATTTTATATTTTATATTTTATATTTTATATTTTGTTATTTTTTTTTGTTATTTTGTTTTGTTTTGTTTTGTATGCTTGACTAATTCTCATTTCTATATAACAGTTTATTTAGGATTAAACATCTGTTTGCTCAATCGTAGTAATTAAAACTTTCCTAATTTGGAATGACACTGGCACCGCCACACACCACATCCAACAGCCTATTTCGGCCTAATGCGTGTGCGTGCCACACACAAACCAGGCTGGTGAAACGCCAACGATAACGGATGCCGCCGGATAGCCACGGCACGGATAGTGACTCATGGATCGCTTCTAAAAATTTTTCAGAGATACCGTGCTGTTATTTATCAACAATCTCCTTACCAATTGGGCTCGAGCAGAACGAAATATAAGATAGCATCTGTGGCGGATTTGAGCTGCTATTGATATTTGGAGATACTATACTACTATACTGTTGACACTTTTCATATTCTGAGCATCTTGCAGCACCATTTGAGTTGCAACAATAGTTTTTTACATTAATTGATTACTTATCTACTTAGTTTGCTTGTTTACTTATTTACTTGTTTACTTATTTATTTCATTAATTAGATCAATCTGACCATGACAGCCTCTGAAGAGACAAAGGTTGACAATGTCGCTGAAAAACTAGAAAGCGTGAAGATCAAAGACCAAGTCGATGACAAAAAACAGGCCTCCAAACAGGCCAAGTCCAAAGGAAATGCTAATGCTAATGCTAATGCGAAGTCCAAGCCAAAACTCAAGGCAAAGGGAAACCAAAACCCATTGTTTCTTGATCCACAACCAGAGTTCATCAAGTCAAGAATTGAGTTGTTTGAGCAGTTGAAAGCCGAATACGACAAGGAAGTGGCATTGAAACCCAGGGTTGCAATCCAGATCACACTCAAGGACGGCAAGACCGTTGAGGGAGTCTCGTGGGAGACGTCGCCATTGGAGATTGCAAATGGCATTGGCAAGTCGTTTGGCGAGAAACAGTGCATTTCCAGGGTGAATGGCGAGCTATGGGACTTGGAAAGGCCCCTAGAGACAGACAGTAAGGTGGAGTTCTTGGACTTTGAGAGTGAGGATGGGAGAAAGGTGTTCCACCACTCGTCAGCACACATTTTAGGAGAGAGCTGCGAGTTGAATTTGGGGTGTCTTCTATGCCATGGGCCCCCAGTGTCTGATGGGTTTTTCTATGACTTTGCTGTGGAGGACAGTGTGACACCAGACAATTTCAGTGCGATTGAGAATGTGGCCAAGGTTGCCGTCAAGCAGAAACAGAAGTTCGAGCGATTGGTGGTGTCGAAGGAAAACCTATTGAAGATGTTTGAGTACTCGAAATACAAGACGTACATGATCCAAACCAAGGTTGCTGACAACTCGTCGACCACAGTGTACCGCTGTGGGCCATTGATCGACTTGTGCATGGGGCCCCATTTGACCAACACCGGGAAGGTGAAGAGCTTCAAGATATTGAAGAACTCGTCGTCGTACTTTTTGGCAGACAGCAACAACGACTCGTTGCAGAGAATCTATGGTATTTCGTTTCCGGACAAAAAGCAGATGACCGAGCACTTGAAGTTTCTTGCTGAGGCAGCTTCGCGAGACCACCGCAAGATTGGGCGGGAGCAGGAATTGTTTTTGTTCAATGAAATGTCGCCTGGGTCGTGTTTCTGGTTGCCCCATGGGGCCAGAATCTACAATTCGCTAGTTGAGTTGCTAAGGTCGCAGTACAAGAAGAGAGGGTATGAAGAAGTGATCACGCCCAACATGTTTAACTCCAAGTTGTGGGAGATTTCGGGGCACTGGGGCAACTACAAGGAAAACATGTTCACGTTTGATGTGGAAAAGGAGCACTTTGGATTGAAGCCCATGAACTGTCCTGGGCACTGCATCATGTTCAAGTCCAGAGAGAGGTCATACCGGGAGCTTCCCTGGAGAGTCGCTGATTTTGGGGTGATCCACCGAAATGAGTTTTCTGGAGCATTGAGTGGGTTGACGAGGGTGAGACGATTCCAGCAGGACGACGCCCACATCTTCTGCACCGAGGAGCAAATTGGCAGCGAAATATCGAACATCTTTGAATTTTTGAAGTATGTGTACGGGATCTTTGGGTTTGAGTTCAAGATGGAGTTGTCGACAAGACCTGAGAAGTATGTTGGTGAGATCGAAACATGGAACAGTGCTGAGGCCAAGTTGGCAGAGTCACTCGATGCCTGGGGAGGTAAGTGGGAACTCAACGAGGGAGATGGAGCATTCTACGGGCCCAAGATCGACATCATGATCTCAGATGCATTGCGAAGATGGCACCAGTGTGCAACTATCCAGTTGGACTTCCAGTTGCCCAACCGATTTGGGTTGGAGTACAACTCTGAGGACTCGAACAAGGTGTCCAGGCCTGTTATGATTCACAGGGCCATCTACGGGTCCATTGAGAGAATGACAGCCATTTTGACGGAGCACTATGCTGGCAAGTGGCCCTTCTGGTTGTCGCCCAGACAGATATTGGTTGTTCCTGTGGGAGTGAAGTACTTTGAGTATGCGCAGCAAGTGCAAGAGCAGTTGAAGAGCGAGCATGGGTTCTGGGCCGACGTTGATGTGTCAGGCAATACGTTGCAGAAGAAGATTCGAACTGGGCAGATGCAACGATACAACTTCATCTTCATTGTGGGTGAGCAGGAGATGGAGTCCAAGTCAGTGAACATCCGAAACCGCGACATCCAAGATTTGCAGACCAAGAACGAGATGGTGTTGTTGGCAGATGTGATTCCCAAGTTGGTGAAGCTCAAGGAGGACAAGAGAGATGACAACATATTATAAAGCGATGAAGCCATAGAGTATGGAGTTTAACAGACATTAATTTAAAGAATTTGAAGAATTTAAAGAATTTAAAGATTTGTGTTGTTTGTTTTGCATTTGTATATGCTTGTTTTATACTTGTTTTATGTTTAATCAATTCTCAATTCTCAATTCCCAATTTCAGTTACCAAATCTCGATTCAAGATTTAATTCAATAACCAAAATTATTTGCAACAGAACTGTTGTTTGTATTGTTTGTATTGTTTGTGTTGTTTGTATTGTTTGTGTTGTTTGTGTTGTTTGTGTTGTTTGTGTTGTTTGTTTTGTTTGTGATTTCCGTTTTTAATTCATAGTTCAGTCGACATTAAGATCATGATTTTGTCATCTAGTATAGTATTATATATATGATCAACAATACCATTGCATCATTGTCATTCAGATTTGTATCGTAAA